TCTGTCCACGGGGGAGCAGTCAGCTGATTAACTGAACGTCAGCCTCAGGACGGGAACCAGAGAGCCAGACGTACACACACACACACACACACACACGTACACACACACAAACAAACACACCTGACTCTATTATCACATATATCCATGTTCACGCTTCAGTTGACGGTTAATAAACCTGATCAGAGACGATGATGGTGATTATTATTAAAAACTAGAGTAATGATTCATTTACTGGCTCAGAGCTTCTGTTTCAACTCCCACAATCCACCTGGACCGCCACAGAAACCAGACAACGTTCCCCGTGATTGTCTGATATCAGAGGAATCAGGAAGTCCGTCTCTTCAGAAGACCTGAGTTTGGATCTCTCACTGGAGTCGGTCTGAACAGATGGATTTATGCGTCTGCGCTAAAAGGTCAATAGAAACATCAATAATGAGGAGGAGGCGGAGCTTCATCAAAGTGACAAACAGGATGATGGTAAACACGCGATTATTGATCATCTTCATGTTTCCTCAATGAGAGTCTGAGAGATCGATTTCATCTTTACGTGGACCAGATCACCGAGACAGATCCCTCAGCCCACTATAAACCTGGTCCTGGAGATCTTCAGTCACACACACACACACACACACACACACACACACACACACACACACACACACACACACACACACACACACACACATTAGAGCTCTATATGTCAGGCTGTTCTGTGACATATGAAACATCCTGACAGAAACATGTGCAGAGAGGACCTGACATGTGCTGATAAACACACACACACTCACACTCACACACACACACACACACACACACACACACACACACACACACACACACACACACACACACAGGCCTGTGAACATGTGACATTTGCGTGTTCAATGACTGTGTGTTAAATCTGACATACAGCTGAATGTCACGCTCAGAGACGATCAAGTTTATGGTGTTTTTTTCTTCTACCTGTCTGAGACTCACCTGCACGTCCTCCTCCTCTCATCCTTTCATCACACGCCTCATTTGTCGTCTCTCTCTCCTTCTGTCACCCCCCCCCTCTGTTGTATAATCCTTCCTCTTCTCTTCCTCTCATGTCTTTTTCTCTTCTCTCTTCTCTCTCTCTCTCTGTGAAGTTTTTTTCCTCCTTGTTTGACGACTTTGATAATTCAGTTTCTTTTTTCAGGAGAGACGCAGCTTTAATGACAGTCCCGTCTCTCTATCTCTCTCTCTCTCTCTCTTTCTTTTCCTCTCTCTCTCTCTCTTTCTCTCCTCTGAAGGAATCTCCCTTCTGCAGATCCAGGATCTCACATGGTCAGGTTCTCTTTAAAAGGATCAGACCTGGGTTGGGGTCTCACGTGACAACCAAACCATCTACCGGGAACTAACAAGACCAGCGAGTTTCCATGGTAACTGTAGGTTCTCTGGTGGTCCTCTAACTGTCTTCTTAACTGTCTCACTTCCTGTCTGGTACTTGTTCTGACGCCTCTTGTTTCAGCAGCGACCTCCTCATCCTCATCCTGGTGGATCAGGGACCACCCTGAACTCCCATCAGTCCTCTGGTTTCCCTCCTCTCTCCTCCATCCTCTCCACCTTCAGAGCGTTGGGACGCCATCTACCACAGAGGGTCTGCATATATACACATAAACATGAACGTATGTAATCTATAAAGACACCACAGCGCCACCTGGATCTGCAGCAACAACAACAACAACAAGAACCAAACAGAACCTGAGCAGGAACTCTCTGCAGCAACATTCAGGTCTGACTCATCCCGGGTTTGTCTATCCTCTTCCTCCTCTTCCTCCTCTTCCTCTCATCTTCTTCCTCTCTCTCTGAAGTACCCCCCGCCCCCCCCCTCTCCTCCCTAACAAGCATGGCGACGAAAAGGAAGAGCGAGAGAACTTACCATTCACAAAACACCCGCTTTTTTTCTGAGGAGCTAACGGCGCTAAAAATACGAACGCTCCTCAGCTGCTGCTGCGTCTCATTACTCAGGAGGTCTCCAGATAGACACACTGTCAGACACACACGAACACACACACACACACACACACACACACACACACACACACACAGGATGAGGACTTTCTGGCGTTTTGAAGGATCCCGCCCGTTTGGCGCTCAGCCCTGAATCTCTTTTTCGAGATAAAACAGGAAGTTTGATGTCGATGTCTCACTGCACCAGAGGATGACCTTTGACCTTTGAGAGTACTGCCCATGTCCGTTCGCATTAGATCGCCATCGTCACGATATAAAGTCCAGGACACGCACACACTGGGTCTGGTTGTTGGGGGTTCCTTCAGCATAACGTGACATTACTCATCTTAGCTAAAGCGCGCACGACAAGTTAGACCGCTTAAGTGTGTGTGTGTGTGTTAGTGTGTGTGTGTGTGTGTGTGTGTGTATTTGTGAGTAAAGCGGGTTATTTTAGCCTCAAACCTTTGAGAAACAGCAGGTCGTTAGGAAACAGCTGATGAGTGTCGGCCACCGTCGGCTGGTATGGAAGTACGCCTGTGGGGTTATATGACTAATGTCAGAGTGTGTGTGTGTGTGTGTGTGTGTGTGTGTGTGTGTGTGTGTGTGTGTGTGTGTGTGTGTGTGTATTTCCTCTTGTGGGACTATTAAAGAAAGGATCTTATCCAGTTTTCCAGAAGAATCCTCTTCAGCGCTAAACTGTCTTGTCTTCATCTGAACCGGGTTTCTGCTCCTCGGACAGACCAGAGTCAGAGACCGACAAAACCTCTGACCCCCAATATCCACCACATCCTGAACGGCTACGACCCCAAAGTCGTCTCTCTAAAGACAGACACATAGACATATAAGCAGTAGATTGTGTCCTTCCAGAGGAGGAAATCTACTTCTAGACTTCTAGAATCAGCATCTCCTCATCCATGGTGTCATCAGGGTGAAATGACGTCTAAAAACCTTTCACTTGTTGGTCTCCGCCCGAACAAGCGAAAGGTTGTGTTTTATTTTGAAAAGAAGCCGGATGTTTTATTTTGAAGTCTGTGCCCGACTTCCTTTCCAGCACGGGTTAATCTGTGCTGAATTTATCCGCCATGCTCCGGCGATCCGCAGAGGAACGGAAAGAAGTCGGTGTAAATTGACACGTTAACTTGAATGGTTACGATCAGCTACGATCGGAGGATACGACCTTTTAGGAGACGATCAGGATGAAGGTGGAGATTTGGGGACTAATCCTCTTCATGGATCACGCTCTAGATGTAGACTTGTTTTAGGTAGATGTCTACATAGACCTCATGTCTTCACTCCATCATCTGAACCTCCATACTCAGAGTCCAGTTTGGGATCAGATCTCTGGTTCTGAGTTCTGGTCTTAGTTCCTCTTATTTACAGACGGAGATCATGAACCACGGTCAGGTCTGCAAAGACTCCTGAGAAATCCAACAGGGACCAGTCCCAGAGTCTGTGTTAAACCAGTTTCAGGGCTCAGATGTTCTGGTTCTGTTCTGAGGGTGTTCTCCCCGCTCCTCCTCAGGGACGGCGTTTTCTTGGTCTAGTTCTGAATCCACAACACATTAACGCCCCCCTTAATTGCTCGCTCCAGTTCTTAACCATAAAAATAACTCGATGACGTCTCCTGACACCGTCCCCGTTACTGGGACGCAGCGTTAACAAAGGTGATCCTGATGGTCTGTCCCCTAAAACCCCGGTCCTGAGGGGCGGAGTCTGTTTTTCACCCCGGTATAAAAGCCCACATGATCAGCTGCAGTTATTTCTCCAAAGCGCTCGTCTTGGTTCAGGTGCAGCCGAGCTTTTAACCCCGAGGAGAGCTCAGGGCTGGGATGTCAGTGTCAATCAGCGCCATGCTTCACAGAGAGCGGCGGCGAGCTTCCGCATGCTTCTCTTCCCCTCGCCGAGTCTGCGCTCCTACCTCAGGGCCCGCATCAGCATGAAGACTGTCGACACGCTCACCTGCTCGCCGCGCGGCCCACCCATCCAAGAACACTTGATATGCAGCTACAATCCGCCGCAGTGCAGAAACAGACGCCGCCGCTCTCTAACCTCGTCCTCGCCAAACAGACGAATCAGATTTGAGAAACCAAGAAGACCATCTGTGAGGACGTCTGAGGACCTCAACTTCTCCTGGTCCAGAGAGCCTCGAGTCCAAACTGTCCCTGATCCGACGCCAAATCATGTCCTGACTTTTCTATGGCCTCAAAACGTCACACACACACACACACACACACACACACACACACACACACACACACACACACACACACACACACACACACACACACACACAGTCCTCCTGTCCAAACTCCATCACGGTCTCCTCCAGCTGATGTCGTCTGTCACGTCCTCGTCTTCCTCCTCGGCTCCTCCTCGTCATTATGATCCTCGCCTAATGGAATCTAACGGGTCTGTGACGCCGCGGCGAGGAGCAGGACTCTACTGTCACGAGAGGGATGACCCGACAAAGTCTCTGCGTGTGGTTGGACGAGCTCTTAATCCCACAGTACGTTTACAGTCACAGTTTAATTGAATTATTGACGTGAACATGTCCTCCTCCCCAACACTAGGGGGCGATATGGGTCTTTTCAGCGGCGCTGTTCCCGACCCCATCCAACCGTCAACAACAACAGCAGGTCGGTGTCAGACGTCAGAAGTGTCTCCAACTGCTGCTGGGCATTTTGGAGAAACAAGAAGATGGAGCATCGTACAGCGTTGTTTTTGTCCGACATGATGGACGCGCTACTTTTTCTAAAGAGGAGACCAACGCTACTCCTCTACTCTGGGGGTTTTGTTACGGGGTAACGGGGGCGTGGCCGATCATACTCCGACTACGCTGGTTACATGGTAGAGAAAATCGGATTCCAATCCCATTATCATGGTGTTTTAATCGGAGTTTAAGAACTCAGATTATAGTCGGACTAAGGTGTTTACATGACCTTCAGTTGTCCGGTCTTAATCGGAATAAGACGATAATTCGGTTTTCTTGGGTGTCATGGAAACGGACTGACTGAGACTGACGGATCAGAACCAGTTTAGTGATATTATCTGAGTAGAAATATTGAAGTGAACCGGGTCAGGTTAGAGTTTTGATCTGAGTCTAAAGCAGCTCTGACTGTAAAATCAGATTTTTTAATAAAACCATTTCTGCTGGTTCTGGTCCGATCAGAAACCCTGAACTCTGGGTTTCTTTGACCCGGTCCAGTCGAGGAAAATCATGAAGTTTATTATTAACATGATTTCTGACGTCTGGACGAGCGTCTCATTGAGATCACTTTATGCAGCTACGATCCTGGTCTTAGGTGGTTCTGACGGCCTTTAAACTCTCGGACCCAGCAGCTCCAGGTCTCTGCTTCTGGATCGGTATCAGGGTCTTTTCTGTGGAGTACCAGAACCGGAGCTGTTTCCCCGAGATAACCGGTATCATCCAGTCAGACGTGTCCCTCTGAGTCACAGATTTAATCGTTTTTTTAGAGATCCTCCTTTTCTGTTGTTGAAGCAGAGATTCTGTGTTCTGACCCAGAACCCGGGTCGACCCGTCTCTGCAGAAATGACAATAATCTGAAACATTTTCTGTTGCCAATCAGGAGGTAAGAATGAAACCTGGTGATTCATCAGAGCGATGATTACTGATAAAGACCGCCGTCGTTTCCTGGAGGACGACCTTTCCCCTAAAGAACCAGGAGACCCGATTCTACCACAACACCAGTCCAGAACTTAATGATCCATTAATCACGCAGAACATCCCCGAACAATAACGCTCGCACTCAAGAAGGTCACCGTTCTTGGCGGCGGGAGCTCCCGTTTGTTCACATCAGCGAGCAGCGAGGCGAGCAGGGTGAGCGGCGGGGTGCGGTGGACGTCAGGAAGACTTAGTGCCGCCACAACGGGTCCAAGATGGCCGTGCTTAGCGGTGTCGGGCCTGACAGGTGACAAAACAGCTGTGGAAAGGGGGCCACACGGGTCTGTCTGTGTGTGTGTGTGTCTGTGTGTGTGTCTGTGTGTGTGTGTGTGTTCGTGTGTATTAGATTCAGAGCAGCAGATCTCTCACAACATCACCACCTCTAAACCCGGTCTGAGGGAGCAGGTTCTGACCCAGACCCAGATTCTGAGGCGGTTAATGGACTTCTGACAGGAAGCTGCACACACACACACACACACACACACACACACACACAGACACACACACACACACACACACACTCATCATTGTCGGATCTCTGATTATCGGAGTTGTATTCTGGTGATCACACAGAACAATACAGAACTTTTCAAAGATCCGATTGGTCCTGGTTCCGACCTCACTGCAGAGAAAGAGGTTCTGCTCAGGTTCTGGTGTTACAGACCCGATCAGACCCAGTTCCTCTCATTACAGCTGATGATGCAGAAACAGACTGATGATGTACAACAAGGAAACAGAACCGTTGGATTTGACGGGCCCAGAACTATCTCTTACCACCACTCTACAGAACCGAACTGTCACAGTCCTCCTTCATTTTAATGTATTTTAATATGTGATGTTTGAATGTATTTTAGTGTATTTGGTTTCATTCTTATTTTTATTTAAATCTTTTATTTTTGTTCTGGATTCTATTTATACTGTGAGGCGCCCTTAGAAATAAAATGTAATATTATTCTCATTATCATAATTATCATTATTATTATTAGGGCCCGAGTCGAGCTCTGTAGCAGCCCTATTGTAATCGTTTGGGTTCTTGATTCTTCTTCTTCTTATTATCATAATTATCTTTGTTATTATTGTTATTTTACCTTCCGAAAATGTAAATTTGACCCCCTGAACCATGAAAACTCATGAAATTTGGAAGGGAGGTAGGGCCCGGCGGAAATCGCAATGTGGCCCAAAAAAACGAGAAAAAATGGCTCGCTAGCGCCCCCTACAGAGCGCCACAAAGGTAGACTTTTTCCGATCTGCCTGAAATTTTACAGGCATGTGCATTTAATGAGATCTTTGATTTTGCGCATTTGGACATTTTTCTCAGACGCACGGTTAAAGAGTTATTCCACTGTTTTTGCCATCTGCATATGTCACACAAACATATCTTATTATTATTATCATTCTTATCATTATTATTAATATTATTATTTTTATTATTATTATTATTATTATTATTGTTGTTATTATTAAAAATGTCGTTCAGTCTCACAGGTGTGACTCACCTGAGCCTCTCTCTCTGTGGTTTATTTCTTTTTCACTCATCGTCCACATTCACAGCTGTTTTCATACAGACTGATTCAGACGCACCCCTATGGTCCCTCTCACACACACACACACACACACACACACACACACACACACACACACACACACGCTCACGTTCAGTGTGAATCTACAGCAGAGTCTGAGGATGAGTGTACATGAGTCAACAGTCTTTCCTGCCGCTGTCGTTCACAGTGACTCATATTTCCATTTAGAGCGTTTCTGAAGTCAGGACCACCCCACCCCCTCGGTTAATGACACAGCCGACAGGTGGACAGGTGGACAGGTGGACAGGTGTGGATAAACTCAGAGAATATCAATGACGTTAAAAAATGAGTGTTTTGATCTGAGGTGACTGAGCTCCATCATGTCAGACGATCTTTTCTAATGGGCCTCCTCCTCCTCCTCACCCTCTCCTCTCTTTTTAGTTTCTCCTCCTCCTCCTTTTGTTTCTAACCCTGAATATCGACAGTCTTAGCTAACCACCCCCCCCCCTCGCTCTCACTTCCTGCGGCCTCACAGGAGGCTCTCAGGGCGCAGTATGTGGCCGCCCTCGCCGCACAGATGTCAGGAATAAACCGATCGTTTCACTTAACAGAAAAACACCAGCATCCACCGCAGACCACCTCCTCCTCCTCCTCCTCCCCTCTATCTCTCTGTTCTCCTCCTGTCATCTTCATCCCTGACATCATCATCTCCTCTTCCTCCTCATCCCTCTGCTCCCGTCTCACCCTCTCTCCTCTTCTGCCCTCTGATTCGCTTCATGTCCTCCTTTCTCTCACTCCCATCTCGTCTCCATCACGCTCGCCGTTTCCTCACACACACACACTGGCTCTGTTTGTGCCACCACCCCCTGCTTACTTCAGGTCACTCTGAGCCTCTGAGCCACAATAGAGCCATAAATGCCCCTCCCTCTCTCTCCCTCGGCCCCCCACGGTGAACCACAATGCTGCAGCTCTCCCTCTCAGACCTGCAGCAGATGAACGTCCAGGAATGACTCAAACTGCAGCTCACCTTCCAAACATGTCACACTCGTGCATCCTTCTTCCTCCCTCCTCCTCCTCCTCCTCCTCCTCCTGCTGCACACCTCCCTGCAGCTTTTGCTTTTGTATTCTCAGCTCTGCGTTTGTTAAACTCCTGACTGAGAAGATCCTGATTCTCCAAAAGCAGACAGGAAAGACTCCGGGCGTTCTTCATCCTGTCTGCAGCAGCAGCTCCAATATCTCCATAATAAAACATCTGGGACCTCCACAGAGCCGGAGCTCTCAGAGTATTAGGGAGGTGAGAATCCCAGAGTCAGCTGATGAAATATGAACGCTTCAGACACGAAACAAGAAAACCGCAGATCTGACTGAGATCATTGTAGCTTTTAAAAACTGACCGATTTCAACAACATCCCCAAATATCTGAACACCTCTGAGTTTTTCTGTTTTACTCCAAAAAAGATTTACAGACAAACATCATGAGTGAAGAGGAGCGCAGTTAGCACACTGTTGGTTTTAACAGGAAAGATGTGAAACAGCTTCAGAGGAAATGATGATTAAAGGAAATCATGAAGAGTTCAGGCTGGGCGATTAAATGATAACGATATATATCAGAAATTAATGTCCCTCAATATCAATATAAAACATGGTCAACATCCTTTTCAATAGTCGGCATTCTGCCATGTTTTGGTCGACTATACCAATGCAGTGGTGGCCTGTGTAAAAGAGAGTCTCCCTGAAAATATTCTCAAAATAAGGAAATCTGCTCTTATATTCATCGTTCCATTAAATGTATTTCTCTCTTCCCAGTGTTGCGGTGGAATCGAGACGCCTGTTGTCTCACACATGCTCAGATCACAGATCTGCATTAAAAAGTTAGCTTATTCTAACTAGGGGCACCAGAGACGAGCGCCCAAACGTCCCTAATTTAAATGACGTAAACACGTTCATGACCAGATTGACCACAAACAGATTCAGAGCTACAATGTGCGTCTGACTGGGAGTACTCTGACTGCACTCTGCACTTGGCTGCTAATGACAGAAGACGTAGGAATGGCGACTGCAAACCCCCTACCGAGTGATTTACCGGAGAACGCTGCACTGTCCATCAAGTAGGTCCCGTTTGAGAGAAGAACTCTGCAGGACAAACTAAAGCTGGAAGAGCTCGGTCCAGATAGACCAGACGTCGCCGCTCAGCAAGTGACCACTGAGAAGAGCAGAATATATACGCTGACATTTTCAAGAGCAGGGTAGAGGCGCAAAGCATGGCTAACTGGAAGTCTGAAGAGAAAGGCTCTTTTTTGTTTCCCGTGTAAATTAATGGAGACAAAAAGAAACAATAAAAATGGAAAATTAAAATTTCAGCTCCTGAAACAGTCAGTCAACAAAATCCGTTTGTAGAAAAGTAGAGAATATAAAGATAAAAACCTAAAATAAACCAGACTAAGAAAAGGCTAACAGACAATGTTCATGTCATAATGTTAGAAATCAATAACTTTTAAGGCAGGATGGAAACGTCCTGGAAAAGTCCTGGAAAATGATTTCTATAACAGAGTGTGAACCCTGTTTTTGTTCAGCTGTAATAAAACTGTTGTGTATTTAAACGTTTGTGTTGTTTGATGTTCAGCCTGGTTTGTTGTAAATGTGGGTCTGCTCTTCATTCTTCTTCTGCTGTTGTCTCTCTCTGTGCTCCTTCGCTGTAACCTAACCTGTGGAGATGCAGGTGAACGCGCACGAGTAAGAGAACGCTACAGTCAGTTTCTATATCATTAGATTACATTAAAGTAGGTCGGCTGAGTGTCGATATAATGTCCTGATGATGAGATGAAAAACCATCAGCCCCACCCACTAATTTTCTCACCAGCCGTCCCCTAGCCAATGAAAAGGAGAGTTTCTCTGGGTCCGCTTCACTCTGAACCAATCATGATCTGAATCAGAACCAAGTAAAATCCTGCGTCGCAGCAGACAGCAGCTACACCCAACACTGGCGTTAGGAAAACGTCGGTGGTGTGGAGGTATTTTGGTTTTTGGAGGTCGGACATGAAGCAGAGTAATGTGGACTGTAAATCATGTCGAGTACATGTTCTCACAAAGTCGGGGAATACCTCAAATCTTTTTCACCGCCTGAAGCAGCGCCACGCCGCAGAGCACACGCAACGCTAAAGGTTACAAACCCCGAGAGGAGACATTTAAAACTGACAAGTGATTTTTTCACATCGTGATATTTATCGATATCGACTGATATGAAAAAAATATACTGTGATAAACTTTTTCTCATATCGCCCAGCCCTGCTGACCTCACTGATAATCTCACACACAACACCTCGTTTCTCCTCGTTCGTCTACGTTTGAGTTTTCAGCACTTTTAGAAAATCTCCATTATTATTACAACCATCAATCAACCTCCTGACACATGTGCTTATTCTGGGGAGGGGGGTCAGAATTACTGATGGTTCATTCAAAAGTCTCACCTGGAGGGGTCAGAGTTCATCAAAAAACAATTGGCGTTTGACTCCTTCATTATGAAGAGCGACCTCAGACCTCAGACAGAAATCTAACTGTGATCAGCCCGAGCGAAGGTCTGCATCTGCAACTCTAAACAACCCAGAGGAAATGACTAAAGGAGAACAGACCCAATTAAAAAACAGTGTCCCTTAATAATGATCAGATATTGATGTATGATTGGATCTTTATTGGTTTTACTCTCAGACAGATTAAATCAGCTCCTCCATGAAGGAATAAAAATCTGTTTTCATGTCTTTACTCTGCGCTGTGTCGGACACATTATGGGGTTTATAATGCCGTAAATGTCCCTGTCATGATGAGAGCTGAGGATAACAGTGAGGGGGCGGCCCCTCCACTGTCTGATCTGATGTTTGCACCGCTGTCTTCACATGGATCCAAAAAAATAAAGAAAATGTAAAAGGATCAAATTCAAGAAGAGAGCTGTCTCCGTCTGCATCAGAGGGTCTGAAGTGCAGCAGAGGACCTGGATGAAGACTGCTCAGCACCGTGGACATCGTCAGGCACGTTTGACTGTGTGTGTGCAAACTTCAGCAGAGGCCGATTCCCTGAATAACAATCGCTGATACACACCATGAGTCATTTCCATCAAGTCTATTTAATGCAGGAAAAGCGTCCAAGTCTGTTTCAGAGAGTGTGTGTGAAACACGGAGAAGCGGATCAGGATTCAAACACGGCTCCAATCTTTCTCCAAATTCATCTCTGCTAAAAATAAAACACTCAGAGCTGCGACGCATCCTTCTCCCTCAGCATCCAACATCCAACAGCTCTGCAGCCAGAGACACAGATCTGGGTATTTACCAAACTACACACTTGTTTTATTACAATATTTCACTTTCAGCTGATCTGCAGACATGAGAGGATTAAACAGCTGACAGCTCACTGAGGGGTGGGGAGGGTGGGGGGCTACAGGTTTTAATAAACAAGCAACACCTGCATCTGATCCGTGCGCTTCTGTGTCTAAAAAAGACCATGTCACAGCAGGAACCAACAAAGCCCTCAGCAGGTACATGAAGACTCGGAGTGCAGAGAGGCCGAACTTACCTTGACTGACATTAAAAAAGGTGTGTCCGGGATTTACCGCACCGACCAGCCGAGCTTTCTTCTCCTTCTTCTTCTTCTTCTTCTCTCAGCAGACACCTGACCGGGGAGCAGCATGGACAATCACGGTCCTCTTCATGGCCGTTTGGAGAGACGGAGTCCGCGGAGGCATTTCGGGAGAAGAGGAAGAGAGAGAGAGGGGGAGAGAGAGAGAGAGAGGGGGTCGTATCGATGCTGCTGCTGCTGCTGCTGCTGCGGTGTAAAACCCTCCGCTGCTGCCGCCGGAAAATTGGGTTTCGCGTTGCCGCCTCTGAGGCTCGGTGTGGTACGCACTGCTGGACTCACATCTCCACCAATACCGGGAGGAAATCCTCCAAGTGTGCGTTTCAGCAGTCAGGTGTCCTTCAGGGATCCTGGGTGAGCATCCAGTCAGGGGTTTGGAGTTGGACTTGGAGCTGTCTGCGCTGAAGGAATTTGGGAGAAGAGTTTTTTAACCGCGGTCACGTTGACTGAGCACACTGTAAAAAATCCCACGGAGCAGGGGGGAAAGATTGGTCTGCTGCATATTTAGAAAAAACCCTCCAATGCTCTTCTTCTTCTTCTTCTTCTTCTTTTTCTTCTTCTTCTTTTCTCCGTCCCCCCAAAAAAACTAAAACATGTCACATCTTCTCAATAAATCCTCCAAACGGATTTCAGAGCAGGAATCCCGAAATGTGGATTTTTAAAACCCTGTAGCAACAGTTCATCATCATCCAAAACCAGAATTTAGAGGAGAGGATACGGGCTTCACCTCCTCACGAGCCGAGTCCTCCTCCCGATGGAGCACGCGACGGAGAGGAGCCTCAGTCAGAGAGAGAGAGGAGGAGCAGGAGGAGCAGGAGCCTCCTCACAGCGAGCCCAAATATCCCAGCAGAGAGAGCATCCAACCAGACCAGACAAGAAAAAACCCAAAACAGGCAGAAATGTCCTCCGAACACCCCGACCGATCAATAAGAGAGAGAGAGTGACCGATAATCACCGATAATCACCGATAATCATCAATAACCTTCCCCAAAGATGATTGAATCATCTACAGCGAGTCAACTAAAAAAACTGATCAGGACGAGAGGACAGAAGAGTTCAGAGAGAGAGAGAGAGAGAGAGAGAGAGGGAGAGAGAAACAGAGAGAGAGGGAGAGAGAGAGAGAGAGAGAGAGAGAGAGAGAGAGAGAGAGAGAGAGAGAGAGAGAGAGAGAGAGAGGGAGGGAGAGAGAGAGAGAGGGAGGTAGAGAGAGAGAAAAGAGAGAGGGGGAGAGAGGGAAAGGGAGAGGGAGAGGGAGAGAGAGAGAGAGGGAAAGGGGGGGACGGGGAACTGGGCATCAGTAGGCTCATATGTACGGTGGCCCTCAAGGGTCAACTGCACTCATAGTTCATTAAACAAGAAACATTAAAAACACAGATTTTTTTCTTCATAAAAACAGAAACATTCAAAAAATATTTCATGAATCACACAAAATCATAAAGTTAAAATATCCTGTGGACCAATTTAGCTTTTATGAATATACTTAAATAAAATAAAAATCTTGTAATATTTTTGAAATGTTTTTGCATTTTAAAAAATATTTCATGAATCACAAATATCAGTAAGTTAAAATATTTTGTGGACCAATTTCATATTAAAAAAAATACTCAAATTTAATGAGAAAAAATTTTCTTATGAAACACAAAAGTGTTTTACAAAGTACAAAATAATGTCAAAAACATTTGCAGAGTTCAAAAATATGTCATTAAACACAAAAAAATGATCAAAAAGTTCCATAAAAGTTGTTTCAGTTAAAGGAGTCATTTTTTATTTTTTTAAGTGTCATTGAAATACTTTTGCTTTCATACAATTACAAAATAAAAAAAAATTGTATTTTAAAAATTATTTTGAGTTCACTGAGATGTTTCCGATGTTCAGTGAAATATTTTTGCATTCATAAATATTGTGCAGTTGACCCTCAGAGGCCTCCATACCTGAATAAAGAATATCCATGCACATTTGGACAGAAAACTAATCAGGTGGATCTTAATTTATCTGAATTAATCGACACTTAAGTACACAGGGAGAGGAGCAGCAGTGTGTGTGTGTGTGTGTGTGTGTGTGTGTGTGTGTGTGTGTGGCGCGTTCACAGACGGCAATCTGTGGGACAATGGTGTGTGGTGGATTAAATATTTGATGAGGCATGCCCAGACCCTTATAACCAGCATTATGATTACACACACACACGCGCACACACACACACACACACACACACACACACACACACACACACACACACACACACACACACACACACACACACACAGCGGTGGATCATCTGGTGGACAAGTAAATGTACCATCACAGCATGAACGACTGCGATTACAGCGGGTTCGAGGAGGATCTGAACACGCCGAGTTACCGGAGCAGGTGGTTTGAAACACTTTGGCACCGGAGAGGACGACATATTGGATATTACATTAGCAGCAGCAGCCTGCAGGAGGAAGTGGGAGGAGTCAACCCTCTGTAGGTCTAAAGGGGGGGACGATGCAGATAGAAAATTATTTGTGATTCTCTCTCCCTCTCTCTCTCCCTCCCTCTCTCTCTCCCTCTCTCCCCCTCTCTCTCTCTCCCTCCCTCTCTCTCTCTCCCCTGCTCTCTCTCTCTCCCTCTCTCTCCTCAGCCTGTTTTCAGCGTCTCTGTCCGTGGTGCTGAAAACTTCTTATCTAAAGAGACACGTTAAGAAAACTCTGATGTTCCTTCATTATCTGCTTTAACCTCCTCTGAGGGGTCGACTCTCTCACCAAACACTCTCTTCATTGGCCTTTAGAGGCGCAGTTCCATCTTTTAACCACTAGGTTTAATCAGTTTCTAAATTTAAAACGAAAGCATCAAATTATTTTCTCACAGTTTTTTCACTGAAGGGACGTCTCCTATTACTGAGGGTCAGGAGACCAGGGCCTCCCTCTAAATGAAAATCTCACATCCATTTTCAGGTCTTGAATAAATCTTTGGAAATATTTAAATTAGACAATTTTATAAAAAAAAAAAAAGAGAAGACACTGAGAAAAAGTGATGAAAACAGATTTGATGGTTTGCAAATCAATCAAAGCTCATATGGGATTATAAACTACAATTACAACGAACCTCCGATATACAAAACATGTTTTTGTTTCAAGAAAATTATGATAGGAACAACCAAACAGGTCAACAGTAAGTCACATGACCGGATCTAGGATGGACCTTCAGAGAGGCGGAGTCTCTCACCCCGAATTCACCGCATCCAACGGCGGCGATATTTCCTGTCCGCCAATTCCTACCGGATCCGTTTGTGAGGCGAATTTCATGGATCACGGACAGCGGTAATCACAAGAACTCACAGGAACTCACGGATTCACGTTCAATCACGCGATAACGAGTTGTCTCTATAAAGACAGACTGAATTTATCCGCCATGCTCCGGCGTCTGGAAAAAAACTCTTGCGATCAGCTGAGGAGTCCGGCGATCTGCAGAGGAACAGAAAGAAGTTGGTCGAAACTGACACGTTAACTTGAATGGTTACGATCAGCTACGATCAGCAGATATGACCTTTTCGTAGACGTTCTGGATGTGGTGGAAATTGGGGGGTTACGGGTAGGGCCCGACCGATATGGATTTTTTGGGGCCGATGCCTATACCGATTATTAAGGTGGAAAAAAATCTGATTATGATCAATTGGACGACTTTTTATATTTTTTATTAAATTATAAAAATATATATATAGTGTAGATATACTGTAGGCTACTGCTCTTCACGCCAACTGTAAGACCTCGGACTAGAAAAGCATTTTCAACTACTGTGATGAGGTCGCTGCGCCATCTACAGGATAAGTCAGGGAACTTTTCAAATGGCGGAACATTTCCGAAGTGAAACCGAATCTTATTCTCCGCATTTTATTTCTGAAAATATAAAATCGGCAAATTTTGGACGATTACTGATTAGTCTCAAACAGGCTAAAATTGTCCGATTTAATCAGCTCGCCCATAAATCAGTCTGGCCCTCGTTACGGGTTCAGGACTCTGTAAGAGACTGCGTGAGCGAACAGTTCACCAGTTCCAGAACAAAGTTCCTGAGTGGATTTCATACACATGTTAAATATTACACACATAAATACACACAAACATCGTTGGTCATCAGAAAAAAACGCTGATCCACACAATCGTTGGAGTGAGTGTGCAGCGGAGATTTCATTAAACATGAACTCTTTTCTCCACATGCAGGTCAGTCAGACGGAGCGTTCCTCTGGATCGGGAGCACACACACACTTACTTTGACATTTCCTGCGTGTATTGACAGGAAAATACTTATTGTGGCGTTTTCATCGCCCGCCCAGAGAGAGGCTGGAGGCATGAAAATTGTATGTTCCGCCATTGTGAGGTTATGACTAATTCAAGGCACCATGCGCAAAAATACCCCCACTTGCCAGCTTGAGGTAAAGTGCGTTATTCATAAGTTGTGAATAATTGAGGTTTAGGGAGCGGAGTTGGAACTGGAGGGGGGGGGTATTTGCTGACTGTGGGCTTTGTCTGGGTTGGCACTCATGAGGAAATACAGCGCCCGGGTCAGCCAATTAGCAGGAAGAACAAAGAAACCAAGTTTGGGAGCGTGTGTGTTTTAATGACCAAGAAAAGCCAAAGTCTCTTTTCCGAACTCCGGATGTTTTTCTCCACGGGATGTCTCCTCCGACTTTGTCTGAAATTTAGGGAGCGAGCTTCTTCTGCGTGAGTGTGCGAGGGCAGGCATTAGTGACCGAGCAGAGCGGTTAAAGTCAGAAACTAATGTGTGAATGATGTTCGACTACGGAACGACAAGAGTCCCGTCGAATCATCCTGTCACGGCGAATCAGACGGAGTGAAGTAATAAGAGGAGCAGTCAGAGGATCTCAGCGGGGAAGCTCCATGACTCAGACGCATCAGGAGAACGAACCGCAAACAGCTGATTTGTATAATTACAGCAGGAGCAGCATTGTGTCCCCACAGTGGGCAGCATGTTAGCACACAAACACACAGACGCACAAACACGGCACCTGTTCCTGCAGAGGTGTGAGGATGAATGAAAACAACAACTCTCCCATTACTGACACTTCACAGAGAGACCGTCCTTCTTAATGGATCTGAGTGCAGCCTCGTCCAATCACGCACGGCGAGAGAAGCTCCTTACTGCTGACTGTGCGTTAAATCTTCACTTTAGTGTCGATGTTGAACCCCAGTTTGGTACATTTCAGATTTATTCCCATTTATTCCCACGGAAAGTTTCCAACTTTGAAAATTCCTGGAATTTTACAACCCTGGGTGGTTCTCTGTGTTCGCCTCCAAACGTTCGCCGTTCTGCAGTCTGAGGCCGTGTGATTTAATCCTGGTCTGAATCAGGTGTGTGTGTGTGTGTGTGTGTGTGTGTGTGTGTGTGTGTGTGTGTGCGCATGGATGAACATGTTGATAAAGACTTTAGTCCTCAGAGACGCAGATACACACAGCCTCTGGGCTGCAGAGAGAGGATGTCCAATATCCCAGAGTGTGTGTGTGTGTGTGTGTGTGTGTGTGTGTGTGTGTGTGTGTGTGCTGTCAGCCTCTCACTGTGAAGATAAGCGAGGAGGAGGCCCGGAGGTATGTGAGGTATGAAGAGATCCTGAGGAATCCGATTAACACCACGGGCTCGAACCGAAAACCCGAACACTATTATCTGTTCAACACAACAGCAGTGTCTTAATTCACACACACACACACACACACACACACACACACACACACACACACACACACACACACACACACACACACACACACGTTAACACGTGCACAGAGTGTGTGTGTGTGTCACAAATACATGTGCATAAAGGAAAACTGTGATACACACACACACACACACACACACACACACACACACACACACACACACACACTTCTGCAGCTGCAACCTGAGCCGTGTTCCCCCCGGTGTTCTTATTAAACATTTAGAGTCCTGGTTAAGTGGACATGTGTCCTGGTTTAGCTCCTGAATCTGTGTGTGTGTGTGTGTGTGTGTGTATCCTGTCGGGCCCATGCTGAGCCGTCATGTTATCTGTCTGTCTGTGTTATCTGTCAGCGCCGCTGAGAGAGTGACGGGCTCAGAGTTTGGTTGATGACAGGAGGACTAAATAAACGTCTCTCAGCTGAGTCCAGATCCCAGCAGGGGACGTTTGCAGAACCGGGTTCTGAACCAGGAGAGAGTGGGTCTGACGTCCTCAGATTGTTAGAAAAGCGTGGACAGGCGGCCGTGCTGTGGGGTCAGACTGGTGTGAATGTGTGTCAGCTGGACTCAAACCGCCTCACTAAACACAAAAACCTCAAACTGATTCAGTTTAACTGTTTCCTGTCAGTTTACAGAGACACACACATCATCCTCATCATCACCACCATCTTCATCATTACTATCATCATCATCATCACCATCACCATCATCATCATCTTCATCCTCATCATCATCGTCATCATCATCATCACAACCATCTTCATCATTACTATCATCATCATCACCATCATCACCAACATCATCATCATCCTCATCATCATCACCATCATCATCATCATCATCATCGTCATCATCATCATCATCATCATCACAACCATCTTCATCATTACTATCATCATCATCACCATCACCATTACCATCATCGTAACCACCATCATCGTCATCATCATCATCATCATCATCATCATCATCATCATCATCCTCCTCATCATCAATATCATCATCATCTTCATCACCATCCTCACCATTATCATTAACCTCATCATCATCTTCATCACCATCATCGTCATCATCACCACCATCTTCATCATCACCATCATCATCAGCTCGAACCTGAGTGAGTGTGGTCATCCACAGTGAGAACAAAGAGGAGCACAGATACAGGCAGACAAATGGCGCCGAGGTCATGTGACTAAAGGAAACATGTCTGTCTAAACTAATGAGGAGGTCGGCAGGAGGGCAGCTGCTCTGAAAACAGCCTTTTCACTTCCTGTCCGTCAAACCTGCAGGAGTTTGGAGCAGCAGTCGCTCATCTCAGCGGAGACGTGTCTCAGGTAGAGCGAGCTGATGGTTGTCATGGTGATAAACTCAGAGTTTAGTTTAGTGACTGTTAACTCGGAGTTACAAAGACGGAGCGGCTCTGGATCTCTAATGTTAAAGTAGAGCTGACTCTGTTTGTCTACAGAACCGGGTCAGACAGAACCGGGTCAGACAGAACCGGGCCGTGTTCGGACTCTCAGAGGTGAGATGTTCATTTAAATGAAACTGTTTCTGTCTGCAGAGCTGCAAACTCTTCTCCTGCTCTCCTGTCACTGATTATTTTTTCTTATTGATAAAAATCAATCAATCACATTTCTAATGATCGATCAGGATCTGCATCAATACAAACACAAACTGACTGATGATTTCACGCCTCTATCTACAGGACTAAAACAAAAAATGAAACAGTCAGTAAACTGAAACAGACTTGATGATTTGGCACCTCTATCCACAGGACTTAAAAAATGAATCAGTCTGTAAACTAAAACAAACAAAAAAAAACGGTCAGTAAATAAACAGTCAGTAAACTGAAACAGTCAGTAAACTAAAACAGTCAGTAAACTTAAACAGTCAGTGAATTCAAACAGTCAGTAAACTAAAACTAAAACACTGAAGTAAAATGAAACAGTCAGTAAACTGAAACAGTCAGTAAACTAAAACAGTCAGTAAACTTAAACAGTCAGTGATTTGAAACAGTCAGTAAACTAAAACAGTCAGTAAACTTAAACAGTCAGTGAATTCAAACAGTCAGTAAACTAAAACTAAAACACTGAAGTAAAATGAAACAGTCAGTAAACTGAAACAGTCAGTAAACTAAAACAGTCAGTAAACTTAAACAGTCAGTGAATTCAAACAGTCAGTAAACTAAAACTAAAACACTGAAGTAAAATGAAACAGTCAGTAAATCAAAACAATAAACTGAAACAGTCTGTAAACTAAAAAAGTAAGTGAACTAAAACAGTCAGTGAACATAAAACAGTCAGTAAACTTAAACAGTCAGTGATTTAAAACAGTCAGTGAACATAAACAGTCAGTGAACTAAAAAAGTCAGTAAACATAAACATTCAGAAAACATAAACAGTCAGTGAACATAAACAGTCAGTGATTTAAAACAGTCAGTAAACATAAACAGTCAGTGAAGTCCTCAGAGATGTTTGTTTTTGTGAATTTGACAGAGCGGTTGACCAATTTTAACCCGTTTTACTTGATTTACACTCTAGTTACAGCCTCTCTCTCTCTCTCTCTCTCTCTCTCTCTCTCTCTCTCACACACACACACACACACACACACACACACACACACACACACACACACACACACACACACACACACACACACACCTGTCCACACAGCAGCAGGAGCGTGCACGTCCGTGCGTGTGCAGCAGCTCCGGTCTCATTTCACAGTCTGCTCTTTACCCACCCGGATAGAAAGCTAGTTTGTTCTTTCCATTAGAGTCTAATTCTATTACGCTGCGGTTCTGATCGATCCGACATTCAGGGAGACGTGCAAGAAAAGGAGCGAGCCCAGCACAGCCCAGGCCACTGCAGCGGCGGCGGCAACGGCGGTACTAGGGTGGAGGCGGGGAAAGGTGGGAGTGTGTGGAGAGAGAGAGAGAGAGAGAGAGAGAGAGAGAGGCTGAGTCTGCACACACCTGAGAAATATGATCCAACCTCACGGAGGGATCGATGACCACAGCGACTGAATTCAAACAACTTCCTGTCATCTTCCTGGACGATGTGTGAAGCTGCAACAAGGAAGAAAGACGAGTCAGAGGAAGGACTTCAACCACACACACACACAGATACACACACACACACACAGAGGGGGGTGTCAGGAAGTTCTGACCCGGCCCGCTCCGATAAATCACTGCAGGCTGCTTTAAAACCACAGAGCAGAGGTTCAGGTCTTTCTCACGGACGTTCTAGAGTCCAAACCTCAGGATCAGTTTGACAGACTCTTGAGTATCTAATATTCCCCTCTAAAGTTCTGTCTGCAGGACAAACTAAACGGATCAGAACCAGGATAGGGTGGTCCAATGAGACGCAGCAGCGTTGTTCTGTAGGAGTTATGATTCATGTTTTTAGGAACAAACTCTCAGCAGGTTCTTCTGTAAGAAAAGAAGGAGCTTCATCATGATCAGTCAAAGCAGAGGAGCTGTCAGAGTGTCAACATTGTTCTTGTGGACCGGGCTGATGGTTCTGACAGGACGCTGACTGACTGTGGGGGTGAAGCAGAAGGAGCCTCTGTCTCTGCCGCTCCTCCAGATTTACTCGTCTTGTTCGTTTGCTGCTGAGCGCCGTCTGTAAACACGAGGACTCCAGACTCCATCTTCTCTGACATCCTCTCTCCATCCGTCTTTTTAGTCCAAACAGATCTCACACACATGTCGGCCCGATTGTTGTTCTGATCCAGGATTCTCCTCCATCCTGTTACGATCAGCTGATCTCTGACACACACTTGGGGGTCTGAGGGCGCCATGACGACTTCCTGTGGACCCACCAGGGTTTACCTGTTCATGAGGGGTCAGTCTGGGTTTGATCTGGACCTGAGTTCAACAGAACAGAACCAGACCTGACAACCATGAGTGTGTTTGTAAGTGTGTGTATTTGTGTGTTTGTGTATTTGTGTGTGTATTTGTCTATTTGTGTGTTAGTGTATTTGTATATTTGTGTATTTGTGTTAGTGTATTTGTATATTTATGTAAATCCATGGTTAAAATTATTCTTGAGTATGCAAGAACATAACTAAAACTCGGAGGTTTGTTACAAACCAAACTGTTTGAAAATCGGTTTAAAGTTAATCAATCTGTGGTTAATTGAATGCTTTAAGCACGTAAATTGGAACGTTAGGAGTGGGCGAGCTGACCATAGCAAGATGGCCGCCATGCGCGGACATCGGTCTCCATTGGCTAAGCGAATCACGTCGCGTTGCCAAGGAAACCCTCCTAGTAGCCGGCAGCTAGCTAAAAACAGCCCGGGAAACACAATTAAGAAGAAATAACTCACTTTATCAGACAGACAGCGCTCCTCTTCATCACTTTATCCTTCTCGTCTTCCTTAAATGTTCCTTCAGACTCCTCAAATTTCCCCGTTTCTCCGTGAAAAACCGGAAAAGTCCAGAATCCGGTAACCATCATGATCCCGGTCTGCGGTGCCCTCGGTTTATCACTTTGACTTGATCCGGTTCCTGTGAGCTCTGTGAGGTTCAGATTTTAGATTTCTGCTCCTGAACTTTTACTCCTTTATTTAATGATGTTACACAGAAGAGTTACACACCTGTGTTTGTGTCCCGAATGAGGGGATATAACCGCGCACTGACACACTGCTGCCCCCTGGAGGTCTGGAGTAACGACTGTCCAATCAGAGAAGAGAGGAAGTCACAAACAGCCGCATGCGCAATAACGTCTAAAGAGTTTCTATAGTTAAAGGTAGGGTAGTCAGGGTCTGAGGAAGTTCCTGTTTTTAGGAGAAATCTTGACTGTAAACTCTACCCGATATTGTAGCACGCTAACTTTGTTTGGGCTCCTGAACGACACGGGGGAGCAGCATCTGCCTCACAACCAATCAGGTTAGAGGAGGTGGAGAACGGCTTTGTTTACAGTCAGAAAGAGCGGAGCGCTCAAAAATGTTCAAATGTTGACGACACAGACATACGAGAACACAGAGATATCGATATATTACCAAATGTCATCAATAACTAATAACTATTGACTGATATTAGAAGATTTTTTTTATTTACACCACAAAATAAAAAACAAAAATTCCTGCCTACACCACCTTATATATATATATATTTATAATATATAATATATAAGTACGTATTTATCTTGACTATAATTATTATAGTTATATTATTGTAGTTCTTATGTATTATCCTTTGTGTTTGTATATTTTTAGTCGTTTTTATATATTTTTAGTTGTTTTCATGTATTTATTTTTGTTTTTATGTTTTTTATGGTTTTTATTTCTCATTTTTTGCATATTTTAAGTTGTTTTTTCATCATTATTATTATATTTTTTTATTTCTATGTCTTTGTTTTTATGTATATATTTGTTGCTTTTCTGTCTTTTTTTTCTGTATATTTTATTGTTGTTTTTATGTATTAATCTTTATTTTTTGTGTATGTTTTGTTGTTTTTATGTATCTATCTTAGTTTTTTTGTTATTTCTATGTCTTTGTTTATATTCTATTGTTGTTTTTCTGTCTTTGTTTTCGTTTTTCTATTGTTGTCTTTTTGTCTTTGTTTTCATGTATTAATCTTTATTTTTGTGTATTTTTTGTTGTTTTCTGCCGGGGTTTTTATCCGTAGCTTTTTTTTGTCTTTATTATAATATATTTTTTGTTACTAAGTTTTTGTCTTTGTGTATATTTCATTGTTTTTATATGTCTTTGTTTTCACATATTAATCCTTATTTTTGTGTATTTTTATTGTTTTGTGTATCTATCTTGGTGTTTTTGTCATTTCTTTGTCTTTGTGTATTATGTTGTTGTTTTTCTGTCTTTGTTTTGTTGTGCAGCTGTAGTCGTTTCCCGTTGGTTAAACTGATGTTTGTCCTCACCGCTCTTCGGAGACTCTCAGCACAGTCCTCGGGGGTTTCTGTCTTCCTCTGCGCAGCTTTTCCATTTTGCATATTTGTTTTTTTCATGATTGTTTCTGTTCAAATAAATAAACTTGAGTCATGTCTCTAACTCCCCGAGGTAACTCTTCAGTGATGCTGCGGCCCAACAGGTCCCCTTGTGTTTATGCACGATCCTGTTACTCAGATAAACAGGAGCCTGAGGTGAGGCAGGGATGCGGAGCATGAATCCAGGACCGCAGTCGGCTCAGGGCGGGCCCACGCACATCTCCATGTGTGGCTGATAGCTTCAGCGCAAAAATCTGGAGTCATGCTGGTGCTAAATATAGACAAAGGTTTTATGTAAGCTGCTGCTGCTGCGGTGAATCACTCTATTCCACACATTTCTGCACATTTACTCACACTGACGGAGTGACAACAACACACAGGTGAGGCAAACACAACCACGGCCTCCTCCGCCGCCACCGCCGCCGCAGTGCTGCCACATCCAAACCTGACGACGCAGCATATGCTGGAATTACACCTGATTACATACATGAGTGTGTGTGTCAGTGTGTCAGTGTGTGTGTCAGTGTGTGTGTCAGTGTGTGTCTTCCCCCAGGGCAGGGTAATTTGAATGCGTTAATCAGAGCCCAACATGATTGATTGGGCGTGTGTGTAAAGGCAGCAGGGATGTCCTTCAGAAAGACAGTGTAACAGTAAGTCTGAGCACACACACACACACACACACACACACACACAGAGTCATGTAGGCGTGATGCTTTTGTGTCAGTGTAGATTGTTCCTCCTCACAGTTTGGAGTCGTATGTTTTTCAGTCGGTTATAAAAAAAGACGAACAGCGACGTTGAACTCGCTCTAAAATGATCCCACATTATTCCTCACAGCGTGGATCTCCTCGTGTCCTCGGGCTCGAGGAAAAACACAGAGGAGGTAAAAAATGGACAAGACGCGGGAGAGCGGAGAAGAGAGCAGAACCCCCCCGCCGCCGCCCCCCATTTACTTGGACAGCAATGCAATAGAAGAGTCTAAAAATAGATGAAGAAGATCTCAGCGTGGACCAGCAGCATGGAGAAGAAATGGAGATGGGTAATAAACATATGGTGATGAGTCTGGAGCCTGGCCTACTTTAAACACAAACACGTCTTTACTCGAACCACAGCCTTGAAGATTGATCCTGTCTGCCAACAAATAACGAAGCTGGGGACGTGTGAGAGGAATTAGGTCCAATTAAGACGAAGACGAGGGAGGATGGGAGACGAGGAGGAGGAGGGGGGATAAAGGACCTGCAGGGAGGAGAGAGAGGAGCCGCCAACCTCAGCAACCAAACCTGCTCCTTCACCTCCCTCTGAGAGACGACCTTTGACCTCACCGGGTCGCTGCAGACCAATGATAACACCTTAAACACACACACACACACACACACAGCAGCCTGTCAGACACGCAGAAAAGCTGCAGACACACACTTTAGTCAGCTTTTGTCTTAGAACACACACACACATTGCTCTGTGTTACATCAGATTAGATTATAACAACACTCACGGCTCTCTCACACACACTCACACAGACACACACACACACACACACACACTCTTTCTGCTCTGATTTTTATTTCCTCTTCCTCGGTGTCGCCTCGTGTTTGCTGAGCTGCAGATCCACCGACGTTGTTCAGGATCTTCTCTCAGCATCTTTTACTTCTGAACTCAGATTATCCTTCAGTTTTCCAACAGACTTAAGAGGCTGAAAAGTGTCAAAAATAAAGTCTAAACAGTGTGGAATCAAAACAACAAGCTGACATGATGTTTTTAAAATGAGACTTCAGCTCCTTCACACAGATCTGAAATAATAATCTACGGTGTGACCTGAAAAATCTCCCTCCTGAGACCGAGGCATGAAGCATTGAAAGAGCGATGGCGCCCTCTGCTGGCCACTCTGCACACCTTCTTAGTTTTTACTGACTTTTATGAGCCCCAAAAAACAGAATCAGTTCGGTTTTATACTTCTTATCAGTTGAGAATAATTAAACATGAAAAGGTAGTTGGACATCTATTTACATTTACATTTCTTTATCGTTTCCTTGAAGTAATAATCATCATATTAATCATTTTACAGACGCTGTAGTTCTTCTGCCTTAGCGTCTCGGTCTGATTGTATTTCCATGAAGAAATGATCATAAATGTTCTTCCTTGAGCTGCGGCACCCCGCTGTAGTCCGTAATGGACTGGCCTGAGGTCTCTCTACAAACAAGCGGCTGCTGGAAGAGAGTAGGTGAGTTGTGTTTAGTCTCTTTGCTAAAGAAATGAGTCAAAGTTAAAAAGATGTTTGGTGTCTAGTTCTATGGCTGTGACCCTATATGTACTAACCTCAGTAGAACATGGTGTAGTTCTGTTTAGTAACAGAACCTCATTGGAAAATTAGCTGATTTAACTTTACTGTGCTCTTGTTCAAATATATTAACTCGACAGCACATAAATCCATACCTGTTAACAAAGTCATGATTTTATTGATAATTCTGCTCAATAAAAACACCTTTACCTTTTCATTTTACTACAGTAGAAGTTTATTGGCCCAGCTTATAGACTACAGAAGTGGAGAAACGCCCCCACTTAAGTTTATGTTTTCTTAGGAGTTAGAAGCTGAAGCTGTTTGAGATTCAGGTTTTTAGATTTCTGAACCTTCAATCTGTCGTTTCATCTGAATTTTTGTTCTTTTTAATTCTCTGATAACCTGCTGCTGCATCAACAACAACAGAGCGCTCTCAGGTTTCTGCATGTGTGTGTGTATGAGTGTGTCTGACATGATAGTGACAGACTCACAGACGTCCATGTTTATCAGAAAAGGAAAAGCTTTAATGCTCGGTGCAAAGACAAGCTGAGTTATAAATCTGGAATGTCTAACCATCATCTGTCATCACAGCTGACGACAGTCGAAGGGTTAAATGGTCTTCAGATGACTTTGGTTCCTCTGTAGTTCTGACTCTGTGTGTGTGTGTGTGTGTGTGTGTGTGTGTGTGTAAACAGTTTTAATCGTTGAGTCGGTCTGATTTTGTTCGATGAGCTGAATTTTTGCACAAGCATGTAAGGCACGAGGCTGAGAACTAAAGCTGAACATGGATCGAACATCTACTTGATCTCTAAGCTGGTGATACGAGCTTCTCCGTCAACGCTGATGAAGGAGTATTTCTCCAGACCCATCCGGTTAGGGAAGTGGATGATGGATCCATCGGAGAGAGTCACCACGAACTCTGCAGGGGTGAACTCGATGACGAGCTGGAAGGAGGACAAACACGATGAGAAAGGTGGGAACTTTAGAAGTTTAATCAGCTCTGCAGAGAAACTACAGATGTTCATGAGTCTGGAAGTTGGTGCTCCAGTGATGCAATGACACACATTCACCAGCAGGGGTCACTAACATCCTGCAGACACACACACACAGGAAACCTCCTCTCACCTTAAACTCCGCCCCCAGCTGGAAAGGAAACCCCCCTTCGCGGTGCTCCTCGCACCAGTTGCCTCCCTGGTAGGAGTTGCAGACCACGGCGTTCTCGTCTCCGTGGGCGTTGAAGCGAGGGTTGATGTGCATGGTGATATCCTGCTCATCGGGGCCGATGTTGATGGCGAAGCTGCGGCACAGAGGAGATCGGTGTGATGATGAGACGTGGAAACACAAAAACACTGAAACCACTTCTTCTCATGATCTCCATCAGTGGGAGAAGATCACAGATGAAACACCTCCAGCTCTGTCTGAGAGTAAATAAACACTGACCTCCTGATGGAGACGGAATAAAAATAACCAGAGAGAAAATCTGAGCTGGAGAGAAACTCGGGGAAATGTGTTTGAAAGGTTTAAACACTCGTGCAGCTTCATCCAGAAACACAGAAGTGAAACCGAAGTGAGAAAATAAACTTCCTCTCAGTTTCACGACTTCCTGTCCAACTTTCCCTTCTCTTCAGACGCCCTGAAAGAGTCAAAGAGCTTCATGAAACACAACAAACGTGGACCTGCACGATCCGTTTGTCTGAGTATCACGTGTCTCTGCGTTTCTTCAGCATTTCCTTTGACATCTTTGAAGACATCTTTGTCTCTCTGATCCAAAACCTGTTTTTTCCTACAGACTCGTGTTCACAGGCTGATTTTAGTGATGGAGGGTAAAGTAGGTTTGGGTGGATTTGATAGCTGCATGTAGGGAATAAGGTCAGACGATAAGTCGACGTTCAGACTGCAGGTCAGTTCTGTTGTTTTAACCATCTGTGACTCATATCTGAGTTTTTCATCTAAGTGTGAACAGGTCAGTTCTGATTGGTTCTGATCCGACCCAGGCCTCTTCTGTATGTGGATATAAATCAGATATGTATCTGATGTGACTGCAGTGTGACGCTCAGGTCGCGTTCATCGTGACTACACACATCAAGCCCGATGCGATTTTGCGACTTTTCCCGGGGAAAGTCCCGCCTTCTTTGCTTCTGATTGGCTAGAAAAGCTGGAAACGTCATCACACGCTCAAGCCAAACGGTCGACACTTATAGCCAATCAGAGGTGAAGGAGGGCGGGACTTTCCCTTACCATCATACAGCGTCCCGGGTGGAAGTGAGAAGACATAAAAATTTCAGGGAGCCGATTGACACGGAACAGCGACAAGCCGTGTGTCTGAGGAAAGATAATAATAATAATAATAATAGATTTGATTTGTAACGCACTTTACATCTAAAAACAGATCTCAAAGTGCACAACGAGACAACAATAACAGTAACAACCCAGCAACAGAGCAAAACAGTAAAAACAGTCAGCAGATAAAATCAGATAAAATTAGTCCGGGTAGACTTTCCGAGAGAGGAAGATATTTATCATTTATTTATAATGAATCTATTTAATGAGAGGAAAGTTTGTTTGTTCAGTTTCAGCTGCTGTTACAGTAAAAACGGTCACGGAACATTTAATAAATTTATGACAAAACATATGCAAAGGTGGACGATTGAGATGAAAATCACTCTGTTCTCAGCCAGTCGGCCATGTTGGATATACCGCTGAATCTGGTGTCGCAACAACACACAATCTGATTGGTCAGAAGTGGACACACAGTCTGAGAAACTTTAGAAAAATCGACTGTGATCCGAAAAATAAATGCTGGAATATCGCAGGACGGGAAAACATCACTTGGGTTTTTTATTTCAGGTAAAATCACCTGATAGTGATGGTGTTACTAATTTTAGTGAGAGTGTTCGAGGGTTAAGGAGGGGAATTTGATTGGCCACAGGGGGCGCCAAAGTCAACACAAACCAAACTATTCCTCACAGGAGCTTTAACATTTAAACACTCAAACCTTTTTCTTCTTTTAAAAACAGTTTGAATGTTCAGAACATGTCTCGCTCTGAAATGCCCAAATGTCCCAACATGTTTTCATGACTCAGCAGGTCGTTTTTATGACCTGAACTCAGATGTTTGGTCACGTGACTGTGACTAAACTCCTCCTCGCCGTGCATCATAACTTGATTTTAGAAGTTTTTTGTTTCCCATAATCCTTTAGTGTTATACAGACTCACTTTGTGGCATCAGGTTTGGTGACTCCTCCAAGGGTCAGGGTCTGCCCGACCTTGAAGGACATGTTCTTGACGATCATACCCTGAACAGAAGAAGACAGAGAGCTTTAATGGAGGTGGAGACACCGCTGAGATCCCTGCAGCCCCTGAAAAGGACCAAACATGTGTTTTCAATTATCCTCCTGATCTGCTCTTTTTTTCCTCCACGCAGACTTTGGCAGAGGTTCACTGTAAAATGAGAAGGTCTGTTAAAGTGAGACACATTTTCCTATAAGGAGGTCCGACAGCAGAGCGGAAATATCGGCCGACTCCGCACATGTGGCGGGGGATCACCGAGGAGAAAGAAACCTTCATAAACACACATCACCGCTGCTTAAACATCCTGTCACTCTGCCAAGTCAGGCATCAGGGAGAGGACGGTTGGCAGTCGCCATGGCAACAAGAACAACTGCAGCCGCCCTCCGAGGACACGAGCGAGTCATACTGAGAAAAACTGAGCTTGAGGGGGAAGATTACAAGTCTGATAGTGAGGAGAGTCAGCAGATCTGCACAAGATCCTAAAAACGGGCATCAGACGAGTGAACAGGAAGTGATGTGAAGAAACGCCATTCTTAGATTTAAATCAGAAATAATTTAATAATTTAACTGATCTGAGCTCAGCAGGTCATATGTTTATATATATATATATATATATATATATATATATATGTATACAGTATATGTAATATATACACCTGTTTTTATTGAGTAAAGTGCATCTCAGAGCAACTGAGGACGACAACGACTGAAGTTTTGTGTACAGAAAATATCAAACCGCACAAAATAAAGACAAAAATAAAAACTATTTTTACTGCATTCAGGACACATTAATGAGGAGGAACACGACATGATGTCTGCCTTTCAAAATAAGCTATTTTTCAAAATAAAAGACATGTCAAACATTAAACAGTAACTTTTTTGACCAGCTGTTTGCGACCCACTGCTGTAGATCATCTTCTTCAGGAATAATCCGTCATAAACTCACTAACTAAACTTGTTTTCCTCTACAGGAGCATCACAAGAAACTCTGTCAGAGAATATTGTTAATATTGATGGTCAAGAAATTGAGTTTGTGTCTTTTAAGAACCTTTAAGTGTCTTTTAAAGAACATATTCAGCGTGTTGTTAGAAAGCTGAAGGTTTTACTATAGAAACGAGTCCCATTTGTCTTTTCATGTTAAACAGAAACTTGTGGAGTCGACATTCTGACCTCTTCTTGATTATGATGATGTTTTAGACATGAATGCCTCTGCCCAGAGTCTGAAAATGTTGGACAGTGTTACCATGGACGCTGAGATTTATAACAAACTGTGGATTTTTACTTCAGACTCCAAAGTCAGTTGGACTTCTTTAAGAACTTTTCGGCTCAGTCATTGGTACGTTTTCATTTACAAAGACATTCTAGGAAAAACTTTCCTCCTTATTGATCTTAAAGGATGAATTACACAACCTGAGATCATTGAGAGTTATACAGGTCATTGTCCCCAGAGTCTGAACTGAAATAGGAAAGAAGGTTTTCAGGTTCTCTGCTCCTTCTGTGTGGAATAATAAATAATCTGCAGGCTGAATTTAAGCTGAATTTAATTTAAACTTTGTGTTTTTGACTGTTTTTAAATCTGCAGTTAAAAGGCTGGAGTCCAAACTAGGGCCCGACCGATATGGATTTTTTGGGACCGATGCCGATACCGATTATTAGGGGGGGGGGGAATCTGATTACCGAAAGTTTTTTTATTAACTTATAAAAAATATATATTCTGTAGATATACTGTAGGCTACTGCTCTTCATGCTGACAGGAAGACCGACTGATCAAACTCGGACCAGAAAAGCGTTTTCAACTACCTACCCCCGCCCACCCGCCGCCGATCGATGCCTCCACGTCTTATCTCCCGTTCCTCATTTCCGGTCCGGTCTCATCTGGAGACATGCAGCTGCGTCAGTCAGAGAAGTCGCTCGATCACTAATGTGTACTGTTGTTTATTCTACCGTTACTGACACGGCTAACAGTGTAGCAAGGCTAATAGCAGGTGGCTAACTCTAACTTTAGCTTCATATCCCATGGTGCTTCAGCGTTAACTGGGCGTGACCGAGACCAGCACAGCGGGAACATGGTGAAGTGGGTTGAACTGAAACTTGTTGACTTATTGTGTTTTTCACAAACTGGTTTATTTACCGTTGAGGCGGACCACTCTCCTCTGAGGTAGTTAGTGGATGAGGATTGTCATGAGGTCGCTGTAGCGCCATCTACAGGATAAGTTGAGGAACTTTTCGAAACCGAATCTTATTCTCCACATCTGCGAGTTTTGGCCGATTAGTCTCAAACAGGCTAAAAACGGGCCCTAGTCCAAACTCTGAGAATGTCTCTGTTTTAACTGTTTCCTCACATTTTCGTTCTGTATTTAATCTGTGTGACTGTTTGTTGTTTTGCTGCCGTTCTCGGTCAGGTCTCCTCAGATCTCAGTGGGACAAACCTGGTTAAATAAATAAATGATTGTGATCAGAGTGACAGTCAACATAGAGATACACACACTAGATCCAGATCCAGCAGAGGTGTGGCTTCAGTCTGACATTCTCAGCATGTTGGGGTCTGACTGTAAAGTCTGTGAATAACACATGACACCGCCGAGAGCAGAGCTGAGAGCAGAGCCGAGAGCAGAGCTGAGAGCAGAGCTGGAACACGCCGCTCTGAAGGAATCTGTCTACTGTACACTGAGGGACACACCTCAGAGATAGCAGAGGGGGACGGATCTGTCCCTCAGCTGACCCAGAAGATCTTCAACAAATACTGGACTAAAGACTGGGTGAAAAAGACTCTTAAAGCGAACCCTGAGACTCTGAACTCAGCAGCATCTTCTCTGTCCTGCTGTCTGACGCTCTGCAGATGTCTCCTCTCCAAACACACGTCCAGCCCTGGAGCTAAACCCAGACAAGAGTGACTCAGGCCTGTATGAGGATCTGATCTGGGTCAGAGTCCAGCAGAGACCGAGACATAAACGAGTCTCTTCTTCAGGGTCATGAGGACTCTGCAGGGTCGATGTAAAGACCTCCACAGCTCCTTCATTGTCAAACATCTGCAGCAGTCAGGAGGAGTTGATCAGGAGTGGGTTTGGGGTTCGGAGGAGATGAGTGAGCAGATGTTTGACCATAAAAGGAAAATCAACCCAGACCTTCAAAAAGAGACGGTTTTTCAGAGTCCGAGTCGAGGATGAGTCTGCAGTCTGAGTTAGAGCAGAGTTCACACACACACACACACACACACACACACACACACACACACACACACACACACACACACACACACACACACACACACACACACACAGAGAAGAGGATCAGACTTACTGTGTGCATCTTTGCTGGTCTGCGGTGTCAGCTGAGGAGGAGCGGAGGGGCTGCGGGGCCCGGCCTCACCCCAACCAGGGAATATAAGCAGAAGGGGCGTGTCCTGCAGACCGAGTGACATTTCCAGCAGCCAATCAAAAAGGGACATTCGCTCACATCAGCCAATGACGTCAGTTTGTAGTTAGAGACTAAAATAAAAACTAACTTTAGTGTAAATCCAGAGAAGAAGAAGTGAAGCTGAGCTGAAGAAAGTCCACAGGGTCTCAGAAAGACCACCAACCCCCCCACACCCACTATAACCCGAGTCCCACTGAGAGCAACAGGAGCCGGGGCGCAGACACAAATAGAAACCTCTCTGTTGTCAAGGAGACGGACAAATATTTGGCTCAGCCTTAATGCCCACTTACTGTATATAGCTGATGTGAGTCACATGACCGAGGGTTCAGTCCGGACAGAGGAGAGAAGAAGAAGAGTGAGATCGAACCCTGACTCAGAGCAGGAGGAACAACTTTCTCCAGACTCAGACAGACTGTGGTTCTGAGTCCAAACTAAAGAGAGGACCTAAGAGAGGACTACAGGAGGTCTAACAGCTGTTTCTCTCAGTCAAACTCTGACGCTCCGTCTCTGAGTCTCTCTCTCTCTCTCTCTCTCTCTCAGCTCTAACACTGATCCTGTGGACCACATGGAAGGTTCTGTTTCCTGTCACATGAAGACCATCAACTGGTCTCTCTGAAGGTCTGAACTTCTCCAAGCTTAAATAGGTCCCTCAGCTAAATGTGATTTTGGGTCCCTCTATTTCTTCACACTCCTTCACAGATCTCTCTGAACAGACCTTTATCTCTGCGTTTCTTCTCTTCTTCTCCTTTCTTTCTCGGCTCCTGAAGGATTCGTCCTTTTTTGCGACATTGTTGGAGCTTTGACACGTCGGCAGTAAGAATCATCGGCCGACATCAGCAGCAGCACTGAAATGTTTTTACTTTATTTTAATATTAATTTGATCAGACAGAAAGCATCACTTATACATGCAAAAAATACAAAATATTTCACTTTTTTTTTTTTTGCTCTTGGGGGCCCCCTACTGGCCGCGGGGCCCTAAGCAGGCGCTGAAGGACCGTTTTTATCCTGCGATTATTTCAGACGTCAATATTTTTATCAAACCCGTATCCTGTCAATAAGCGTTCACATCAGCGACGTTTTTCCGTCCTGCGATATTGCGGCATTTATTTTTTGGATCACGGTCGATTTTTCTAAAGTTTCGCGTACTGTGTTTCCACTTCTGACCAATCAGATTGCCTGTTGTTGCGACGTCTGATTCACTGGTATATCCATCGTTGTCGTATGTTGTAATGTGAACGATCGCACAAAAAGATCGGATTTCACAAAAAATTTCGAATTGTGCGTCAGAACCTGCAGTGTGAACGTAGCCTTAGTTCGCTTATGCCTCGACTCTGTCCCTGATGAAGAAACCAATCAGTGTCGAGGACGACGATAATCCTGAAGTTTGATTCTAGACTCTGCAGATGAACTCTGATCCAGTCTGTCTGACCCTGTTCGTGTAAAACTGTCAAACTCACAGAAATATTCATGGTGTCAAACAGAAGCTGTCGGAGTCGTCCTCCTCAGCACATTCCTGACTCCGATCACACCCTCATCAGACCTCTGCAGAGATCTTGAAGTTATTTAGGATAATGATCTCAGTCTGGATGAACTCGGAGGTTCTTTATATCAGCTCAGGACTCTCAGAGGAAACACCTGGAAACGGTGAAATATGCCTTTACTTCTGCCTGCCTGGACTAACTCTCAGGGCTCTTACCTTCAGACTGAAACTCTTCGCTGAGGAAGATCTGGACATCGGACTGAGGTTCAGGGTCGTGCAGGGACCTGTTCACATGTGAATCAGGATCACAGACCTGTGGGTTAGAAAGGAGCGACGTGACCTCTGAACCTCCAGAGGATTTTCTTCAAACTTTTTTTTTTTTCTAGGGGGACATTAAGTGTTTTTTTACAGTGATTATAAAACAATAAAAGAGTATTTTTCTGTCTCTTACACACAAACAGACCTAAACTCAGTGATAACAGCTCGACCTGAAGACTGAAAACTCACCTGAGTGTAAAACTCACCTGTTCAGATCAGCACACTCCTGATAATTAACGCTGTCATGTTTTTGTTTGTTTTATTTTTACATATATATACTTTATCCCCCTATTTAGTTTTAGTTTCTCTATCGCTTCTATATTGTTGTTTTTACTCTGTAAAGTGTCCCTGAGTGTCCAGAAAGTCGCTCATAAATAAAATGTTTTATTTTTTACTAACAGGTCTATGAGCCGATGACACAGACACACGTCTGCTCCGACAGTCTGCTCACAGACACACAGACGGTCCTCAGAGTCCACATTATTCAGCTCTTAGTTTTTAAGACCAACAGAGACGGGTTTGTTCTCAGACAGCCGTCGTCTATCGGAGCTGGCAGAGCGAACGCTGACTTTAACTCAGCTGACCTCTGATCAGACCCGTGATCACATGATCGACCAGATATGGACCTCATTGAGGGCCGGGCGATAAAATGATAACGATATCGAAAATTAATTTCCCTCAATACCAATATTTTCAGACCTGTGGTAGTCTGATTTTAGACCAATCGTCTCGACTACATTTAGACCTCTATTAGACCAGAAATGCTCAGTGGGGTAGATTACTGTATTGCAAAAGACATGCGACCAATAAACATCGTGGTAAACTCTTTCCCGTATCGCCTCAGCCCTAACCCCGTCTAAAGGGGGACCTCACAGAGACCACCACACACCTGAAGATCCTGATGAACCGGATCCAGTTTGAAGTCTGTTCAGAGACACAAAGATCTGAGGTTTCCTCTCGCCTCAAGACCCGATCTCAAGACAGTCAGCAGATACAGAGACACACAGAGAGACCTCTCACACAGTCAGAGGAACACACACACACACACACACACACACACACACACACACACACACACTCACACATACACACACACACACACACACACACACATGCACGCACACACATTTAATCAAAAACTGCCAAAGTAAACTGATTGGAACAAACATACGTTTGATTTCCTCGACTCTTTCTGGGACTTTCTGGGGGGACGGTCTGGTCCCAGCTGAGACCCTCCACATTAATAAAGAGCCGGGCCTGTTTCTGTGTTTGTGAGTTAGAATCCTCTGATAGAAGATCAAACCTGCAGAAACAGAAGACACTAGATTTCACTCTGTATGCAGTGATGAAGGATCGATGCTCGTCTTTATTCATGTAAATAAAAACATCTATCAAACTGGGAGATCTAATGGGTTTAAGATGGTTAAACAGCAGCTCTGTCACAGTCGGGCTGATGGCTGAGATGCGCCCTCTGGTGGTCACAGTATGGAACTTCAGCTTCAACTTACATTGGACTTTAAAGGGATATGTGAACAAGAGCACAGTAAAGTTAAATCAACGAATTTTCCAATGAGGTTCTGTTACTGAACAGAACTACACCATGTTCCACTCAGGTTAGTACATATAGGGTCACAGCCATAGTACTAGACACCAAACATCTTTATAACTTTGACTCATTTCTTTAGCAAAGAGACTAAACACAACTCACCTACTCTCTTCCAGCAGACACTTGTTTGTAGCGAGACCTCATTCCATTTACATTCAAATCAGTCGGGCTCTAATATTGATCTGTGAAATCAATAAAAAAGAAAATTAAAAAAGAAAGATGAAGATCAAATCAAGAAAATTACAATCACTTGAAATAAGAAGAGAGAGTAAAAATGTGGGTCAGTTTAAAATGGAGGCATAAAAGATGAAGAGCAGAGCTGTGAGTGAAAGAAAAGGTGAAATAACGAGACAAAGTTCCTTCAGTTAGAAGTAAAAAAACCTGATCCTGCCTCTGTCTTCAGTTTCATGAAGCAGCCACACGAGGGCGCTCTTTAACCTGTTATTGCACTGAAATGTTGGAGTGACCCAAACTGAACTGTCTCTGCACCTTTTCTACTCCTGAATAAACTCTGAGGAGACGACCCGGTCTGGATGATCCTGAAGAGTCCTGAGTCAGATCTGGACCGGCCTGATCCTCTGATGGTGAGGCTGTCATCCTCACTGTGGTCTGATTATTGATTATTGATTATTGTGATTATTTCACTCCATGTAAACCAAACTCCCTGTTCTTCTAATGTTTTTCTCCTTCCACCAACAGAACAATCATACCTGCATACCTGACATTCCTGACATTCCTCTGGAGGTCTGGACTCAGAGGTTCCTGTCTGCTGGAACCAAACACCCTCACACAGCTGCTGCAGTCAGAGAGGTTATTATTAGAGTTATTATAGATACCATCATGTTCAGGTTATGTAACAGACAATGAAAAATGAAGCATGAGGCTTTTCTGATCAGGACATAAACCTGGAGGAATAAATTCCATCGCCCAAATATGGGCAGAGGAAGTGGCTTTTCTGACGCAATCCTGGCTGCTGTGACTTTAAATGGCGGCAGGAAACAAGGGCTCCCGTGCACGTCATGGGTTTTCCTCTGCATGTACCACAGCAGCAGGAAGTTCTAAATATGGGCATCTGTTCTCCGACCCCCTCCCTTTCTGATTTCCTCCGAAAGGAAGCAGCAGCAGCAGCAGCAGCAGCAGCAGCTCGGTGGGGGAGGGGTGGACCTGCAGACTGACAGGCAGACCTTCAAACAGAAGAGAAAGGAGTGTGTTCAGCAGGTCTGCAGGGAAACAGAGACGAGAACCTCAAAGAAACAGAGAAGTTGGGGCTCCGGGTTTGACTGACCCGTCACTTCACTTTCTCTTTGCTAAACTTGTTCTTCTAACTATTAAAAATATATTAAAAGGATATTCTGGTGTAAAATTAATTCAGGGTCAAACACTGAGTGAGACTGCAGAGATGAATGTTGATGACCGCAGGATAGCAATACACAGCGGTCTGAGGAGCCATAAACAAACCTCAACCAAAACGCCACTCTATAGCCACAAATAATGCTCAGAACAGCACCTAACTTCATCAACAGGACATATAGGGTCACAGACATAGTACTAGACACCAAACATCTTTATAACTTTGACTCATTTCTTTAACAAAGAGACTAAACACAACTCACCTACTCTCTTCCAGCAGCCGCTTGTTTGTAGAGAGACCTCAGGCCAGTCCATTACAGACTACAGCGGGGTGCCGCAGCTCAAGGAAGAACATTTATATCATTTCTTCATGGAAATACAATCAGACCGAGACGCTAAGACAGAAGAACTACCGTGTCTGTAAAATGATTAATATGATGATTATTACCTCAAGGAAATGATAAAGAAATTATCATAAATGTAGATCTCAGTAGAACATGGTGTAGTTCCATTTAGTAACAGAACCTCATTGGAAAATTAGCTGATTTAACTTTACTGGGACCCTATATGTCCTGTTGATGAAGTTGAACTCCAGTGAAGTTGAGGTTTTCTGGAAACAGGTGAGGGTCCTGGTTTGGTCTAAAAGGAGAATCCCTAAGAAATATGAATTCATTTTATTAGTATTAAAGTATTCCTATTATTAGTATAAGTATTATAGTATTAGTATAATAGTATTAGTATTATGTATTCATATGACTGGTATTAGAGTATTTTTATGATGTATTCATATGATTGGTATTATTATTATTAGTGTAAGTATTATAGAATTATATACATATTTAATCCAACTATTTATTTAATATCTGTACACATTCATACTCATACTCCTAAATATCTTACTGTTTATATTATTCAGTGCACTCACTGTTTAATAGCATTTTCTTTTTTTCACACCTGCACTCATCAGTATACTGTATATATAAAAACTATACATAATTAGATATTTATTTTTGTTGTTGTTGTATAGCCTATTCATACCTGCAGTAACCAATGCCATGTATATATATATATAGCATATTCATTGCACATATATAAAGTATATTTAGTTCATACCTTGCACTTCTTGTTAGATGGTAAACTGCATTTCATTGTTCCTGTAGTTGTACTGTGTTCAATGATGATAAAGTTGAATCTAATCTAATCTAGTCTAATCTAATCTAGTGTTGATAGTTTTAGTATTATAGTATTCATATGATATATATTATTATTATTAGTATCATAAGTATTAGTATTATAGCATTTATATTATTAGTTTTATTATTAAAGTATTTATAGTATCAGTTTTATAGTATAAGTATTATAGTATTATACCATTAGTATTAAAGTGATAGTGTTATTAGTATTGATAGTATTAGTTTTATTGTATTGAAAGTATTGGTATTATAGTATTATAGAATTAGAATTCAAGTATTGATAGTATAAGTATTATAGTATTGATAGTATTATGATATTTAAAGTATAAGTATTGAAGTGTCAGTATTAAGGTATTGATTATAAAGTCATTGATCACCTCTCTGACCCCCTCACATGTCTTGTACCGCCGGACCCCCCAGCTGTCGGACCGGATGTTGTTCTCTGGACTGTTTTGAAATAGAATTCTGTCTATCTGACCGATGGGCGGGGCTTCCTCCTATGACGCTGGGTACGTGACGTCACCGAGGTGATAAGTAAGAGTCCCTCAGTCGGGCAAGATCAGTGTGTGTGTGAGGAGTCAGAGAGGTGAGACCCGGACCCGGACCCCCCTCTCTAAAAACTAAGGTAAAGATGGAGGTCACCGCGGAGGCCAAGAGGATCATGGTCGTGGCTCTGGGGAAACTATACAGCTCACGGTCCCAGCGTGGAGGTCTCCGTCTGCACCGGAGCCTCCTCCTCACCATGGTCATGAAGTCCGCGCGGGACATCTACCACGCGGCTCAGGCCACGGAGGACTGCGGGGTCCCGGGCTCTGATCAGCGACCCCCAACGCAGGAGGAGTCCTCGGAACCCGGACTTCAGGCTCCCCTCCCCCAGGAGGACGCTGTAGGCCCCCTCACGGAGCTGCACCACGGCGCCCACAGGCGCTCCGGTGCAGAAAACAAGGAGAACCTGTCTCCGAGAGTCCGGACCCAGTCCAGGAAGAGACGGGGAAAAACGGCAGCAGAACCGGACTTCCTGCCCTGCAAGAAAGCCAGACTCGAACAGGGACTCTCCGGTCCAGCCTTGGTCCTAAGTTCGGTTCTGGTGGACTATGTGAACTGCAGCAGTGGACTGGCTGTTCCACCAACCCCCCTCCCCCTGCACAGAGTGGTGGCTGTGTGTTGAACCCTCTGCAGGTCAGGGGGGCAAAACTTCTCCACTTTGGAGTCTGGATCGGTCCGTCCCGGGTCGTCTGGACTCTGTTGGTTCTGGAGCATGGGTCTGGAAGGATCCTGGTCCTTGTTCTGAGGTGCTCTCAGAGACTTTTGGTCCAGTTTTTAAGGACAAGGACTGACTGCAGCTGGTCAGAGAGGGACCTGAAGGACTTGGAGGACCTGAACCTCCTCATGGACCTGGTTCTCGTGCTCTGAACCGGACCGGACTTTGGTTCGGGTGTTGGATCTGTGTGACTGAAATTCAGCTGTAAACTTTGATGAATACGACTACCTCAGTATTTATTAAACATGATTTTTACTGAAACTACATCCCAGAGTCTGTTGTGGTCTGTCATGGTTCTGCTCTGGTGGGTCAGTAGGGGAGACTGGGGTAAGTTGAGCCAACCCCTGTTGTTTGTTAATGGTCAAAGAAATTGATCATGTGACCAAATATTGAGGAGGTGGGCATCAAAACATGGAGTCTGTGGAGGTTCGAAGCACATGAGTGAAGAGGTTAAAGTGAATTTAGTCTTTGGTCTTCAGTTTGATTAGAATTGTGTTCAGACCAAAAAAGATGATTTATATTAGTTTTATACATCAATTGTGGTTTCTATGGTAACATAAACATCCACCATTTTATCTTCGAGGACTAATAAAGTCATCACAGCAGTTCAGGGGAAACAGAGAGAGTAAAGGAGTCTGATGAGAGGATCAGAGTTTACCTTCAGATTGTTAAAACGGGTCAATGACGTGACGTTTTTTTTTTTTAACATGTTCCCATGTAAACTTTAACCAAATTTAAAAAGGCTGAAATTAAAAAACAAACTCACCAATTACTTAAATACATTCTCTTTAAAAAGACCTTTTTATCCATTTTGAGAGAATATTCAGGGAATATGGTGCTGAATGAGGTGTCACCATAAAAACTCAGGAAACTGGTTTGTGTCAGTCGGTGTAAACAGTATTTTTTATTTAAAATATATATAATATTTTAGAAAATGAATGTGGAATGGGACGTACTCCTCTACTGCGACGCACTAACACATATCTGAACAGTTTCTACATGGTTTGTCAATGTTATTTAGAAAATGGCAGCTGTTTTCAGCATTTCTCCTGCTCTATATTACAAAAATGCATCCAAAACAAAAAGTATTTTCAGCTGATATATTATGATGAATTAACTTTTTGTATAAGTTCACTTTTACACACTAAAGGTGGAAATAAGTATGAAATATTCCCCCTTCTGTTGTGGTTACACCATCAGACATTTTAAAGGGAAATCCATCATTAAAAGGTTTAAATGCTTTTTAAAATAATATGAAACCAACAGAGGAACTAAATATACATCTTTGCAAACTTTTAAAAGAATTTATGAAAACATTTTTGAGTTACTCAGGATCAAACACTTATTTGTCACCGACCCAAATACAGATCTGTGAATGTTCTGAATCATTTAAAGACGTTCTCATGGTCAAATGTTTATATGTAATTATAATAAAAGGAATGATTGTACCAGTTAAATAGTTTATAATAGATAGAAATACAGAAGAAGTGACTGTTATTGAGGGAGAGAGAAGGTGGGGGGTAGTAGGGATACGGCTCAACTTACCCCAAACAAACACGGGGTAAGTTGACCATAGGAGACTGTTTTTGTCCTGCTATATTCTCAAGATGACAGTTCTGTTTACACTCATTCTGATGAACAACATCCTGAAATATCTGCAGAAACACGAGTTAGAGACAAACTAGGACTGACTTGATCCCAAATATGAAACATGGATCATCTTATCCCGCTCTCCCCTACAGAGCTGAAGGTGTCTGTATCAGGGAGGAGCGTTTGGTTTTCAGCGACATCAGTGTGAAAGTTTGTGTTTGACAGGAAACTTGTCGGGGTGAGAAAGAGCTGATTTCCTCCCCCACAGGTTTACAACAACCCCCCACACTGATTTGCAGGACAAAAAGCCTGAGCCATTCAGGAGGTCAGGGCCCAGAGTGGGGGGTAGGGGGCTGGAGAGATGCCACAACCTGAGAACAATCACAAAATCTGGACTCTCGCTCTCTTGAGTGTTTCTGTTTGATGAGAGATGAAGATGAGGAATCAGCTGATCGGAGAGTGAGGGACAGTCACTGTTACTGAGAGGGAGATAAGAGCTGATTGGTTTGAACCCGAGACCCTGGAGGTCAACCAAAAAGCAGAACATGTAAACATTTTATAAAATAAAAGGAAATCAAAATATCCACCTCTCATCAAACTCAGACTTCAATGAGGAGAAAACTTCAGGTTAAAAGATAGTAGTCCGTAATGGACTGGCCTGAGGTCTCACTACAAACAAGCGTCTGCTGGAAGAGAGTAGGTGAGTTGTGTTTAGTCTCTTTGCTAAAGAAATGAGTCAAAGTTAGAAAGATGTTTGGTGTCTAGTACTATGGCTGTGACCCTATATGTACTAACCTCAGTAGAACATGGTGTAGTTCCATTCAGTAACAGAACCTCATTGGAAAATTAGCTGATTTAACTTTACTGTGCTCTTGTTCAAATATATTAACTCGACAGCACATAAATCCATACCTGTTAACAAAATCATGATTTTATTGATAATTCAGTTTAATAAAAACACCTTTACCTTTTCATTTTACTACAGTAGAAGTTTATTGGCCCAGCTTATAGACTACAGAGGTGGAGAAACGCCCCCGCTTAAGTTTGTTTTCTTAGGAGTTAGAACAACTCTGAATATAGTACTATGTCTGTGACCCTATATGTCCTGTTGATGAAGTTAGGTGCTGTTCTGAACATTATTTGTGGTGTTTTGGTTGAGGTTTGTTAATTTCACGCTGGAATATTCCTTTAAATTTGATCACATGTAAATGTTTCTGTGGTGAACCCTCGAACTCTCCCACCTGAACCACCTTCACACACCTGAGTCGGTGGAACACGCTGAGATCCTCGTGTTTGTTTTAAAGTTTGACTTCATTTCAGCGGGCCGTGGAGGTTTTGTTATGCGGGGCCCCTGCTGAGAACGGAGCTGCCGGGGGGACGGGGATTCACTTGTGTTTGGGGGAGGGTGTGAACAACAGAGGGAGGAATGTGGGGGGAAGTGCCTCTGGGAGCCCCATGGGGCCCCCGGCTTATTCTTCCGGCTAAAACCAGAACACCCAGTCTGTGTACACAGGCTGGAGGAGGGGCTGGACCTGTCTGGACACGCATGTGAAAAGTCACACATCACACACACACACACACACACACACACACACACACACACACACACACACACACACACACACACACACACACACACACATGTTCCCAGTCTTATCAGGTCACCAGTTTGACCAGTTTGTTTCTGGTGAGTCATTATTCTAACTCTAAATGTTTACCTCTGATTCCCAAAGTACGGTGGCCGAGAACTGCCACTGCAAATAAAAAACAATGAAAAAAACAAAAACAAACCTGAAGCCTGCTGCAATAAAAAAAGTAACATGGCTGATAAATTTTTCTTTAAAAATCCCCAACAGAGGTTAACATCACAAAAAAGTGGCAATGGAAAAAAAAAGTTTCTTAATGCGAAAATAAAAAAATACAAAAAAAAAAAAAAAAAATCCACAACAGAAGTGAGCTGTCAGGGACCAGTAATGATGATGCACACGTGTTTGACCACCGGCAAGAAGACGGGCAAAGAAGTCAGTGGAAAGGTTTTTGTTTAATTTTATTCGTAAACCTTTTTATTTGTCATTTGGTTAGAACATGTAGAGCCTGAGTTGATATGAAGTTTAACTGAAGCTAACACTACACCAACATCCTCCAGTTTAACCTCATATGGACTCGGGCGCTACATGGTCTTAAAAAATGACACATTAAAAATGATTTTCAAACATTGAATTCAGTTTTTTTTTTCTGAATATTTTCATGAACCTGAGGCAGAACCATGTTGATGTTATCATTCATTAACTTACTGCAGGGGAACAAAATCACATTTCAGTTCTTGTCCAGTCTGTAATGACAGACTGACAGACTGACAGTCAGCACTGTGACCATAGACTGCATTTACTCTGGACAACTTGGTTCCGCCTCCCACCAGTTTACGCCAACCAAGGGTACTGTTCTCAGAGTGGTGTCGCCCACTGAGGAGGCAGACGGCGTCTATTCTATATACACTCTATGACCATGTCAGAGATTGGAGGTCAGACATTTCTATCAGGCGCAAGTGAGGGGCTAAGATGGTTCTGCTGCCCCCCAGTGGCCAAAAGAGACAGAAAAATCAAATGCAGCTTTAAATTTTCCCAAATTATCATAGTATATAAATATATATATATATATATATAAAGACTGTTTTATTTAAATAACTTTTAATACTTTATCACCTTTATTATATTTCATCATAGTTTTATGGTTTTAGTTCTAGATCCAGTGTTTCCCCAGTTATCTGTGGAGAGTCCACCTGATCTTTTGAGTGTGTATCTGTGTGTGTGTGTGTGTGTGTGTGAATCCTGTATGTGTTGAATGGCGGTTGGGAGGGTGGGCGGGGCTTGGTATTTGTATTTTTATTATTTTTTTATATCCTGCGTAAACGGACAACACTTTGTGTGACATTCTCTGTATGAAAAGTGATTAAAAAATAAAGTTTGATTGATTGATTCTTTTTCAACACAGTGATGGTTGGATTAAAACATTACCCAGCTGCTGATGAAGGTCACATGATCATCATATCAGACACTAGATGCAACAACAGTGATCAATAGAGACCTAAAATTATTCTACCGTGTTGTTAAACCACCACAGACCAGGACCACCACAGAGACAGCTTTATGAGGGACGGTGGGCAGAGGATGTGCATGGATAGATGTTTTTACTTACCATACATCACAGGAGCTTCTTGTCCTCAAAGGCCACCGTAGCTTCAGAAGAAGGAGGGGTGAGTGAAGGAGCAAAGAAACAGCGAAGAGTAAAGGAGACGAGTCTGAGTGCATTCTCTCTGGATTTTATTCTTTAGGAAGAGTTCTGTTTGGAATTACAAAATGCACTGGTTGGTAGAAATAGCGGTGAGACAGGTTGAGAGTGTGACAGATCAGAGTGTGATAGAGAGACAGAGTTCAAGAGAGAAAAAAGAAGGAGTGAGTGGGCGATCGAGGCGTCAGAGGCCGCCGCCGTGGTCATCGTGAGAAATCCTCCCGTCTGCTGCCCCCCCCTCCTGCAGCCCCTGACCCCCACAGAGAGAAGAAGGGAGAATAGACCGTCTTCTGAACTGTACTTTCTTTATTTTTTCTTTTTTTCTTTAAAAACAGTTCTTTTTTTTCTTTTTGTGGTGTCCTGAACATGGTTGTGTTGTGCCTCAACTCCATGTAACAGAAGAAAAGAAACGAGACGTCCTCTCACCGGTCTCTTTAGTCTTTTTTTATTTATTTTTTTTTTCAGTTTTAAAGTTTTTTGTTCTCAAAAATAGAAGGAAAAAGAAAACGTTGCTTTTTAAAAACATCTATCTATTTATATATTTTCTTTTTTTTTATTCCTCTGAATTCATTAATCTGCTTTTTCTTTTATGTCCTGAAGATGACTGTTAACCCACGGTGTGGCATGCACATAGCACATGCATTTCTGGAACTAGATATTTTTTCCTTTTTTAAATCTTTTGTACTTAAAAAACTTTCTTGTTTTTGTTTTTTTCTTTTTTCTCAGTAGCGGCTTTACATTGCTTTTTGAAGACTTTGTGTGGTTAATCAGCGTGTTAGTGGATTTCACTGCAGCATTGACACAAAGATGGATGGTGAACGCTAGGGACGGGGTTTGCTTCATTCAGGGGCTACTGAGATCACACACACACACACACACACACACACACACACACACACACACACACACACACACACACGCACACACTCAGAAGGATTCAAAAGACTTCTGAAGACAAGTGGTGTGACCCAAATCGCACACTTCCAGTACTAAATACTTAAAAATTTGAGAATACTCAACTTAAAATGGAAAAAAGTTTGGATAGTACGCAAAAATTGAGTCTGCAGAAGCACCCAGATGACGTACTCAAATGGACACTCGCCGCACTTGCCGTGGTGCCAGTGGGTCGGCGAAGGTCGACCTCTTAGCTTTGTACAGATGTAAGTAATAAGTCGCCTTCTACACGTTCTTTCCACTAAGCCCCGCCAGCGTTTGTCGTTTTGAGTATATTTATGGTGTAACCTGGGTAACATGTTTGTCTTTTACAGTGAACGTCATCGCGAATGCTAGTTAGCTACTTAGCTAGAAGCCGCCGGGTTCGGAGGTATTACCCGTGGCAAATACCCACTGAGCAATAGACGGCTATTAGACGTCTAGTTTTATTTTAGACCTAATTTCAACCGTTTAGATTCTGTATATTTTTAGAAAGAATTTAGACGTTGCACTTTAACCCGTTATTCCATAACTATTTATTTCAAAAAGCAACTGTGAGTCACATAACTGATCTCCAAGAAATACACAGTGTAGTATAGATATAGTCCAGATTTAGATTTAGTCTAAACTTGGTCTAAATTTAGACGTCTAAAAAACGTTCATGTTTAGACCTGTGGTAGCCTGATTTTAGACCAATCGTCTAGACTACATTTAGACGTCTATTAGACCAAAAAATGCTCTGTGGGTAAAAAATAACCAGCAGGTCTGCTGCGCCGATATCAGCGAAGCCTTCGCTGTGGAGGAGGCTCGTATTCGAACCGTGGGGATGAATAGATCACGAATAAACTAGACATACCGCTGCATCTTCAGCCAATAGAGGGAGGAAAAAGCGTTGTCGGCGCCGATTGCAGTGTTGTTTTCGTTGACGAAAATATTTTGTCAACGTTATCTTCAACGACAACAACACTGGTGTGTGTCAGCTGTCAGAGGGACTGAAGCTGCTCCTATATGTTCAGCGTTTGACTGACGAAATGTTCATGAATTTTGCAGCTCTGTTCGTCGTCCACCACTAACGTTTTCGTCTAGTCTCGTCTCGTCAACATAAACACACATTCATCTCATTTTAGTTTATTCACATTTTAGTCATCTAAGACTTATGTTTAGCTCGTCAACGTCATGTCTTCGTCATGGAAAAAAAGGGGCTCTGAGCGATGAACGTCCATTTTGTTGCTGATCTTACCTGAAAAATAGATGAACGAGCGCGGGCAAAAGGTGGCGGTAATTCACTGATGCAGAGCTAGCCGGTGACAAATTGGCGTAGAAGAAGAAATCGTGTTGTCATTTCCGGTGATATCAAGCGATCTGGGACAACACTGCACCCTCGAAACTCAAGAACTACGCGACTGAGTTCAAAGTACGCTTAGAATACTCAGTTTGAAAAATATAAGTATTTAGTACGGAAGTGTGCGATTTGGGACACACCAAAGGATCGGAAAGCAAAGCAAGCAGTGAAACCAAAGCGTAAAAACGGATTCAAAACACACACTCTCTCTCTCACACACACACACACACACACACACACACACACACACACACACACACACACACACACACACACACCACAACCAGGAGCTACATACCTAGTGTGCTTTCTGAATTAGTGACTCTGTGATGTGAAAAAATACTCGACGTCTGTGACATTCCACTGAGGTTGGAAAGACACTAATAGGCAGTTTTTTTTTCTTTTCTATGTTTCGGTGCATTCTCTGGTCGACATGAGACGGACCTCCAGAACAAAAAACGAACAGAACCAGAGTCCAAACCAAGAGACGGAGAACGTCAAAACAACAGTGTGTCAGGGCTGACAGTGAGTGTGCGTTAGTGACCAGTGTTAGTTTGAGGCACACAGAGATACACACACACACACACGGAGAAAGTAAAGATATATCAGAGTGAAACACACACACACCGAACACACACACACACACTTACACACACACTTCTCAGGAACACAAACGGGCCCAGATATCGTTTCTCCAACCCGCCCAGACCGCGACACTGAGCCGCACCGTCACCGAATTTCTACAAAACAGACAGGTGAGAGAATGAGCGCAACCGCTTATGGTGGTCTGTGGAAATGTACGATTTCAAACTTATACAGTTCTTATTTGTGGGGCTAAACAGTGATGAGGAATGTTCCCAAAGTAATTCTCCGCGGGTATGCGTTTATCGGAACAACACCGGTGTTGTGCCGTAGAATGCAGAATATATGTTTAGCGTTTGACTGACGAAATGCTCATGAATTTTGCAAATCTGTTCGTCGTTCGTCGTTTTCATCTAGTCTCGTCTCGTCAACGTAAACGTAAACGCACATTCGTCTCGTCACATTTTAGTCATCTAAGACTTGAGTTTAGCTCGTCCAGTTACGTCTTCGTCGTGGAGAAAACAACACTGTTTGAGAAACATAAAAACAAAACGAAAGTTTGCTGCTCGATTTGACACGTTGTCATGATCTAATATATTTTTTTAATATGAGTTCATTTTCTTCCTCTTCAAGAATCTAATGAGTGGATGGTATGCAGGGATGCATTCTATGGCATAACACCGGCAGCGCCAGCGACTCACTCCATGTGCAGGGGCGTGGTTTCCTCCTCTCTAATTTTGATTGACAGCTGACAATTACCCTTGTCATTAGATGAATTCGTTCACCTCTTACATCATAGGCTCTGCAATGAGACTATCGCGCATGTACATTATTACATTACATTATTTAAAACGAGATAATGAATGAGATATTTCAATACTTCATTAACCAACATTTGAAACAAATAAGGCTCACAAACACCTGGGTGTTCTGAATCATATACTCGGGGTTTAAACACTGGTTTATCCAGTGGAGCATGCCCAGGCGCACCAGAGGAACGACCCGGATGTCGTTTCTTTAAAGTGCAGAAATACAAACGTCTTTCACCGAAAATATGGAGTTTCTATATCCACTGTGATCAGCTGGTACTTCACTTTGTCTGTATGTGGGCGTGGATGGTTACACCCCGACTAGATGGTGGTAATGTTTTAAAACGTAAATCTTTAACCCGCACCTGCTCCTGCAGACTCCTTTACCCACAATGCATCCGTGGGCAAGGGCGCCACCTCAGGGCTGGAGAAACGACAAGCTGGGCCAAAAAGGAAAAAAACGGAATATTGGAGCAAATGACGGGGAATCTTTCCCACTCATCATCATCATCATCATCATCATCATCATCATCGTTACCATCATCATCATCATCATCATCATCATCATCATCATCATCGTTATATCATCATCATCATCATCATCATCATCATCATCGTTATCATCATCATCATCATCATCATCACCATCATCATTGATATTGTCATCGTTACCATCGTCAACGTTATCACCATCATCGTTATTATCATCATCATCATCATCATCACCCTCATCCTCCTCTTTTCCTCCACGGTTAGTCACGCTCAGTCAGAAAGAAAACAAAGATGAAGAGTTTCTCTCCTTCCTGTGCCTTTCTTTTGCTCTCTTTCTCTCTGATGTCTCGGTTCGAACCCCCAAACCCTGGAAGACTTTAAAATGTTACTGATTTGTTGGACCCAATGCGGACTCGGAGTCCTTGAACCACTTTACCCTGCTTCCCAGTGTTTTTTTCGTTTTAGAAGAATCACTAGTTATAAAAAAGTTACTTTCACAAAAATCTGTGCAAGTCGAGCTGAATCAGTGGCAGGCATCTGGCATGGAACACACGGACAAGCAAGCAAAAAGGTAATCGCTCTGTTCCCCCGAAAGAAAGATCCAATCCCCTCACTCGGTCACTCGGTTCGAGCGTTTTTGGAGGAACAGAGGGAGGAATGTTTTACAGAGGAGAGAGAAAGAGAAACAGAAAGAGAGAGAAACCCGAGAGACCACAAGAGAAATGACCAAGTGAAGTTTCCCCCCCGCATACAGTAGGTTCTCTTTGTTGCTAGGATTATTTTTTGTTTCATTCATGCAGGATTCAACAGGGTGTACAACTTCGCCTGAAAGTCTGAAAACCGAAGCTGTGTGGGGGTGCAACAGAAGATTCAAGCTTCAATGTTTTGAAGGAGGAAGAAGAAGAAGCAGGAGTAGAAGAAGAAGAAGAAGAAGAAATACTGCAGAAAACAGTTTCGGGTTTGTTTGTTTGTTTTTTTTGTTTCTGTAACCCAGCTCCACTTTTTTCTTTTTCTTCCCCAAAAGGTCAAAGGTCGAGGGTGAAACTGGTCGTTTCTTGGAGGACGCTGTTTTCTGGTGCCAGGGGTCATGGACTCCCAACAGACCCATCCGGACCTCTAGATTCTGACGGGTCTACCCCTGAACAAAGACTCGCCAACTCTCCCACCCACTCGCCCGTCTCGCCCCGATCAGGCGGAGGGCTCTTAGCTAGTTTCTATTTAAAAACAGGGATGATAAAACTCATCGATATTCACCTGGTGGCTGGGAGGGTTGGACCGGACTCTTTTTCAGACAAACTTTCCTGAAGTTTGCTTCGAGAGGCAAAAAGAAAGAAAAAAACAACAACAACAACAGTGGTCGTTCTTTAGTTCGGACTGTAAAGTGTCTTTTGTCGAGTCGCGACTCTTGACATCTTGTAAGTGGCTGTAGCTCTTTGCCAGAGGCAGAATTTAAGACACACAAAGACTCTTGTCCCTCCGTCAGCCCTCCTGCAGTTTGAGGTTAGTCTTATTTGGCATCAGAGATGAACGCAGGCTGATGGCGGAGGCGCTCGTCCTCCCCTCACATCACCCGCTCCTCAAGATCCTGCCTCAGCGTCAGCGTCGTCGCCGTCGTCTTCATCCTGATACCTTTCCCCGTGAAGTCCTCGTTACGGAGACAGAGGAAAAAACTGGGCCCACAGAAACTAAAGAATCTGGTTTTCTCTTGGCAGTCTTCTTCTTTCCCTCCGTCCACCGACTCTTTTTCCTTTTTAAGCCCCTCCCCCGTCCCCAGAGGCTAGCACCAGTCGTCCGCCTCCGTCTCGCCGTAGGGTTCATGCAGGCCCTTACGAGGACCCCTTGGGTGCCCGGCCGGAGGGGGGACCTTATGAGGTCCGCTGTGTGGCGGTCCATGGAGATGCGTGGACGGCGATGAGGAGCGGTATCCGTTGGGGAGGCGGCGCTGGGTGGCAGGCTGCATCTGGCCCTGCCCAGGTCCAGTCAGGGCGGTGGTGGGTGGGGGCGCATGGTGCACAGTCCTCGGTGAGGTGCGACTGGGCTGCTGGTGGGGCGGGGGATGGGGGTGGGGGTTGTTGACCGGATGTTGTTGGGGTGGAGGGAGGGGGTGGGGGTTGTGTGGCTGTTGTTGTGGGGGGGGCGGCAGTGGGTGGTTGGCCAGGGCGTGAGGGTGGGGGTTTCCACCCGGCATGGGGCTCTGCTCATAGGCAGGTGGTTCATGGTGGGGCTCATAGTCCTGGTAGTCCTGGTTGTAGAAGCAACCATCCCCTTCCATGGAGCCGCCTCCCCCACCTGAGTCCCCCCAGCGAGGCGGGGGATGATGACCCTGGCGGGGTCCGCCGTGGTGGGCTATCGGGAGGCCAGCGGGGGGAGGACCCTGGCCCATAGGAGGTTCAGGAGAAAAGTGGCGAGGGGCCGGGGCCGGGGGGCGACCCTGAGGTCCACCAGGTGGGGTGGGCATGGCCTTACGGACTACAGGGGAGTAGGTCACATGGGGCCGGGGGGTTGCGGGGGTCTGAGGCAACTGTCGACGACCTCGACGTGGCGTACTGGTCCCCGAGGTCGAGGGGACGGGACTTCCGCTGACCGAACTACTGCCCTACACGAAAAGTGAAATAAAGCAAATAAAAAGAACGAACCACAAATTCAAGGACAGAACGTGTCGAATAAAGGAGGAGATGATGGACGGATGGAGCACAAACCAAAGAGAGAGAGGGGCGAGAGAGAGAGAGGGAGAGGGAGGGGGCAAACGGTCCAAGAAAAAACAGGAACAAGAAGCAGAGCCACAAGAAGAAAAGAAGCACCAATCATGATGAAGGTGGAGGAGGAGGAGGGTGGTGAAAAAAAGATGAGGTTGGAACAGCAGCATACATGAAGAAGCAACATGTTACGCAGAGGAAAGGAAACAAAAGACGACAGGAGAAAAAAAGGGTAAAGGGTTGATTTCAGGAGAAACAAGTGAGGAACTACAGACTTCATGTGGAGACTTCAGTTACTGAGCAGGGGGAGGAGCTCTGTGTGCGAAACAAGACAAGGACCTCTTCATCATATCAGTGAAAACAAAACTAAAAGGGAAGAAAGCAATCCTTCCCCAACAAACACACCTCTGCACGAGTGTTACCTGACCCCTCAGACTGACCTCTAAAGAGGGCTGCAAAGGGGCGGGAAATTTATGGTAAATTTCAAGAAGCTTTTCATGGTAAGTTAAAGTCCTTACACACCGGGACCAACACAAATATATGACGCGAAATTGCTAAATATTCTGAGGCGAATTTTGATGCAAGCCCGATGCGATTTTGTGACTCTAGTGTTGAGATGTCTGTCTGTCATGATAGCATGTACTGAGTCGGGGTCAGTACCAGATAAGAACATTAAACTATGGTAACAACCGTTAGCTTACGTTAGCACAGATGAAAGTTCAAACAAAGACGTTTATCAAACCGTTAAAGCACAAAAAATATCGTCATATGAGGAATCCGATGCTATAGTCGTCCTTCAGGTCGTTATCTTTGTAATGTTTGTGTCTTTTATCAAAAATCACTCTGTTCTCCGACATGTAAACAATCGGCCAGTCGGCCATGTTGGATATACCGGTGAATCTGACGTCGCAATGACACGCAATCTATAGAAATATGACGTCTGAAATAATCGCACGATAAAACGCTCCCGGTGTGAAAGGACCTTACCTCTGACCTTTCCCTGCAAAGGTTCTGAGTTTGGGAAAGGATGCTGAAGGAGGGAGGTGCTGTGGGGACTCTAGGGAAACATGGGCAGACTAATGCATTCAAGGGTTGGGGGGCAGGTAGGGGGCGGGGTCAAATATACCTGAGTGTGTATATTTGATGGACAGAAAATTACAGCGATCGTTCAATCAAACAAACATTCATGTGTTTTCTCATGACTTTACCAACATGTACAGTATAAACATCATTGTGTGCATGTAGTAAAACTTGTGTGTGTGTGTACTACTGAGGTACACACTCCCTCTGCTGACCTGAACACCGCTCTGTTCTGTGAAGGGCCGTCTACTTGAAGACAGCAGTGAACAGACGAGAGATTATTTTGATGTTTTAATGTACCTCTGAAATTAAGCAGTGGTGCTAGTTCAGGCAGGTTAGTGAGTCAAGCTGAGCCAATGGTGCATCAGCTGTGCCAATGAGCTGATCTCTGTTCCTACTGACACCTCTGAAGACCACATGCACACAAGTTCCCTGAAGCCCACCTGTCTGTGTGTGAGGCACTCCCGACCCTCGCTGGGCGATCGCGACCAGCGCCGGTCTCTCTCCCTCTCCCTCTCCCTCTCCCGGTCGTGCTCTCTGTCCTGGGAGTGTCGGTGTCTGTACTCGCCTCCCCGCTCTGCTACATAGCGCTCTTTATCTATAGAGCCGTGGTGATGGTGATGATGATGGTGGTGTTTGCGGTCTTTGGACCGTCCACGATCCCTGTCGCGGTCCTTGTCTTTGAGGTCGCCCGACTGCGTGGTTGTGCTCAGGTCCGTTCCCAAACCTGGAGGTGGAGTCGATGGACTTTAGTTAGGATGTTACTGGGACAACATGACAGGCAGCTGGAACAGATCTACTGGTTTTCTCAGGAGACCACCTTTGGTAACGAGCTACAAGGGGGTCCTGAGGGACCTCTGTGGGTCCTCCTCACACAGGTCTGTTTTGTCTCCATCAGCAGAAATGAACACATGAACGCACTCTGACAGGATACTTCATTTCTTCACGGCATCCCGAACGGCAGCGATTTGTGGCGTAAACCAATTCCTACTGGATCCGTTTATGAGGCGGATTCCGTGGCGGGTCACGGACAGCGGGAATCGTGAGAACTCACAAGAACCCGCGGATTCACGTTCAATCGCGCAATAACGAGTTGTCTCTATAAAGACAGACACATAGACATATAAGGAGTAGATTGTGTCCTTTGTGTCTGTGCCCGACTTCCTTTCCAGCACGGGTTAATCTGTGCTAAGTTTATCCGGCATGCGCTGGCGTTCGGAAAAAATAGAACTCTTGCAGTCAACTGTGGAGTCCGGCAATCCACAGAGGAACGGAAAGAAGCCGGTGGAGGATGCGGCACCTTTGATTCCAATTTTTTTGTTGGAAGGACAACTGGACTTACTTGAGACGTTTCGCCTTAGGTGAAACGTCTCAAGTAAGTCCAGTTGTCCTTCCAATGCGTCGATTTCCGCTCCAGATTCCTTTCTATTTTTAATACCCTGAGGACCAGGACCATCTAGTTTTGGTTTTGGTTCTTGTCCCCCTTTATTCCGGAGATTTCTCCATGTTTTCTCTTTTGGTCATTGTTCTCCGATGACCTGTATCTGTGCCGGCTTCCTTTCCAGCACGGGTTAATCGGTGCTGAATTTATCCGGCATGCTCCGGCTTCCGTTACGACAGAAAGAAGTCGGTGTAAATTGACACGTTAACTTGAATGGTTACGATCAGCTACCTTCGGAGGATACGACCTTTTCATAGCCGTTCAGGATGCGGTGGAAATTGGGGGTTAAGCTTCAAACAAGACTACTTCAAAGATGGAAACCAGGATTTTGTTTTCAGAGACTAGAATCCATTTGAATCTAAATGACTCTGTTATTTTACAGCAGCAGATGTGTTGGGGTACTATCTGTGTGTGTGTGTGTGTCCCACCTGTGTCAGCCTCGTTGTATCGATGGAGCGACCTTTCAGACGCCCGATGACTCCGCTCTTTTCGCCGGTGTCCGTGTCTGGAGCTCCTCCCCTCCTCAGGAACCTGCTCCATGCTGTAGTGGTCTGGTCCTCCTTTGTCCCGGTGTCCTCGCCCGGACCTGCTGTGGCCCAGCGACGAGGCCGAGCGCTTCATGGGACTGCTGTCGTTGATGGTCTGAGAGAGAGAGAGAGAGAGAGAGAGAGAGAGAGAGAGAGAGAGAGAGAGAGAGAGAGAGAGAGAGGCAGGGACAGATGTTTCCTTTGATTATTCACTCTGTGTTTCTGAGAGATAACAGGTGGAGGTGCTGTGTGTGTGTCTGTGTGTATGAATAAGGCAACTCCATGTACTCTGTGCAAGCCCGCCTTCCCTCCTCCAACATCAGACCCCACCCCCCCCACTCCTGCGTCACTAAAATCCTCCCAATCATGCGTCTTCAAAAATGCAGATGAACAAAGTTAGTAGCATCAGGGTTAGAAGAAGCAGCTCAGGCAGAAATCACGTCTGTTTTAGGAGGGATATTCCGGCGCAACCCACTAAATTAATTTTACGCCGGAATATCCCTTAAACACTCCGCTAGATAAGAGTCCAAATTTCAGGTCCAAAAGTGAACCAAACAAGGAGGAACCCATCTGGAGCATGGGGGGTCTAGATCCTCAGCTTGGACTGTGTCATGGGTTGTCCTGGTTTTGGCTGTTTGACTCTAAAATATCTCGTTTCTCTCCACTTGTTTCCCTCAGATCCCACTTCAGCAGCGTTTCCACCAAGCTCTTCAGTTCAGTCCCACCATGGAGTCATTCTACCCTCAAACTTTTAGCAGGTTACTGGACAAGACCTCACAGTAACCTGAACCCAGCTGAGCCCTCTAGTCTCTAGACCTTCTGTGTGTGGTTAACATGCACACTGAAATTCACGTTGACATGTTGGATGTAAACAAGATCAGGGTTTTCCAGACCAGACCAGGCGAGACCAAACCGGACACCTTGGTGGGAACGCCCCCTTAGGTTCTCATCCCCTAAAATACTGACCCCCTTTAGATGGTTCAGGCTTCATGCTGCCCATGCATCTGTCCTTGTAGTCCGGTGCAAATGTGACTTGACCCCCAAAAATTCTAACAAAGGTTTCTCAGCTGTTTTTTTTATAGAATTAGATGTCCTTAATAACAAACTAAGACTACGTTCACACTGCAGGTTATGCAGCTCACATTACAACAACAAATGCGGTATCTAATGCGAACGGAATGCGTCCGTGAATTGATCCGCATGCACACAAAGCAAAAATTGCTTTCCGTGCCTGTTTGTGTTGTCGAACAATGGTGTGTAGTACAGTACAGTAGTGTTGTAGTACTCGAGATCGGTCTTGACTCGAGACCATTTTTTGAGGGTCTTGGATGTCGGAATCGAAGGCATTGTCCCTCGGTCTTGTCTCGGTTGCAGTCCTCTCTGGTCTCGGTTGGTGCGATCTTGACTACAACACTAGGTGAGAGTATTTTCTCATTTACAGAGTGATAAAAGAGAATTTTGTACGGGGCTTTATCCGTGGTTCAGTTTTCAGCGTCAGCAGTGATGCGGACGCTTAACCGATCAGTGGTGGTGAAGAAAGAGCTGAGCCGTAAGGAGAGACTCTGGATTTACCGGTCGATCTACGTGCCGATCCTCACCTATGGTCATGAACTTTGGGTAATGACCGAAAGAACAAGATCGCAGATACAAGCGGCTGAAATGGGTTTCCTCCTCAGGGTGTCCGGGCTCAGCCTTAGAGATAGGGTAAGGAGCTCGGACACTCAGGAGGCGCTCAGAGGAGAACCGCTGCTCCTCCACGTCCAGAGGAGTCAGCTGAGGTGGCTCGGGCATCTGGTTAGGACGCCTTCTGGACGCCTCCGTTAGAGGTGTTCCAGACATGTCCCACCAGGAGGAGACCTCATGGCCGGCCCAGGACCAGGTGGAGGGATTATATCTCTCGCCTGGCCTGGGAGCGCCTGGGAATCCCTCTAGAGGAGGAGCTGGTGGAAGTGGCTGGGTTGAGGGCAGTCTGGGCTTCCCTCCTGGAGCTGCTGCCCCTACAACCCGGACCCGGATGAAGTGGAAGAAGACGATGACGAAAAATGTTACCCTATTCACTTGGGGTGTCTTCTACCCATCATGGACACCAACTTGAAAACGACGCCTTTCTAGTGGTCAAACTTTAGTGAACTTTTAGTTTTTTATTAAGAACATCTAATACTATAAAAAACAGCTGAGAAACCTTTTTGTTCAGGTGGTCCAGTCCTAAACCCTCACCACCCCTAAACCCCTTAACATGGAACATTCCAGGCTGCAGAAACTCCTCTGCTTCTGCAGGTCCAGGATGAGTTTTTCCAGCCATGCAGGTCGCTCCAAAGACTCGGTTCTTCGCACTCTGACAGGACAGAGTCTTTGGAGCCGCGAGTTTCTGACCCGGACATGGAGACCTTCATCAGGCCGCTTCAGTGCTAGATCCTTCAGGTCTGGGTTTTCAGTAACGACTCAGATCAGCATGTGGTGGAAAAACACCAGAGGAGGATTATTGGACCTCATGGAAGAAGCACTGAAGATCATCCATTCACCCCGAATCGTTCCTCTTCACCCGTCATCCGCTCTCACTCCGATCAACACACACACACACACACACACACACTTCCAAACACACACTTTCAAACAACGTCTGCACATGCAGGTCAGCAGGGATGACTGAAGACCAACACAGACATGAACAGAGAGAGAGCAACGTTAGAGACGAGAACACAGGCATGAGGAGCAACACTGAGCAACAACAACGACAACAGAGCAACAACAACAGAGCACGAGCAGCTGAGAGAGAGAGAGAGAGAGAGAGAGAGAGGGGCATGTTGTCGTGCAGAGTTCAGCCCAAACACACTGTCTTTAAGGCCGGACAGAGGACAGAGGACAGAGGACAGAGGACAGAGGACAGAGGACAGAGGCAGCAGCTGAGGATGCTGGGACCAGTTTGTTGACTGGGCTGGTCAGAGATTTGATCATGCTTAAATCTACAAGAGTCCAAATACATTAAATATAATAATAGAGAGAGAGAGAGAGAGACAACATGAGGACATGAGAGATGAGGGGAACAGAAGACTGACGAGAGAGAGAGAGAGAGAGAGGGAGAGGAGAGAGAGAGAGAGAGGGAGAGAGAGAAGGAGAGACAGGGAAGACAGGGTACATACACTGAGGTTACTGCCACGTTGTCTCCCTTTCCTCCGCTGCTGTATGAGCACAGAGAAGACACACACACACACACAAACACACACACACACACACACACACACACACACACACACACACACACACACACACACACACACACACACACACACACACAGGTACACCAAAGGAGTGGACACACACACACACACAAACACACAGGAAGAGGAAGAAGATGGAGGAGAAAGGTGGAGGATCAACCAAAACAGAGAGAGAGAGAATAAGAAAGATAGAGAGAGAGAGAAGAGAGAGAGAGAGAGAGAGAGAGACTGATTAGACACAGAAGCCGCCGTGATGGTGGAAGAAAAACACTTACCACAGACACAGGGGTGGATGATGCCCACACAGGGTCAAAGGTCACCATGAAAATGCACCAATCAACAGCACCACGGTCACAACAGCAGTGACAACAATTAGCAAAATACACACACAAATAAATATATACGGAAGCCCTGAAGGGACACGCATCCGTACATTTCACCGACTCTGCTTTCCTCATCAGACGTGAAACACAAACATAAACAAAGGGTCAAAGGTCAGTCAGGACCCTGTTATTTACATGTGTTTGTGGAATACTAAAGCTCAAAGCGGGCCACAATCAGGTGGTTCTGATTTTGGGACCTGCCTGAACTCACACTAAGGAAAGACTAACTTCTTTATTGTTTCACCATCTGGACCTTAAACTTCATCAGTGTGAGTCAAAGCAGCGCGATAAGACTGTCTATCACAAGTCCTTCACATGTCCTGAGACTGAATGTCTACACCCTGTGACATCTCATCCCAGTGTCCACCCCATCCAGAATGGCTCCAATACGAGACGGCGGCAGTTTTCACCATCCGCCAATTCATCCCGGATTGGTTTGTGAGGCGAATTTTGTGGCAGATTACGGACAGCAGGAATCACAAGAACTCAAGAGAACCCTGAGATTCCTGTTCAATCGCGGAATAACGAGTTGTCTCTCTAAAGACAGACACATAGACATATAAGCAGTAGATTGTGTCCTTCCAGAGGAGGAAATCTACTTCTAGACTTCTAGAATCAGCATCTCCTCATCCATGGTGTCATCGGGGTGAAATGACGTCTAAAAACCTTTCACTTGTTCGTCTCCGCCCGTTTGCATGGTGTGAAATACGATCCTCCTGAAACACGGAGTGTTTTATTTTGAAAAGAAGCCGGATGTTTTATTTTGTGTCTGTGCCCGACTTCCTTTCCAGCACGGGTTAATCTGTGCTGAATTTATCCGCCATGCTCCGGCGTCCAGAAAAAATAGAACTCTTGTGATCAGCTGAGGAGTCCAGCGATCCGCAGAGGAACGGAAAGAAGTCGGTGGAAATTGACACGTTAACTTGAACGATCAGCTACGATCGGAGGATACGACCTTTTAGGAGATGTTCAGGATGAAGGTGGAAGTTGGGGGTCAGAGACTGGATTCCGTCTCTGGAGGAGGTAACAGAAACGTTACAGGGACTTACAGGACTCCTCTGGATGTTTACCTGCTGTCTAAGAAGTCTGTTTAGTTGGTTGGACTGAATGAAACCAGGATGGTGCCGCTGGAGACTCAAAGGCTGACAGGGTGGATTAACCCTTTAATGAAAAAGTGAGCGGTTATCCTGAGTTAGTCGAGTAAACCTGAACTAGTGTGTGAAATGTACAGATGCATTTTAACTCAGGGCTCCTGTAGATATACACAATTACATCTGACCCACACAGCAGACAACAGAGTAACAGGGCACACTGAGAGCACACACACACACACACTTCTGTCACACACACACACACACTCCTGCACACACACACGTCATGCTGGTTCCCACAGTCCCCCCAGAATCAGAACAAAGTCCAGCACAGAAAAAACCTTCGATACAAAGAAAAGACAGTTTAGTACAAAAAAGGAACCAAAAGAAGAAGAAGAAGAAGAAGAAGAAGAAGAAGAAGTAATGGAGGGCACAGGAGTGTGTACACTGTGTGTGTGTGTGTGTGTGTTTAGAAATATACTGTGTCGATATGACAACCAGAAAACTGAGTGGAGTTTAATTCAGATAAATTTATATCAGATGGATGAGTGTCGGGTGGAAAACGGGACGACCACGTTAAAGTAAAAAACCTTCATGCAGTGATGATGAGAGAAAAGAGAGGAAGAGGAGGAGTGAAGAGCAGAGGTCTGACTTTGCCTTGTTGTGGTCTCTTTGGAAACATGCGTCAGGAGAAACCTCCCCTTTAAGAATGGTCGTCAGTCAGTCGGTGTGAGGTCAACGACCTTTCAGACATGGATCCAAGAGACCACAGCAACGAACGCTGGAGGAGCAACCAGTCAGACCTTTGGTGATCTTTTCAACCCAAACAACGAGGAGCACAGGAGATGGGGGAATAGAGAGAGAGTGGAAAGGTGAGAATGCTGCTCACTTGGTTGTCGCCTGGGAGGCGGGGCATGGAAGCGGCCCTGCCGTGGCCTTCCATTGGTGGAAAGTGCTCGGTATCCGAGTAACCATCCTGCCCCATCTCTCTCATCTCTACCGTCTGCAAACAGAGCAGGAGAGCAGGAGATGGCTGCCGTGAAAACTGAGAGGGAGCAGGGGGACAGGAGGGAGAGGCGGTTATCCAAAGACAGCAGAGGTGAGGCTCTCTGAGAGCGCCAAAATCTGAGAGACAGGAGCTCCTTTCACACCGGGAACGGTTTTTATCGAGCGATTCTTTCAGACATTTCATTTCCTGTCAACACAAGCGTTCACATCAGCGACGTTTTCCCGTCCTGAGATATTGCGGCATTTATTTTTTCACGGTCGATTTTTCTGAAGTTTCTCAGACTGTGTGTCCACTTCTGACCAATCAGATTTCGTGTTGTTGCGACATCAGATTCAGCGGTATATCCAACATGGCCGACTGGCTGATTGTTTACGTGTCGGAGAACAGAGTGATTTTTGATAAAAGACACAAACATTACAAAGATAACGACCTGAAGGACGACTTGTGGAGAGTCATAGCGTCGGATTTCTCATCTGACGATGGTTTGTGAGCTTTAACAGTTTGATAAACGTCTTTGTTTGAACTTTCATCTGCGCTAACGTAAGCTAACGGTTGTTACCATGGTTACATGTGTTTATCTGGTTCTGGCCCCGACTCAATACATGCTATCATGACAGACAGACATCTCAACACTAGAGTCTAATCAGAACTGAAGAACACTCAGTCTGCTGTTCTGTCAGTCTTCTTGCTTCCATCCGGGACGCGTCTTTTTTCCTCTGGAAAGTCGCAAAATCGCATCACGCTTAATGTCTAAAGTCAGGCGCGTCAAAATTCAAAAATTCGATATTTGCGTCGGTCCCGGTGTGTAAGGAGAGTGTGAGGAGGAGTGAAGAGGAGAGCCTCGTAATCTGGACTCATTTCCTACTGGACTTAGAGGTCCTTTGGGCTCACATGGATCAGGTCATCAGGAAACTGCACCAAGAACTTTGATCTAAATTCTAATCTAGAGATTATTTCTTCAGAACCAGGTTCTGATTCTAACCTTGGAAGATTCTAACCTATCAGATAAATTCTGGTTCATGGAGTTATAAACATCACGGGTTCAAGTTCTGGGTTTACATCTTCTCCTCTGGGAGACGGTTCTAGTCGACACTAACAACTTTCTGCTCTAAGCCTGTTTGAGAAGCGGTCGTGTCAGCTGACCTTTAACCTCGGGGTCATTTCGTTATTTGCTTCCTGGTTTCATCGGTCTGTTTTGATTAAATTGAAGGTTGTCATTCAAACTGGTTTGAATGAAGCCAACAGCCACTCTCTTCTATTAAAATCCTCAGTTTAAACGTCTCCAGACCTCTGTCTATGGATATGAGAGGTGACTGGAACGGGGACGACTGGTCCACAGACCGGCCAGGCCCTCCAGGAGGTCTACAAGCAGAGAGGTTTAATATGAAGACAGAGACATGAACCACCCTGAAGACAGAGAGAGACTCCGAAGGAATCGTGGAAAAGAAAGGAAAGGAAAAAACTTCAGGATCAAAAATCATGTAAGGAGACAGGAGATGACGCTAGTCAAAGGAAAAGTTTCCTCTGAGATGACGGAAGAAGACACACCAAACAAATCAGTCAGGATGAGACAGTGTGACCTCTGACCCTCTGTGTGGTGAAACAGACTGATATTCAGGGTTCATGTTGGGATTGGTGTCTTTGAGTTCAATATAGACTTTAATATAGACGTTAATATAGACTTCAATATAGACGTTAATATAGACTGTAATATAGACTTTAATATAGACTGTAATATAGACTTTAATATAGACGTTAATATAGACTGTAATATAGACTTTAATATAGACGTTAATATAGACTGTAATATAGACTTTAATATAGACGTTAATATAGACTGTAATATAGACTTTAATATAGACTGTAATATAGACTTTAATATAGACGTTAATATAGACTTTAATATAGACTGTAATATAGACTTTAATATAGACGTTAATATAGACTGTAATATATACGTTAATATAGACTTTAATATAGACTGTAATATAGACTTTAATATAGACGTTAATATAGACTTTAATATAGACTTTAATATAGACTGTAATATAGACTTTAATATAGACTGTAATATAGACTTTAATATAGACGTTAATATAGACTGTAATATAGACTTTAATATAGACTTTAATATAGACGTTAATATAGACTTTAATATAGACTGTAATATAGACTTTAATATAGACGTTAATATAGACTTTAATATAGACTTTAATATAGACTGTAATATAGACGTTAATATAGACTTTAATATAGACGTTAATATAGACTGTAATATAGACGTTAATATAGACTGTAATATAGACTTTAATATAGACTTTAATATTGACGTTAATATAGACTTTAATATAGACGTTAATATAGACTGTAATATAGACTTTAATATAGACTGTAATATAGACTTTAATATAGACTTCAATATAGACGTTAATATAGACTGTAATATAGACTTTAATATAGACTTCAATATAGACTTTAATATAGACTATAATATAGACTGTAATATAGACTTTAATATAGACGTTAATATAAACTGTAATATAGACTTTAATATAGACTTTAATATAGACGTTAATATAGACTGTAATATAGACTTTAATATAGACTTCAATATAGACGTTAATATAGACTTCAATATAGACTTTAATATAGACTTCAATATAGACGTTAATATAGACTTCAATATAGACTTTAATATAGACTTCAATATAGACTTTAATATAGACTTCAATATAGACTTTAATATAGACTTAAAAGGATTTTCGAAACCATCAGATCCTGTTTTATAAACATTTTAATCTGAGACTTAAGGGTGGGGTAGACAGGATTCTGGTTAAGAAGCATCTTTATATTTGTGGTGTAAATAAAAAAATCTTTGAATATCAGTCAATAGTTATTAATAGACGCTGCTCCCCCGTGTCGTTCAGGAGCCCAAACAAAGTTAGCGTGCTACAATATCGGACAGTAGAAACCAACCAGAAAGTTCGGAAAATTGTCTGAATCCTCCTTTGGCCACGACTGCCGACACAAGCAAGAAAACAAAGTAAATACCGGAGACTCTGGAGGAATAACGGGCGCTTAAAACGGAGGTAGACCGGACAAGAGCTAAAAAGCCGGGTCAACATAAACGATGGGGGACGCTTGGGGATCTTGGTGACCCTGTAACCTTTCTGCTGGACAGGTAAACCGCTTTAACAAAGTAAGACAAGTGTCTGTAACAGAAGTGTTTCTTGTCAAACGGACCTGCTGTAGCGTGTTGTAGCGCCATCGCTAAACTGTCCTCCCTCGGGTCCTGGACTATGTCACTTTATCCTCGTTGTAGAAGTCCTGCAAACATTGGACCTTCCTCAGATCCTGACGACCCCACCTTTAACTTTAGTTCTTTAAATGTTAATAAATTTAACTCGTGTGAGATTGAAGTTGTTCATTTCATAAATTTCTGTCTTTAACCTTCATGATAGTCCTGTAGGTGTACCTCACATTATCCTCACTCTGATCACAGCAGACCCGGACTCCAGGTTGTGGACCCTGGTTACCATGGAGATGAGACTCGCTCTGTTTGTCTGGTTTGGCAGTAATGACATGACGGTCAGGACAAATGCTGAATGGATCGAGGGTTTGAAAACTGGATCACACAAACGTCATGTGGTTCATCTGTGAGGAGGTGTGTGTGTGTGTGTGTGTGTGTGTGTGTGTGTGTGTGTGTGTGTGTGTGATGTCCTGAGTGTGTGTTACTCTGAGCTTTCTACCTGAGAGTTGCTCATGCTTCCCAGACCGTCCTCAGGGTGGCCCTCAGGACTCCAGCTGCCCACCCTCTGGGACATCTCCTGAGCACGAGCCGTCACCCATGATTGGCTCTCTGGGATCCCGCCTCCTACCGGCCTGTGACACACACACACACACACACACACACACGCACACACACACACACACACACAAACTTCTTTACGTGCTCTGCCTCCATGTCCTGTAAAGTAAAGCGTGCCGGCGTCACACTCACAGGCTGTTGGCCGTCTCCGTGGTCTGAGGTGGAGGAAGAGCGTTGTTCAGACCCGGCCCCCCGTCCTGGGCGGGGGAAGGTGGCTCCACGCGCTGAAACAATGATGGCGTTCGATTCTGTGTGAGATATACAATATGGCCGTCGCCAGCTATCAGGCAGACTGACAGGGAAATGGAGGGAGAAGGAGCAGAGCAGGAAGAGAGGACATGTGGCTGAAGCAGAGCGAGGCAGAGGAGGAGGAGGAAGTGACGGAGGAAGGAATGAGGGAGGGGCTTAAGAGCAAAACGGATACCCGGCAGTAAGAGAATGAGATGGGGGGACTGGGACCTGGAAACCCTCCGAAGTGTCCAGGTCCAGGTCTCGAACCGTAAAGACTGATTAGAACAATTTAGGTTTTCGTGTTTCCAGAAGAGCTGGATCTGAATCTAGAGGGGCGGGGTTTATGAAGGACCCGCCCAAAGGAGGGAAGGTCATCATGGACGATAAAGACTGCAACCATCCTGCAGAGGGGGAACATAGCAGGTGAAATGCATGATGGGACAAATGCTGCAACCATTCTCATCACATTGTCAGTCATCAGAACTAAAAACGGACCTCTGCGGCGTCCTCCGGCGCTCCGAACTCTGCGGTCCGCGGTCAGAACGGTGAGGTGGATTAAAGGAAACAAACCTCAGTGTTTTTCTACCCTGAGAACATCTCAGATCCTAAAACCAGAGGAGGAGGAACCTTCACCACTACAGATCATCTCCACAGAGACATCGCTGGTTCGGTCCAGTTTAGTCGGTAAACTCTGAGCTTTCAGCCGGACCAGATCAGACTGGTCATCCTGCTGAGATCTGAACTGGTTCAATCCCAGTTTCAGTCACAAGGATCAGAGACTATAGAGGGACATCTGAAGACTTCTTGATGGTCCGTTTGATCTGAGGAGAGACTCCTGCAGATATCAGCTGATCTAACATTCATTATGAAATAACTAATAATTTAAAATCTCTACATTGTTATCTGTGTCTGTTTGAGTAGATTTGAAGGTTCTTTTGTTAGTTTTTAAAGCTCCTCATGGTCCTTCTTTTTTGTTTGATTTACCACATGAACCTAGTAGAGCTCTCAGGTCTTCAGGTCTTTAAATTTTTCCCAAAGTAAAACTAAAACACTCGGTGAATCATCATTCCAACATTACAGTCCCCGTCTGTGGAACAGCCTGAGAGCGCCACCTACTGTTCATATTTTTAAAGTAAACTAAAGACCTTTTTAGTCTGGCTTTAAGGTAAATTTTGTTTTACTGTATTTTTCGCACTAAAAGGCGCGCCGGATTATAAAGCGCATTAATCCAAACAAAACAGTCAGATAAGTCAAACTTTATTTCACTCATTCAGTAACTCTGTGAGGTTACAGTAGCTGCAGTTCTCCGACAAGCCAAAAGGATTTTAAGAGCTCCTTATAGTGCGAAACATACGGAACACTTTTAATTTGCATTATGTGATTTTACGCTATTTTAGTCCTAGAGTTACTATTTTGTGTTTTATTACCTCTTTTTTAATTTACTTTCTTTGATTGTTTAATTTTAAGACTATTTACTTCAGGACTGTGAGTCTAGCTCCACCTTCAACGTTGGATGTTTATTTCCTCTGTTTCTCGTCTTGTTTTACTTCCTCAGTTTTCCCTCCTCTGTAATCGTCCTCACCTGTGTCTTTGTCTCTCCTGCCTCTCGTTGCTTGTTTCCCTGTGTTTATATAAAGTCCTTGTCTTCCCCTGTTTCTTGGTCGGTTCATTGTTGTACGTCGATGTCTCCAGAGACGTTTCTGAAGTAAGTTTTTGTTGTTTTATTTTGTTTATTCTGAATAATCTTTCGTTGTCTTTTCCTTCTTACTTTACTCAAAATCCTGTTAACCTGTTAGTGACCGTGAACATCAGGTCTGATATGAGACCACAGTTCGCTGTGAAGACAGGAGACCTCAGACTCCGCCCTGTTTGTATCGTGGAGTCAAACCCCATCGTGGAAATCTACCCGTCCCAGGATACAAGCAGGTGATGGGGAGTGAGGAGTCGGTCTAGACGGGGGAGAGTCAAGCTCAGGAGGAGGAGGAGGAGGAGGAGCCGTCATGAGATCTCCTCTCCTCAGGGAGGGGGGGCTGTGACAACACTGTCAGCCTGTGAAGACCGGACCCTGCAGACTCTGAGAACTAATGAGCTCTCTCAGATTTATGAAGAGTTTCCCGTCCCTCTGGGATTATGTGGGCATGTTTTCTCTCTTCATTCTGCAGAGTCCAGTACTAAAGGAAAAACTACTCTTTTCTGCCAGCAGATGGCAGCACTGGCCATGGTGTCAGAGAGGAGAGGAGCGTTTCCTCCCTGAGCGAATGGAGAGTCCTGGATGTGGACTAGGGTTGTCACAGCCCTGGATTATATGGATGGGATTACAGCCCGGCAGGCAGCCTGGATTCCAGTGCGTCAGTCTGCCTTCAACTTTACAGGGTCGGATGCAAAAGAAGCAGCAGAGTGTTTGTTCTCTGTGAGGCTGCAGTACCTGCTCGTCGCGGAGGGCCTGGGAGCGCTTGATTTTGCTCTGCCGGTAGTACTCCATGATCATCATGGCGGCGTAGATTTTCCCCACTGTCAGGTCTGTCGCTGCTGAGAGAATGACAAGTTACCCTGCAAGATTAGACCCTTAGGTATGGACCCTGAGCGCGAGGAATGGTAGAAAGGGGTGAGACACACACACACTCACACACACACACAGACACACAGACACACACTCACAGGCGCACATGAACATTGAGCATTTAGTCTTTTCACAAACAGATCTGTTAAACTGAAACTTACTCCAAATAAACGTTATATTTTTAAGACTCATCCTGATAAAGAAACATCTGCATTCATGTGACTCCATGAATGAACAGGAAGTTTAAATTAAAGTCCTTTCAAAATAAAACAAAGTTCATACAAGTGCAAAGGTTGAGGAGAAACTTACACTAAACTATTCATGACATTATTTTTTTTGTTGTTGTTATTTTTTTAAATCACATGCACGTCGAAGAATTAAGCAAACACTGCATGATGCAACCAGCGCGTTAGCACACGTGCATGTGGTCTCAGTGTCAGAACCGTGACTTCTAGATCAAACAGTCAGCCAGCAGCTGCACACCGCTGACCTCCGCTGGAGTGAAAAGACGTCTATAGAGAGAAGATCTATAGTGAGGCACCCTCTGATGTCAGGCACACACAGGTGAGCACAGGTGGGGGTCTGGGACAGGTGGGTGGGGTGACTGAGTGCTGTTTCAGTGACGGACAGACATGGCAGAGAGTGTGTGTTAGTGTGTTAGTGTGTTAGTGTGTTAGTGTGTGTGTGTGAAGTGATGCCCTGCTCACACATCAGCTGGTCTCATGTAAACATGTTTGTTCGTCCTCCTCTCTACGCTGACTCTGATTGGACTCCGGACTCTGACTGATGTGTTCTCGTCCGTATGAACAGTGTTGTTTTTGGCAGGCATTTTAGATTTAGTTTTAGTCTTAGTCATTTTGACGAAATGCTTCTTCGTTTTAGTCCCATTTTAGTCATTTCTATCCTTGATAGTTTTCGTCTAGTTTTAGTCGACGAAAAGGTGCCTTTTGAAGTTCATGGTGTTCTTTCCCGACAGTTTGAAGCCGCAGCATGAGGAAGCTGTGGCTCCACAACTGTCGCCTGTCTCGTCTCCCCGTCCCCGTACAAGACATTGTGTTTAATTGTCACTTGGACTGTATCTGAAGTAGGACCATAAACCATCCCTCTTTTTTCGGCCACCGGGTACCGCTGCTGTGCCTGCCGCCACGGTGTGTGTGTGTGTGCGCCTCGTCCACCTGCCGCTCTGTGTATGTGTATGAGTGTGTGCGCGCAGCTGTGCGCGAGCGAGGCTTTTGGTGCGTGTGTGATGGGGGCGTGACTGTTAGGACCAAAAAAAAGCATGTTTTGAAACTTTGTTCGTCCACCTAATAACAATTTAGTCTCGTCTCGTTCTCGTCTGATGAAAATGAATATAATTTTCGTCACATTTTAGTCTTTACAGAGCTTTGGTGACGTTCGTCTTAGTCTCATTTTCGTCAAGGAAAAAAGGGGTCTGACGTCGTCATTTAAGTTTTCGTCCTGCCTGACGAAAACAACACTGCGTATGAACAACCGAGTCGCCACATCTCGGGTTCATACGGACCAACATTAACGTTTCCTGCCTGCTTCAGATCCGTCACTCCACTGTGCTGTGAGGTATTTTTTAAATGGCAGAACATTTTCAAAGTGAAACTGAATCTTATTCTCCGCATTATTTCTGAAAATATCGGTGAAAATCTGCGAGTTTTGGCCGATTACCGATTAGTCTCAAACGGACTACAATTGGCCGATTTAATCAGCTTGCCGATAAATCGGTCGGGCCCTACCACTTCTATCTTCTGAGCAGATTAAATGTTGTTGGAATCAGTTTGATGCGTGGACCATTTATAACACGGCTGGAGGAGCAGGACCGGACTTTCTCGACTGATGGTGTTTCTACGTTTTCTGTAAATACGTCGGAATATCTCGATCCTGAATATTTCAGGGCAGACCTCCTGGAGTCCGTTAAAAGCTGCTCACTCAGACTTCGATCACAGGTCTGCGTTCGTCCTGTTGTTGTAGATGTGTGGTGTTTCGTCGTGAGTACGTGGATGTGGGTGTGTTAGTGTGGGGGGGATGTGCCCACTGTATCAGAGGGTGCAGCAGTGACAGGGACTGGCTGAGAAAAGCGGTCCTCGGGTGGCGTGAAGAGAAACGTCGTTGGAGCGCTGGGCGGCGCCGGGCGGCTGCATCCAAAGGCCGCAATGCCGCGCCTTCACCCACACTCTGCAACTTACACTTGTGCGGGGTCACCAGCAAATCCAGAGTCTTCTGGGACAGGTTGGGCCAGATCGCCATCATCTCCTTCCTCAGCTCCGCGTCCATCTGGTGTTTATCGACCCCACCTGAGAGGAACCGAGGAGCACGCACGCACACACACACACACATCCAAGAGTACGTGCACGTTTACATTTAGACACAAAGGCAGATGAAGAAGTTAAATCACACACACACACATTCAGATCGGTATAAAGATATAAGAGGACACACAAACATGGAGACAGAGACACACAAACCCGTTAGAGAGTTCATCATCATCATCATCGTCACTAAAACGACCAAAGAGAAGATCTGGACCTTCAGCTTTTAAAGGAGGAGCATCAGGAGGAGCAGAGAAGCTCCAGCTCTGAGGACCTCCTGGAGGACCGAGCAGCTGAAAGTCAGAACAAAGAGGTAAAAGGAGGAGGTCCAAACCTTCAGCGCCCTTGGCGATCTTGATGTCCAGGGCCGTGCGGATCAGGGCCATGAGGGTGGAGTTGAAGTGGACAGTGTTGTCGTCGGCGACGGGGAGATCCATGCGGAGGAGTCTCTGCGGAGGAGCCAATCAGTGTGGAGAGTGAGGACAACAGGAAGTAGGTGTGACGCATGTGGAACCTCCAGGTGGAGAGGGAGTCAAGGGGGAGGGGCAGGGGGAGGGGGGTAAGGGTAAGGGAGGTGGGGGGAGCTTTGCACAGCGGGGTCAGAGGTCAAACTTAAAGTGTCAAATTTTCCAGGAATATCTATAAAAACAGATTCAGGACTCAGATCTGAACAATGAAACCTGTGAGACTTTAAGATATGAGTAAATATCAAAGTTATAACCTTAAAGGGATATTCTGACATAAATTTAATTTAGGGTCAAACCCACCGTAACACCGAGTTAGACCCCCCCTCCAGAGATGAATGTTGTCGACCACTTGCTTCTCTAGTTATACCAACTTTAGTAACGACCGCAGGATAGTAATACACAGCGGTCTGAGGAGCCATAAACAAACCAAAATGTTCTTCCTTGAGCTGCGGCACCCCGCTGTAGTCCATAATGGACTGGCCTGAGGTCTCGCTACAAACAAGCGTCTGCTGGAAGAGAGTAGGTGAGTTGTGTTTAGTCTCTTTGCTAAAGAAATGAGTCAAAGTTAAAAAGATGTTTGGTGTCTAGTACTATGTCTGTGACCCTATATGTACTAACCTCAGTAGATCATGGTGTAGTTCCGTTTAGTAACAGAATCTCATTGGAAAATTAGCTGATTTAACTTTACTGTGCTCTTGTTTAAATATATTAACTCAACAGCACATATATCTATACCTGTTAACAAACTCATGATTTTATTGATAATTCGGCTCAATAAAAACACCTTTACCTTTTCATTTTACTACAGTAGAAGTTTATTGGCCCAGCTTATAGACTACAGAAGAGGAGAAACACCCCCGCTTAAGTTTGTTTTTCTTAGGAGTTAGAACAACTCTGAATATAGTACTATGTCTGTGACCCTATATGTCCTGTTGATGAAGTTAGGTGCTGTTCTGAGCATTATTTGTGGCTATAGAGTGGCGTTTTGGTTGAGCTTTGTCGTTACTAAAGTTGGTATAACTAGAGAAGCAAGCGGTCGGCAACATTCATCTCTGGAGGGGTGGTCTAACTCGGTGTTACGGTGTGTTTGACCCTAAATCCCTTTAACTGATGTCCTAACCTTCGTGTTTTCTGATCTCACAGGTTGTTTAAACTCACAATCCTGAGCTCTCTGATGAGGAAACGTCGTCACGACTACCGTGCAGAGCTCCCCCTGGGGGTTTGGAGGTTCACAGTGAAAACCACAAAGACCAGATGACAAACCAATAAAGCCAAAACCAGTACAGGACCAGTCTGAGGAAAGGAGGCAGGGGTCCAGTTTGGTTTATTGGTTTCATCCTTTCAGGTCCTTGTTGGTTCCTCATAGAAATAGACAGAGACACACACACCAACTCACAGAGTGAAGTTGGTGTGTGTTCGGTGACAGGATACGGCGACAACCCGGTCATGCAGCTTTTCATGCCTCCTTAGACCCCTTCTTCAAACACCCCAGACCCTCGATGCACATCTCACCCCCATGCAGCATGCAATGCACACGCAATATGCCTCACAGGACAAGCAGCTGCGCAGCCGTACACAGAGAGCATCCTCTGTTGGCGCTGACACTGGAATGAGTTTGTGAGTCGTTTTAGCTGTCGTAGAAAATTAGTGAAGGATGGGACTAAGCTGGAGCGAACGAAACACTCTCTCTCTTTTTACGGCTGAGTCTCTAATGTGTGGAAATGGGCACAGACTTGGAGGGTTAATAGGTGAGAGAGAGCAGCGTTCTGTGAAAAAGAAGAAAAAAACAAAGAAAAAGAGCCTCCGTGGAAAAAGTCGTTTAGGTGAAAATCAGCAGAGGACATAAAGTTGGACATGTGAGGGAAGATAATAAAGCCTGAAGCAGAGAGGTGAAGAAGTGATGGAGAGAGAAAAAGAAAAGAAAGGTCCAAAAATGGAGAAAGAAAAAGAGGAAACATCACCACGCTCAGCTGGCTGTGTCTGTAAGAAAGACTCTGCTGTCTCTCCTCAGGACAGAGAAGATCAGAGGGTCAAAGCAGTGGAGCATTATGGGACATTGTTCTGTGGACAGGTTGGAAGGTCAAAAGTCAGGTTTGGATTCACCTCATTGGCAGGATGATGAGGGAAAGTGGAGGAAGGAGGAGGAGGAGAAATGGGAACTTCCTGATCCAGGAACGACTAAGGAGGACTGAGAGGAGACCTCTGCGGTCAGGGAGGAGGACTTGAGGGTCTACAGGTGAGCATGGTGTCAGGAGCAGGTGTGAGAGGTCAAATAAAAACATGATTCTCTGAGAGGGAGACAGCAGAAAACTAAACCTGGGTCAAAACACAAGATTAGTCTGACTCTGAAGGACTGAGGGTCCGGTTTACATGATCTAAAATTTACCTCCATGAGTCCAAACAGGGGCGGACTGATCACCTGGACCCTCTGAGCCCGCCGTCTGTTGGCGTTTCTTCACCTCCATGTTTTTTTTTGAGGGATGTGAAAAATGGTCACCGTGTTTTCAGGGCGCTCTTTTAAAGGTGGGGAAGACAGGAATCTGTTAAAAAATCACTTCCTTTCCAGCACGGGTTAATCTGTGCTGAATTTATCCGCCATGCTCTGGCGTCCAGAAAAAATAGAACTCTTGTGATCAGCTGAGGAGTCCGGCGATCCGCAGAGGAACGGAAAGAAATTGACAAGTTAACTTGAATGGTTACGATCAGCTACGATCGGAGGATACGACCTTTTAGGAGATGATCAGGATGAAGGTGGAAATTAGGGCTAAACAAAGCCATTCTACACCTTCTACATCCTGATTGGTTGTGAGGCAGACGCTGCTCCCCCGTGTCGTTCAGGAGCCCAAACAAAGTTAGCGTTAGGCCTGTCGCGATAATCAATAAATCGCCTTATCGCTCGATAAATAAAAACGAGGTCGGTCATTTTGCCAGCCTCGATCATTGACGTGCGTTTGTTTTCCTCCTCTCTGCTACCAAACACGCTGGATGAGAGAAGAGGTCTCACTCTGCGCATTTTCTCGGCACCTGGGGGCGTTGGCTGTATAGCGGAATGAACGGAGTTAGTGAACCCTCCTGTCAGTCATTCAGTATCTTTGTTACAAGGGGGCGCGCGCGCAGGTACACGTAGGCGCGCACAGGCACACAGACACAGACTTTTGGATACAGTGCTACAAGTGCGCGTCGTGAGTGAAAAGCAAGCTAACAGAATGAACACGACAGCTTTGGTGTCTAAACCGAACGCAACAGCCCAAGTGTGGGAATATTTCGGCTTTAAACCAGTTTTGTTTTCGTCAACCACAAAACTCCACGTGTGTGTGCGCGCGCGTGCGTGTGTCTGTGTGTTGGAGGAGCACAGCAGGCTGATGAGAGCTGTCAGAGCGGACTGAAGCTGCTCCTGTATGTTTAGCGTTTAACTGACTGAGTTTTGCAACTCTGTTCATCATTTTCGTCTCGTCCACATCAACGTAAACGCACTTTCGTCTCGTCACATTTTAGTCATCTCCGACTTATGTTTAGCTCGTCAACGTTACGTCTTCGTCGTGGGTGAAATTAAAGTTTATCACTTTTGACATGGTGTACTCGCATTATTATGCCATTTCATATCATTATCTATAATTTAAAAAACGGTGTCAATAATATCGTTTATCGGCGATAATTTGTAGCACAATTATCGTCCAGCAAAATTTGTTATCGTGACAGGCCTAGTTAGCGTGCTACAATATCGGACAGTAGAAACCAACCAGAAAGTTCGTAAAATTGTCTGAATCCTCCTTTGGCCACGACTGCCGACACAAACAAGAAAACAAAGTAAATACCGGAGACTCTGGAGGAATAACGGGCGCTTAAAACGGAGGTAGACCGGACAAGAGCTAAAAAGCCGGGTCAACATAAACCATGGGGGACGCTTGGGGATCTTGGTGACCCTGTAACCTTTCTGCTGGACAGGTAAACCGCTTTAACAAAGTAAGACAAGTGTCTGTAACAGAAGTGTTTCTTGTCAAACGGACCTGCTGTAGCGTGTTGTAGCGCCATCGCTAAACTGTCCTCCCTCGGGTCCTGGACTATGTCACTTTATCCTCGTTGTAGAAGTCCTGCAAACATTGTGTTTGCTGGTAGTCTGTTGGCATCTACAGTAGCACCAATGCTTTTGACTTTCACCTTGACTGGGCCCCATTTGTAATGATCTGAAGTATTTATCTGCATTATATCGGAATTTAATTGGAACGATACGAGCGAGCAGGAGCGTCTGTTTGTGGGCGGGGCTTGATGGAGCAGAGGAGGTCCTGACTACCCCACCTTTAACCCAGAGATGAGACCCTCTTCCAGAAGTTCATGTCGTTGAGGAGAAGTGAATGACGGAGGCTCACCAGGCTACGACACCTGTGTCTCAGGTTCAGTTTGAGCGACTCTCTAGTTTGATTTAGAGAAGGAGAACCAATGAGAAGTCATCTGTGTTTGACCCAGGTCTGCTGTGGGAGGGGAGGGGGAGGGTTTGGGTGAAGCGGTGGTCAGCGATGGGGTGATCTCCTGCGCCTACAGGCTGAGTGGCCGGCTGTCCCCTGAGGCTCACAGTGATCGGCCAATGATGTTTGAGGATGCTGTCAGGTGGAGGTGTTGTTATCTCTCTACGTTTGATTCAATCACGTCTGTGCCGGTCATGTGACAGACAGGGTGTAGGTGGTTCTCGGCCATGCAGAGAGCAGGTGGTGATGGGGGGGGGGTGTGTATGTATGTGGGGGGGGCAGTATGCAGAATGAGGGGGGGCTGGAAACAGAATCGAACTGCATTGACGACAGAACCAAAGGACAAAGAGAGGGTGGGACTTGCAGGTGGGACAGTTTGCTGCTGGGGGGCTCAGAGCTGCTTCATGAGGGGGTAACAGAAAAGGAGCTGCGTTTCTATGACAACCAAAGACTGTCTGAGGAGGAGGAGGAGGAGGAGGAGACCCCACTGACACCAACCCTCCATGAACCGGACTGACCCGGTCTGTGACCTGGTTCATCTGCGTGTGTTCGTGTGTCCGCCGGATCCACAGGACGGGACGAGCCGGAGGACACAAGTCTGCCGGACCTTCCAAGCCCTGCTGCACACGCACGTCTCTGTGCACAAGTGTGTGTGTGAGTGTGTGTGTGTGTGTGTGCATGAGAGTCTATCACAAACAGGTCTATCTTTGAGAACGTCGCTGCTCTGAGTGTTTGTTGGTCAGCGGGATGCGGTGCAGTCGAGCTGAGAAGGTCCCTCCTTCGTCCCCTCCTGTGGATACACATCCCGCTTCGCCCTAAACCCTGAGTTCCTCTCTAGCTCCACCCACCAATCGCACACCACCACACAACCCCACAACACCGACGAGCCGCCCCCACTGTCCACGAAGAAGAAGAAGAAAAGGAAACAGAACCAAAGAAACCACAACACTAAAGTTTACACCACGGTCAGCGCTTCAACCCCAACACCTCCCTCCCTCCCTCCCTCCCTCCCTCCCCAACACCTGGAGGAGACTCAGGTGAGGATGGGGTCCTTTCTGACCTTGTAGGCCACCCGAGCTGGACACCTCTTCCCCAGGCCTAGTGGAGGACACATGTGCCTCAGCATGTCATACATTTCCCTGCAACTGATCCTGCCACTGCAACCATCATCATCATCACCATCATCATCATCATCCAGAGCCATCAACCCGTGAACAAGAGCAGAAGAGAGGGAGAAGATGGAGACGTTTAGAGGGAGGAAGGGAGGGGAGAAAACAGAGGAGGAGACAGACAGACACGGTTATTGGGCTGATCCTGGGAGACCGAGGCCGAGAGGGAGGGGGCACATCAGGAGGAAGAGCGGACAAATCTCAGGTTATCCAGGTGTGAGTGAAGGTGCGTGTGTGTGTGTGTGTCTGCGGGGTAAAGCGGGGCGGAGCTTTACCGGCAGGGAGGGGAGGCGGAGGAAGGGGAGTCAATGCAGTTTCTGTCTTTCCCCCAACCCCCAAAAACCAAGAACAATGCAACACTACAGGTGGCAACGGGAGCCGCTGCTGCTGCTGCTGCTGCTGCTGCTGCTGCGTCTTAGCCAGGGCTCCACAGCAAGCAAAAGAAAAGACTAGTCAAAAAAAAACAAAACCAAAGAAAAGAAAAGATCGATCTAAGAATGTGTTCAAACGTCTCAGTGTGGATTTTCTCCATTTCACTGAGCGAGCTGTTGTGTTTTTGTTCACATGCGTCTCTGGGTGTCTGCATTGTCCCGCACATTCTCTCAGCACGTCAGAATGCAGGTCGAAAATGGTCGAAAAAACCGAAATGAAAAAGATTTAAAAAGAAAAATTAAAACAAAGCGGCATTCATTCCATTCCCGAATGCTGAGGCTAGCAAGTGTGGTGGAGAGAGAGAGAGAGAGAGAGAGTCAGTTTGAGTGGGAGTCAAACCTTGCAGGCCACCCTATGAGGGCATTTCTTGCCTAAGCCGAGAGGCGGGTCGATAACTCGTAATAAACTGTACATGTCCTTATAATGAATGCGCCCACTGCAAGAAGAATACAGGGGAGTTAAAAACACCCACACACACACACAGCAAAACACACACACACACACACACACACACGCACACACACACACACACACACAGAAGAGAAGAAAACATTGGGAGGAAGAGCACAAGATTGACAAAAACACAGTTTGTGAAAATAATCCTCAGATTTGTTCAGTGTGAAAATCAGACTCTGTAGACGTCATGGTTTTAATCCTGATTCTTCAGTTTGACGGACCCCCACCCCCCCTACACACACACACACTGTCCCCCCCCCCAACCTACTAATGTGTGTCATTAAGAGTCTGTGCTTGTAAACAGTTGCATGTTTAATAGCAGCCTTTAGAGCGCAGATTCCCTCCCTCTTAAACATGTGTGTGTGTGTGTTTGTGTGTGTGTGTGTGTGTGTGTGTGTGTGTGTGTGTGTGTGTGTGTGTGTGTGTTTCCTGAGCAGCTTCAGTCTGATCTGCAGTTAGAATAGCAGGTTAATACAAAGGAAGAAAACAGGTGAGAATCAATCATTTTAGAGAAATCTGTTAATATTGATCGATCGATAAGAAGACGCCGTTACAGTAACCGGGGAGCCGTTCCAAATCCAGTGGGATTCTGGGTAACAATATATCAACTAAAAATAACCTAATTAACTTTTTTTCACAACTTTTTATCAAATCTAAACGAGTGAAAAATTTTCATCTGATATTTTTTTTTTCTTCTTTTATTGAATTTAATAATAAACAAACATTTGAGCGTTTTATTAAATCAACACTAATTAATCATCAATCATTAATAAATTTGATTACAGTATTCTGACTGTCTTTTGATTGGATCATGGTAGTTCTTCAGTTCTTCCTTCCTGTCTGCCTCTGTGGTCCATGTGTGGTCTACAGGTCTACAGGTCTACAGGTCTACAGGTCTACAGGTCTACAGGTCTACAGGACGGCATGAGAGGAACACACAGAACTGGAATACAGATACCATGGAACTGGGCCCGTCTACAGGTGAGACCACCGAGTTTTATTGGGGTGTAGACGTAGTTTCAGGAGTATGCAGATTCCAGAGGGAGGGGGAGGGGCTGGGAGGACACTATACAGAGGAGGGGGGGGGGGGTTACGGTTTCAGGGAGAGATAACCAGAAACCTGATGAGGTTATACTCTGATCTGTTACTGACACAGTTCTCAAACTCCGATTATAGTCGGACTAAAGGTCCTTACACACCGGGAAAGACGCAAATATACGGCGCGACATTATGAAACATTCAGAGGCGAATTTTGACGCGCCTGATTTTACACATCAAGCCCGATGCGATTTTGCGACTTTCCGGGGGAAAAAGACACGCGAGAAGACTGAGCCGACAGCAGACTGAGTGTTCTTCAGTTCTCATCAGACTCTAGTGTTGAGATGTCTGTCTGTCATGATAGCATGTACTGAGTCGGGGCCAGAACCAGATAAACACATGAAACTATGATAACAACCGTTAGCTTACGTTAGCACAGATGAAAGTTCAAACAAAGACATTTATCAAACTGTTAAAGCTCACAAACCATCGTCAGATGAGAAATCCGACGCTATAGTCGTCCTTCAGGTCGTTATCTTTGTAATGTTTGTGTCTTTGATCAAAAATCACTCTGTTCTCTGACACGTAAACAATCAGCCGGTCGGCCATGTTGGATATACAATCTGACGTCACAACAACACGCAATCTGATTGGTCAGAAGTGGACACACAGTATGAGAAACTTATGCAATATCACAGGACGGGAAAACGTCGCTGATGTGAACGCTTGTATTGACAGGATACGGGTTCGAAAAAAATATTGACGTCTGAAATAATCGCAGGAAAAAAACGATCCGGTGTGAAAGGAGCTTTAGGCGATAATTTGGTTTTCTCGAGTGTCATGGAAACGGACTGAGTGAGGGTTTGAATTTTTGTGTTTTTCTCAACAAACTAAAATACTGATCAATACCATCATTGATTAATGACTTCATTGATTAAAGAGCAGAGACTTCCTTTACTCTGTGTGTGTGTCGTCATTAAACTAATCAATAAATCAAAATCAGCTTCAGGACCATTTTATTCTATTCAGACGTGTCTAACTTCTGTCACTTCTATTCTTCACATATCTATACCTGCCATGAGGTTATATATGTGTGTCTACGTGCACTTGAGGGCGTGCACGTTCAGACTCACCAGGCAGCAGGATCGTACTCGGCCCAGATCCTCACATACTCATCCAGGTGGTGAGGTCCCAGAATGGACGAGTCTCTGGTCAGGTACTCGAAGTTGTCCATGATGACGGCGACGAACAGATTCAGCATCTGCAGAGACACGAGGTCACATGACTGAGAACGATCGCAGGAAACGAAACATCAACATTATCGTGTGTGTGTGTGTGTGTGTGTGTGTGTGTGTGTGTGTGTGTGTGTGTGTGTGTGTCCTCACCAGGAACGAACAGAAGAAGATGAAGGAGACGAAGTAGAGGTAGGCCACCTGGCTGCCACACTCCGGCTCGGTGTTCCCCGACAGCTCGTCGCACTCTTTCCCACCCAGACACGCCAGCATGATCTCGTGCCACGCCTCTCCCGTTGCACTCCTAAAACAGACACACAGAAGATGTCGTCAAACTCCGAACCGTACACGGAGAAGATAAACCCTCATGGACCTGAAACCACACCTGAAGAGGAGCATGACGGCCTGGATGAAGGTCCTGAAGTTGTTGTGCTGGTTGATGGCGCTCTCGCCGTCCTCCTCGATGGCGATGTTTCCAAACAGCTGTTGAGGACAGACGCACACTGAGACCTTCAGGGCTGTAAAACTTTAAAACTGATCCTGTTCTGCTCCAAATCCTGATGAGGATTACCACCTCCTCCTCCTCCTCCTCCTCCTCCTCCTCCTCATTATCCTATTAAAGATATTTCAGCAGTTTTTAGGTTGCGCTCTCACCCACCTGCATCCCAATGATGGCGTAGATGAAGAAGAGCATGGCGATGAGGAGGCAGACATAAGGCAGCGCCTGAGGACACACAGATTCACGGTTAGGAAGGAGCGCTCTCACATCGTCTCCGTGTGTCTCTGCACACAGGAGTCTTCTCTAAAACGGACACATTTCTGTGGGACGGGTGTGTGTGCGTGATGCTGAGTAATGAAGTCTGAACCTTGAAGGACTGAACAAAGGTCCAGAGCAGGATGCGGATGGTTTCTCCCTGCCTCAGGAGCTTGATGAGACGAGCCGCCCTGAACAGCCTCAGGAAACTCAGGTTGATGAAATTATTCTACAGAACGGCCGGAACACAACGGAGGAGAGAGGGAACAAAAGAGAGACGCAGAGGGAGAGAGAGAGAGAGAGAGAGAGAGGATGGAGTAAAGGGAAAGGGAAGTTAGTCGTAGTTCAAAGGGTCCAGAGGATTTCCTCATAAAAGCAAATCAAACTAAAAGGATCAGAACCAAACCGAGGAGGAGGAGGAGGAGGGGGATATCCAAACTCAAGACAAAGAAAGGAACCAGGAGCCGAACATGTCAAAGCAAACCAAACTCAAATCAGCAAGGCTCCAACAAGCTTCTCATGTCGAACCAAACCAAACAACACAGGGGGGGGGGGGATCATCCAAATCGAGCTATTTCATCATCCAATCAGGTTACAGAGAGTAGTAACGGTGGAAGGAGGAGGGATGGTGAGTAGTTACAGTGCAGGGATGTTAGGACCGTTCCTTAGAAGGACAACCAAATGCACTAATTCTCTCAAGGCAAAGAGCGCAAAGATTTTCACCATGACGCCAGCGAGCGAGCGAGCATGCAAACCACCACAGCTAATGGCAGCAGGTGCACCGTCCAATAGGAATGGCTGCCGAGGTCATGTGACAGTCTGTAGTGATGTCACGGGCCAACATTGAGAGAGAAGGTGGTTGAAGGACTCATAAAGGTCGTTCCTGCGTTCTTCAGGTTTAATTTAGATTTAATTTACGGTTTTTAACGAGACTGTTGAGGCGTCTACACAAGAGTGGATCAGACACTATCAATCATTACTGATCAATAATTATTGATGATGAGAATTTGGAAATAAAAGGTCCTTCAACCACAAACAGCAGGAAAGAACTGAAGAAAGCAGCTGAGAGGGACCGGCAGCAGGCACATGCAGGTTTCAGCTACAACACAGCATCTATTACACTGTTGTCTATGTGTGTGTGTGTGTGTGTGTGTGTGTGTGTGTGTGTGTGAAAATAAAGGGTCCCTGCCAAAGACATGCGAGGGGCAGCATGCATCACTTGTTCTCTCTGCCAGGGGGGCAAAGCTTTAGATTCTCTCTGCTCTGACTGGAAACACTCCACCAGTCAGTCAGTCAGTCAGTCAGTCAGTCAGTCAGTCAGTCAGTCAGTCAGTCAGTCAGTCAGTCAGTCAGTCAGTCAGTCAGTCAGTCAGTCAGTCAGTCAGTCAGTCAGTCAGTCAGTCAGTCAGTCAGTCAGTCAGTCAGTCAGTCAGTCAGTCAGTCAGTCAGTTACTGCTGATGTTTAAACATGTGATCTTAAAGCAGAGATAGAGACTCTGCTTCTTACGAGACTACTCTGACCACAGATGGAAAAAAGGAAAAGGGGCGTATTTAACAGCACAGCAACATTTACTGATTTACTGATTTACTGATTGACTGATATCTGCACACCTGAAGTACGGGGGGGGGGGGGGGGGCTTATATGAGGTGGTGGTCTGAGGTTCTACCTGAGGACATTTTAATCATAAAACTGGATTTCCTCCCTTTTAGTGAATCCTTCAGATTTTCTGATGTTTGTTTTCTCTGAGTATTTCTGTTTCCTTATTTGTTCATTTTACACCATTAAAACTAGAACACATATGAAACCTCATTTTGTTTTAACCAACTGGAATTGTTTTTGCTTCATCATGAACACATGGATCCGTTTTTAGATCCTTGTTTATTGATCGGAATCAGAAAATCAAAGCGTTTAAATAAGGGAAAGTGTTCTGTGTGAACGCCTCTAAATATGAAACATCATGATTATATTATTATTAAAAACACAGCTCCTATAAAAACGTCCTCATACTGTAGGCTACTGTTGCCATGGCAACACCCCAGAGTCACTATTGTGACACTAAAAGATCATTTTTACATCACTTTATGGTGGCTAAACAACACGACTTTCCTTTTAAAATCTGCAGAATTCAGAATTTTATTTCCTTAGAAAACCAAAATATATACAGAATATCTATATAAAGGACTTTTATTATGAATATAATTTATACAGTTTATCTATATTCTACCTTTTTAGGTCAGAATGATAAAATATACACAGTATATATATATATATATATATATATACAGTTGAGGTCAGAAGTTTACATACACTAAAGCAAAAACTATTCAAGACAGCTTTAACCCAACTTGCCACCCAATTTGAATGAAGACATATATGTGGTTATTCAATAATAGTATCTTCATTATTCTGCCAATGGGGCAGGTCAGAATTTTTTACCTCAGATAGATTTTTAGTTGATTTCCCCAAATGACCTCAGATTCTTGTGGTTCATAAGTTTACATACACCCACTTGTCTGGCCTATTTAAGAGTAAATTAGTTGAAATCAGGTTGTGAAATGGAATTAATAGAATCACCCCTTTAGTCTGGGGTTCATTCGTGTTGTGTAAAAGCCAAGGTGTAGAAATTATGGGGTATAAAAGGAGCTTCACTTTACACACACTGCATTTCGACTTGAGACTTGCAATGGGAAAGTCAAAAGAATACAGCAATGACATCAGGGAGCGAATTGTTGCCTTGCATCGGTCAGGCTCATCTCTTGGGACCATTTCAAGGCAGCTTGATGTACCAAGGGCATCTGTTCAGACAATTGTCCACAAATACAAGCACCTTGGAAGAACAGCCGTAATGCCACGGTCTGGAAGGAAACGAAAATTAACATCCAGAGATGAAAAGCTTTTGGTCAGAAAGGTGAAAATTAACCCCAAGATCACCAAGAAAGCCATCTGCAATGATTTGGCTGCCTCAGGAGCAAATGTCTCAGTGTCCACGGTCAAGAGAGTTCTCCATCGACATGGGCTGAGAGGGTACCGGGCCAGAAAGAAGCCATTACTCAACGAGAGACACAGAAAAGCTCGGCTGAAGTTTGCGAAAGAGCACCAGGGTAAGGATAAAGCCTTCTGGAAGAGTGTCATCTGGTCAGATGAGACGAAACTTGAACTGTTTGGGCATAATGACCAGCAATACGTTTTCCGACGAAAGGGTGAAGCCTTCAGTCCCAACAATACCATCCCAACGGTCAAGCACAGTGGAGGAAGTCTAATGTTGTGGGGTTGCTTTGCAGCATCAGGAACTGGTGAACTCCAGAAGATCAATGGAATCATGAGAAAAGAGCAATACTTGAAAATATTGCAAGGAAACCTCAAGAAGTCAGCCAAATCTCTGCAGCTTGGTCGACATTGGATCTTTCAACAAGATAACGATCCAAAACATACTGCAAAATTAGTTTCAAAATGGTTTCAGCAGAACAAGGTGAAAGTACTGGAGTGGCCTTCACAAAGCCCTGATCTAAATCCTATCGAGAATATCTGGAGTGAACTGAAGAAACGAGTCCGTAAGAGAAGACCAACAAATCTGACCGAGTTGTACCAAATCTGCCAGGAAGAGTGGTCAAAAATTCCAAAGGATTACTGTGAGAAGCTCATTGATGGCTATCCAAAGCGACTTGCTGAAGTTATAAAACTTAATGGAAATGGAAGTACTAAGCCCTGAAGACAAAGGTGTATGTAAACTTATGACCCAGTAAAAAAGCAGTGTTCTGCAAAGAAATATCAATAAATCTTGAATTATGAGGAATTTTTGCCTTTTCTTTTTATTTCCCAAAAGCATTAATCCTAGGGCTTCCTGTATGCTAGATTATTCATGATTCAAGTTGGTAACTTGAATTTAGCATGAGATTTAGTGTAGGAACATGCACTGTATGTATATATATATATATATATATATTTATAAATGTATTTGAGTTTTATTTGTTTTATTTTTAATAGTATATATAGTATATATATGTATCTATCTATCTATAGATAGATAGATAGATACATATATTTAACTTTTGAAAAATAAAATATATACATTAATGATGTAAATATAAATACATCACCTTTTTCCCCTATTATAAAATAGATACAGGATATATATATAAATGTATATATATATAAATATATATAAATATATACAGTATATATGTATATATTAGACCTGCTTCCTCTCAGACTAATAAAATATATACAGTATATATATGTATTGGACTTTTTTTCCTAGTGGCCCTGATCCTCTTCCGTAGAAAACAAACCAACACCATCACGATAAATTCAAAGTTGACTTTTAAGGCTGTGAAATCCTGAATTCTGGATAAACGTGTGAGAATCTGATCCCCGCGTTACAACCTCAGCTTCTGTTCTCATAACTGAAGGATGAATAATTACAGTGACTGGCAGAGAGGATAGTAACATAATAATAACGGTACAGTCTCAGCGCTCACTCAGGGTCGAGGAGGTTTGGGGTTTTTGGGGGTTCAAGCAAACATGCAGACTTCACAGCTCTGACAGCAGCTGGGATGCAGATGCAGTAAAATAAGATCTCCAAAAAATTACAAACCATCTACATGTGGATGTTGCAGACATATGGTTTATAGCAGCAAATTTTTGGATTTTGGTTGGTTCCAAGAACAACCAGAGAGATTGACCAAGCCGGTTGTCATGGGTGGACACAGAGGATTCATAGTGCATTTTGATTGGACAGAATCGCAGGAAGTAGTAGTTGATGGGGGGAGAGGGGGGAGAGGGGTGGAGTAGATTACAGTAGATCATCGTAAAGATTGTGGAGGATTTAAAGAAAGCATGTAAAAAGATAAAAACAAGAAAGAAATGAACAGTCATTAAACAGACAAGTTATCAGAGCAGCAGATAAAACAGCAGAGAGACCAAAGATCCGTTCAAACTGAACCCACCCCTTTACACCCGAGAATAAAAGAGGTAAAGTCCGGACCGACCCGGATCTTTGGTACCCCTCATGTTTTCAGACACAGCAGGTTAAAGTCATCATCACTCACAGTTTAACTCTGTGGTTACCTCAGGTCTACTCCTCGGGATCAGAAGTATTCAAAGGGTTAATGCATCACTGAAAACTTTATCTGACATCTTATTATAGTTTTATTTTTTCTTCATTAAACCCAAAAACATTTAACAACAGAGTGAGTTTTCAGTCCAGTTCAGACATTTTCACTTTAGACCCAGTTTGTTATTCTGTGAACAAACCTTCTTCTTTAGATAAAAACACTCACAGATTTTTTTTTTTCATGCACTCTGGAAAATTAACATTTTTGATTTTAACAGTTTTCTGTGACTCAAAGGTAAAACAGACCGTAAAACCCTGAATAAACTCTTCTCTCTATGAGCCTGTTTTAGTCAGCGTAACATTTATCAGACACTGATCAGATCTGACATCAATACTGTGATCAGAAAATGAGTGAAGATTGGAGGGACTTCAGTGCGTCACGCTGCAGTGAAGTCCCTTTAACCTTCCTCCTGTGTTCACTTTGACTACACACCCACCATGTTCAGGGTCGGTTCTGACCCGTGTCTTAAATCAGCTGTACATTAAAAACTTTTCTCTATCATCCAGTTTGGTTCTCATCTCTAGGTTAACTTGTTCGGCTTCATTATCTTATAACTGTTTTACATTATTAATATAAACTTTAAACTGTTTTTAAATATAAAATGATGAAAAATGTGATTATTGAAATTCTGTGATTGTTCACGGTTCGACAGAAAAACCAAACTGTCGTTCTTTAACAATGAAGCATCTATGTTCCACCTGCCGTGTTATCTAGTCTCATAGACGTCTGAGCCGTTAACAGGTGACTTTACTGTGAACCTTTCAGACACACGTGTTAAAGATCTCCTCACAGAGTTAAAGGAGATCTGACTCTGCAGACGTGACTAACACACTCAGTTAGAAACACGTTAACGCCCCACGTCCCCCGACTTACCCCGAGCTCAGTGACCAGGATGTCAGTGATGCTGCCCAGAACTGTCACACAGTCAAAAATGTTCCAGGCATCTTTAAAGTAATTCTGAGAAACAGGAAGGAGGGATGAGACGGAGGAAGAGGACGGGAAAATGAACGAAGACACAGAGAGAGAGAGAAAAAAACGAGAGAATAAAGTCAGACAGAGAAAAAAAAACATCCAGTCAGTGTCCGACGGGGACAGGGAGGAAATTAGATAAGACAAATGGACCATCAGTGACGCCATGTTGGATTCAGGCCAGCAGACAGGCGAGGGACGACGCGCTCTGCATCAGAAAACCACAGCGGGCCTCAAACACTGAACGCCGCCATCACCGGACATCAGAAACTTAAACTCTGAACAAAAAAGACCAACATGTTTCCAACACACATACACACACGTGCACAGACACACACACACGTGCACAGACACACACACACAAACTTGGTGGACTAAAGTAAAGCATCTTAACAGGACAGAGGGATATCAGAGATGATGGCGAGGTCTGCTTCTTCTTTGGCGCCCTACACGTCGCCTGCGGCCAGACTCTGCATTAGACGAGGACGGGGGACAGAGCGAGCGAGGCGGCCATCAAAATAAACCGCCATGACAGTCTGAGCTCTGCTGTTATTGGTGTGTACGATCATCTCTGTCCTAATCTAATCCTATCCTGTTTAATCTCCGCCCTCTCTGTAATCTCTGCTCGTCTTTCTGACGCCCATCCATCATTTCTTTAAGTCTAATTACTGCTTCAATCCCCGCCCAACACTCATCACCACCACACTCATTCATTCACTCATTAACCCCCGCAGACTCCCTCCCTAAAACCGTCACTAAATCAAAATTAGAGCTTTCTAAGACGAGGACAACCCAGAAGTCTCTACTGTCATGGAAGGAGGAAGGCGGGCTGACCCGAACCCAGGATGTGACATCAGAACCAAGCTGAACATTTCTATAGATGATATGTTCATCATTAGAGGAACCATCTCAGAACTGGTTCTCCTCCATGAACCTGAGATCCTTCAACCTAAACTGTCAGCTGTTACTCCTTCAGCTCTGCAGTGATCATGTGGCAATAACATAATAATAAGTAATATGTAAGTAATATGTCATATGGTTATAACATAATAATAATAAGTAACATGTAAATAACATGTAATAACAAAGTAATAAGTAATATGTCAAATTTATGTCATATGGTAATTACATAAGTAATATGTATATAACAGGTGTAATAACATAATAAGTAACATGTAAAAAACATGTGTAATAACAAAATAAGTAATTGTAAATATATGTAACATGGTAATAACATAATAATAAGTAACATGTAAATAACATGTGTAATAACATAGTAATAAGTAATATGTAAATATATGTCAAATGGTAATGACATAATAAGTAATATGTAAATATGTCACATGTGTAATAACATAATAGGTGATATGTAAATATTTGTTACATTGTAATAACATAATCATGTTATATGGAAATAATACGTCACATGGTGATAACATAATTATAAGTGATATGTAAGTAATATGTAACAAAGTTATAACATAATAAGTAATATGAAAATAATATGTCACATTGTAATAACATAATAATAACAACTACTATATAACTAATATGTCACATGGTAATAACATCTTCGATCTCTCTTTACGGTTGTTGGCGGTGTTCCTCCTGATGTCGGTTTACCCTGACGTCTCGGGGGGGAAAAGCTGAGTGAAAAAAAACTTCAGCTGTTTGCTCTTAAACCTGCAGTTTACCTTAAAAATGAGTTTGGTACACGAGTAAATCCAGTTAGGAGTTTTTTTTTTAGACTTAAATAAACTGAAAAACTGCGTTTGAAATTTTGTGCATCAGAATCGAGGATCAGGAAAAATGTAAACGAGTTAATTTTAGAGAAAAATACAAGAAACACGGAAAGATTAAGGGATATTTAGAGGCTGTACACTCTAAACTTCACACACACACACACACACACACACACACACACACACACACACACACACACACACACACTTTTACACACAGGTTCACACACACAGACTCACCAGAGCTCCAAAGGCGATGATCTTGAGTACACACTCCATGGAGAAGAGGGAAGTAAACACGATGTTCAGGTTGGCCAACACAGCTTCATAGGTATCTGACGCTCCGTCATACTATAAACACACACACACACATGCACACACACACACACACACACACACACACACACACACACACATAGACAGTGAAGATGTGTATCAACTTCGACACAAACATAGAAAAACAGATTTTATTAATGAGATGGCGTTGAGTTGTACCTTCATCATCAGCACCACCGTGTTGAGCGCGATCATCGCCATGATGGTATATTCGAACGGCGGCGACACCACAAACTCCCACATCTTGTACTGGAAGCTGAGCTTGTTCTGAGGCATGTGGCGAGTCAGAGGTCTGGCGTTGATGGCGAAGTCGATACAGGCTCTCTGCAAAAAGACCAGAGGACAGTTTTATCGTGGACCTGCCCGCCGTCTCTCCCCGCGTCCCTCTTACTTCCTGTTTCCTGTCTGACCTCGTTCTTTTCCAAACTGTAATCCTCCATCATCTTGTCTCCTTGTTCCTGGAAGGTGATGATGATGAGAGCCACGAAAATGTTGACGAAGAAGAAGGGGAAGACCACGAAGTACACCACGTAAAAGATGGACATCTCCATCCGGTATCCCGGGCTCGGACCCTGGTTCTCATAGGTCGCATCGACTGAATGCTTCAGCACCCTGAGGGGGAAGGCCGGCGAGTGTTAGAGCTGGTCATGACACGCGTGTGTTAGTGTGTGTGTGTGTGTGTGTGTTGTCGTGCACTGGGACTCACTGCGGCCACCCCTCTCCAGTGGACACGGTGAAGAGGGTGAGAAGGGCCCAAGCCACATTGTCGTAGTGGAAATCGTACTTCTTCCACTCCCGCTTCTGCGCCTTCACTTCGTTATCACGTTCGTACACCAGATACTCGCCTCTGAGAAAACACATAATAATGAGAGATCGTTATATTCCCAAAGGTCATCAATAACTAATAATTATTGACTGATTTTAAAAGATTTTTTGCTTATACACCACAAATAAGATGCTTCTTTAACAGATTCCTGCCCACTCCACCTTTAACTCCTACATCTCTCTTTATTTTTATCAGACACTGTATGATGGAAATGTCCAGAAGGATAAATACTGGTGTAGCTCCACATATTAGACAGTGATGAGGACAATAAAGAGGACAGATTCAGGGTTAATAATTCAGCGTCTCAAACCTGCAGTCACGCTCAAACTCTTTGGACTCATCGGTGCAGTAGAAGAATCGACCTTTGAAGAGCTGCACGGCCACCACAGCGAAGATGAACATGAAGAGTAAGTAGACGATCAGGATGTTGAGGACGTTCTTCAGAGAGTTGACCACGCAGTCGAACACAGCCTGAGGAGGAGGAGGAGGATGAGGAGGAGGAGGAGAAGGAGGGGTAGGAGGACAACGTAGAAGATTATTGTAGAGAAATTTTTAGATGACATAGTTCAGGAATTAGTCTAACCCCCAATCTCCACCTTCATCCTGATCGTCTCCTAAAAGGTCGTATCCTCCGATCGTAGCTGATCGTAACCATTCAAGTTAACGTGTCAATTTACACCGACTTCTTTCCGTTCCTCTGCGGATCACCGGACTCCTCAGTTGATCACAAGAGTTCTATTTTTTCTGGACCCCGGAGCATGGCGGATAAATTCAGCACAGATTAACCCGTGCTGGAAAGGAAGTCGGGCACAGACACAAAATAAAACATCCGGCTTCTTTTCAAAATAAAACACAGGTTTTTTTGAGTTCTCGTGATTACTGCTGTCCGTAATCTGCCACGAAATTTGCCTCATTGGCGGACAGGGAAAACAGATGCCGTTCCGGACGTAGTGGAAATTTGGGGGAAGTGCAGGTGAGAATTTCTCTAAAACCATCTCGGGTTCTGATCCGACGGTCATCGGTTCACCTACCTTGAGTTTTGGGAGACGTTTGATGGTCTTCAGAGGTCGCAACACTCTCAGTACTCGCAGAGACTTGATAGTGCTGATGTCTTTTCCCTTACTGCTCCCTCTGCATGTGCACGCACACACACAGACACACACACACAGACACACACAGACACGGACACACACGGACACAGAGGTAAACAGAGTTAGCAGGTTCAGACAGACTCACCAGGGTCAGACCTCTGCGTCCTGATTGGTCAGTGAGCAGCCATTCCTTAATGGTGTCCGAGTTAACTCATCGTGAGTAACTGCGTCAGGTTTCCATAGAAACACATGCAGCATTTCTATCGTTGTACAGCTGGGCTTTGTTCGGAGGTGTGTTGTTAGCGTTGTAGCTGCATGCTAAAGTAAAGTGGGACTCTACAGGAATCACTGAGGTCATTCCTGCCTGTATACTTTCTCATTGATACACTTATTGATTACTTTGCAATGTATTTCAATGCGTTCGTCATCAGTAGACGGCTAAAGCCTTGGCTTGCACATGCCAAGCTCATGGTGAAATATAGACATGCTGCATTGAAACCTTGCTTTTCATGCTGCAGTCGTTCTGATCTGAAGCAGCAGTTTGTGTGATGGAGAAGTCCGTTCTCCACGGAGACACTGACAGAGAGAGTTTAGTCCTGGTCCTCGCTGACTGAGTGAGGACTGACAGGAAAACGTCCTGCTGATGATTTAAAGACAGCTGAGAAATGATTGGTCGTATTCATTTAAGTCAGGACTGTCACAATACACCGGTACTGATGAGAACATGTATTTATGCCTCAGATTAACATGACATTAAACAGAACTCAGAACTGAGCTGGTTTTTAGAGGAGGGGCCCTTTTAGTGGAGATCGACCTCTGAAAAACCTGCTAAATAAACAACAATTAGTTTACTAAAACAATTCTGATTTATCAGTAATTCTGCAATAATAATTAAAATCATTATTATAAATTAATAATAATAATAATAATAATAAAATATTAATAATTACAACAACAAAAATAACAATTATAATAACTATATTATTATAATGATTATATAATTATACATAATTATAACTATAACAAAATAATAGTAATAATAATGACTATTAACTGATTGTAATAATGATAATTATAGTAATAATAACAATAATAATAATAACAAAATAAAAATTATAATATAATAATAATTATTATATTGCTAAATATATATATATATATAATAAAATAAAACTGATAATGAAGATAAATTAATACTGATTATAATAAAAACACTCAAAAATAATCAAAATAATAATGATTATAATTATAAAATACTATTGTTTTTAAATATGATAATTATGAAAAAATAACACTATTGAAAATAATAATTTTAGTAAATTACAGTGTAAAATGATTATAAACACATTATTACACTGTAATTTACTAAAATTATTATTTTCAATAGTGTTATTTTTTAAATAAATAAATAGTTTTCATTTCTTTATTTTAAATTTCTAAATCAGACGGCCCCACTTGGACAAAGAAATCCCATAAACATTATTAGGGGTGGACGATCAGTCAGTCTCACCTGCCTCTCCCTAATTTGACTGATTTTTTTTCCATGTGATACTGTGACAGTCCAATTTAACAGGTTCAAACAGACTTTTATAATGTTGAAGCACAAACAGCGCCCTCTATGTTCTCTGAGTGATAACGGGCCAAACTCTCTCGTCGGATGACTCCACCAGTTTATTTCCATAAACTCTAAAGTCAAACTTGAAAAGCTGGTTTCACAGCATTGTTCAAACAGCATGGAAACTCGTCCTGCAGAAGGAAGAAGCATTTCTCCACTGAAATGCTGAACCAAACCTCCAAACCTCCTGTTTTCGGTTTGTTGGTGCACGTGTCTGAAGAAGGCAAAGTCGAGGTGAACACCGTCAGCGAAAAAAGGTCTGCTCGTTAACAAGCCGAGTGGAGATTTCAAAGTAAAAGACTCAACTTCCTGTCCTGAACTTTCAGAAGAAATGGTACGAATCAGGTGTGACGATGAAGGCAGCTGTGTGTGTGTGTGTGTGTGTGTGTGTATGTGTGTGTGTGAACAATCTCTCTCGCGCTCAGACTGACTGCACTTTTTCTTCTGAACCTCTGAGTTTCTGCGTTTCCCTCAAAGACCTTCAGCCGAGGTTCAGGTTTTTCTTCTGTTCCATGGTGAACAATGAACGACACGCACAGAAGTCGACTGTGGTGATGGATGGATGAGGATGAGGAGGAAAGAAGACGTGTGTTCAGAAGAACAGGCGCTGAGAGTGCAGAGGGAGGAAATGAGGAGGAAAAAGAGAGAACTTTACCCGCCGCCGCTGTTGGTGGTCCAAACGGAGATAATATGAGAAAAGGGGTGAGAGACAGCGAGGGAAAGAGAGAGAGAGAGAGAGAGAGAGAGAGACAAAAAGACAAAAGAGTGGGAGAAAGAAACAGAATGGGACACGGAGAAGGAGGGAAAACACCCGTATGGGACAGAGAAGAAGAAGAAGAAGACAAGGCCTCATCTCACACACATGAACATTAACACGTCTGAATCTAAACTCTCTGAACAGATAAAAAAGTTTCCCTGAAGACAGAAGATCTTAAACTCCTGCAGTTTTAACGTAAAGCATGTGGGTCTGCAGAAACGAGCAGAACAGTGACATGAGTGGACCTCCAGACCAGAGCGATCAGATTAAAGGAGAGATAAACATCTCTGAAGAGCTGTGGGATTCACAAATATTGAATTAAGACTCGATCTGGACGTGTGGGAGTCTTTTCTGACTCTGTCTGCTAACATCTAAATCAGACTTCACATCAGGGTTCAGATCACTTCACTGTTACTGAGTTCATCTTCACGTCCAGATACCTTCAGCCTTCTCTCCCTCTGATACCTGATCATTTCTCCTACGAACTTTCTTTTCCTTTAAGAGTCGAATAAAAACACGAACGAATTCTTTTCTGCGTCTGAGATCTGACCTCACCGCTGATATCTAATATCTACTGATTATACTGATCTTTAGAGTTTCAGAGGGGATAGTCAAAGACAGAGAGAAGAGGAAAATCAGATATTATACGTCTGACCCACACATAAAGATGAACAGAGTTAAAGACAGAAACACACAGATATAAACACACACACAGAGAAACAAACATGTTCATGTGAAACACGAAGACATCCAGAAATAAGGAGTTAAAGAGCAGTTAGAAGTAAAAAAAACACAGAAATGATTCAGGGGGAGAGAGAGAGACGAGTGTAAAGAGACAATCTTATAGGAGAGGCACCTCCACTGGGACCCTGAAGCACCTGCAAAAACTTAGATCTTCTCTATAAAACAGGCAATTACTCATCTTCATACTGGCCTTACAGCAATCTACGGTTTTACAGAAGGAGCTTCAACAGATTTCATCTGTTTCCAACTTGGTGACTTTTACCCTCCACCAAAGATTCATCTGAACACCTCTGTTTTTGTTTTTTCTTTTATTTTGACTGATTTTTTTTCACTTTTTAGTCCAACAGACTAAATAAGAACCCTTCTTAAAAATCAGGAGATCCTTTTGGACCAAGACTCGGGGCCGGACCCCCATATTACTGATCTTTTGTGGAGAAATCCATCAGAGGAGCCAGTGAGCGCGAATCTGACTCTTAAAGGTCCCACAGAACGAAATATCCAAGAGAGAGAGAGAGAGAGAGAGGGACATCAGAGACTGCAGCCTCTCAGTTTCTAACCTCATTATCTATGCAGCCATCTGAGTGGGCGTGGCTGCATAGATAATGAGGAGCTGCTCTGATTGGCGAGCCCACCAGGAGAACCTCCACCAGTACACTTCAAATCTGATCCAGAATCAGACCCAGTGTTGCAGCTCCAGTCTAACAGCAGGTCTAGATCATGGGTGGACTCTTGGACCTGAAGAAGTCCAGACTGAGGGGTCAGCATGGACTAACTAACTGACTCTAGGGGCTCTATTTTCGAGCCCGCCGGCGGTGTGGTGGAGGATGGCGGACCCCGTAGAGAGGTATTTTTATCTGGCGGAGCCCAGTGCACTGCCAGTTTGGTATTTTCATGGACTTAGGCGCACCGAGATCCGCCAAGCTGGGCGTGGTGGCGCGGTAGGGGGAGATGTCAGCTGGTGTGGTGAGATTTTCGTGCTCGTCGGCAGCATGGAAAGTGTGCTGAAAGCTCACCGATTCAAACCTGGTGGTCTAGTGGTATTTTAGTAGACCGGCGGCGTATCGGCATACCTGACTGAATTAACATTGTAATACACCTCGCCGTCGGCGGATCTAAAGGTGAGGAGAGGAGCTGATCTGATTGGTGAAAACAAGTCTTGGCTGTGTTAAACCCACTCCACGCCTTCTCTCCTCCCTCTCTATGAATTATGCCTCTAAGAGGAGCTGAGTTAGGGAGCGGGGATACTAACACCGGGCTGCGCTGCTCACCAAAACACCAAAGTGTGCTTGGGAACGCCTCATCCACGTGGCGGACCTTACTTACGCCGCGCCACGCCGCTGGCGGGGCACGAAAATAGAGCCCTGAAGATGGTTGGTGTGTGCAGAGTAGAGACATCTATGTTCTGCAACCATGTGGCTTTAACCTTTGACCTCTTGACTCTGCAACGCCATACGTGGAGGAGGTGGGGCCACTCCAGGAGTGGGCGTGGCTTATGCAAACCTATCCTGTCATCAGATCACCTTGTAGGAGATCTGTTTCTGAGTAAAGGTGTTTTTCGTTGTCTGGGACCTTTAAGGGACCGTTCTGTTTTGAAGCTTTTAGAGATGAGTAGAAGAAAAAGAAAAAGTGAGGATCTAACCACAAAACAGTGATTTAATCATAATAATAATAATAATAATAATAATACATTCTCCAAACTAAAAAGCAGGCCTCCGTCGATGATCACATTCACTATCTTAACATTTAGGATACGAATCCATCCAAACTCTGCAATGAGATTGATCTGAAGGTGTTTGAAAAGCAAACATGAATCTGAGGATCGTTTCTCTCTCATGAAAAGATGATTTTTAAAAAACAGGTTTGACTTTTTTAAGCACAATCTCATCTGCAGAGGACCCGAGTCAGAACTGGAGTTCTCATGGTAAACTTAGCACACACTCTAACAGCTGTGATCATAACATCTCGGATTTCTTCTCTACCGTGCAAAAAGCATGACAGCAAATCCAGGAACTCACAGTCCAGGCTTTGCTCCAGCAGCTCAGTGCTGATAAACTAAACGGCGTTAAAAACCGGAGGTCTCACTGTTTGATCCTCACAGTCGTCATGCAGATTAAGAGTTCAGAGTACCTGCTCGGTCGTGGAGGAGGGAGTGGAGTTTTACACCTGCCAGCTCAGGCCTGGGTCAGGGGGCCTGGCTTTAGCAGGGGCCTTTCACTTTAGAACGCCCTGGGCACTAAAGGGTTACAGGTGCGAAGGGTGGTCCTCACCTCTCACAGGGGGGGAGAGGAACTGGGGGGGAGGGGGGTGCTGGGATACTACTTTTTTTTTTTTTTTTTTTTTTACATCTTGGAGCATTTAGGATTGGTGGAGGTGCTTAGAAATGGAGGGTTTCAGAGAGAGAGAGAGAGAGAGAGAGAGAGAGAGAGAGAGAGAGAGAGAGAGAGGAAATGGCCGACTATAGACGGTTTCTGTGCAACGTCATCACAGGTATGCGCTCGCAGCCCTGGGGCAGAAAGCGGGACATTTCTTATGTGTTTACTGGAGTCAACGGAGAAAGAAAATGACGAGGAGCTGTTGTGATATAAACTTCACGAATCTGCAAAAAAACAATCAGCAAACACTCTGACCCTGCTCCTGATGTTAGAAACATCCAAAACAACGTCACAACCTGGTAAATTTATGGACGTTTAAGCAAGTGTTTTTTCTGATTTTGATGTAATAAACGAGAAACCGATTTTTTAATGAAATTAAATTTTATTACATTGATATCTTCATTGATATCAGTTCACTCCAAAGCAGACTTTTGCCCCATGGTTACACACGCACACCTGGTATTGTTTGTACACAAGAAACCTCGTCTATAGAGAAGTGACCATTTTTAAAGGGATATTCTGGAGTAAAATTAAATTAGTGTCAAACACCGAGTTAGACCCCCGCTCCAGAGATGAATGTTGTCGACCGCTTGCTTCTCTAGTTATACCAACTTTAGTAACGACCGCGGGATAGAAATACAGAGAGCCACGCCCCCAACCAAAACGCCACTCTATAGACTCATTTCTTTAGCAAAGAGACTAAACACAACTCACCTACTCTCTTCCAGCATTACCAACTACAGCGGGGTGCCGCAGCTCAAAGAAGAACATTTATGATCATTTCTTTATGGAAATACAATCAGACCGAGACGCTAAGACAGAAGAACTACAGCGTCTGCTGTGATAAACATGGACCAACAGACTCAGGGAGCTATCAGTGCAGTCAACAACAACAAATCCAGTTGATCCCCCTCAACCAACATATGATATGATAATCATATTGATCACAGTGCAATAAAACTGGGCTTCACTGTGCAATAATCCGGTTTTCATATCATATCCTGTTTATATTTTAGCCTGTTTGAGACTAATCGGTAATCGGCCAAAACTCGCCGATTTTCGCCAATATTTTCAGAAATAAGATTCAGTTTCACTTAAAAAATGTTCCTCCATTTGAAAAGTTCCCCGACTTATCCTGTAGATGGCGCTACAGCGACCTCATGCCAATCTTCATCCACTAACTACCTTAAAAAATTGTTCGATTAATCAATAATTAGATTGTTTTCCCCCCTAATAATTGGTTTGGCATCGGCCCCAAAAAATCCATATCGGTCAGGCCCTAGTTTGTAAATATCTGTATATATTTCTGCCTTTTACATTTCTTATCTTTGTGGGTTTTTTTGGTTTTTATCTAAATACTTTTGTTTTGCACCAAAGGGAGAGGCGATCAAATTTCGTCGTACTGTGTACAATGACATTAAAGGTGATTCTGATTCTGATTAATTTAGTGATTATTACGTCAAGGAAATGATAAAGTGTTTGACCCTGAATTCATTTTACGCTGGAATATCGCTTTAAGCTGAGGGACGGAGAGAGAGAAGAAAGGAGAGAGGAAATAAGAAACAGATGAAACAGAGAGAGCCTGAAGCAGGAGATGTTTTACTCCAAGGTGCCAGTGAGGAGGGAGGGAAGAAAGAGGAGGAGGAGGACAGCTGGAGGAGGAGGAGGAGGAGGAGGAGCAGGAGGAGGAGGAGGAGGGGGGAGACTTACGTGAAGGCGAAGGCCACCAGAGCACCACTAACCACTATAAAGTCAAGGATGTTCCACAAGTCCCGGAAATAAGATCCCGGGTGCAAGACCAACCCCAGATCCACCATCTGAAAGAGAGAGAGAGAGAAGAGGAGGTGGGGGGGGGGGGGTCATGAAAAAGACAGAAGGTGTCCGTCCCCCCTCTGAGTCCCCCCTCTGGACCGAGTCTCACCTTTACCAGCATCTCAAACGTGAACACTCCTGTGAACACGTAGTCGAAATACCGAAGAACCTGCAAGAGAAACACGACGACTGTGACCATCTGGAAAAACTTCATTTTAATCATTAATTCGTCTGAGATTATTATTTCCACGTTATTTGATATTAGCTGCTAGTTTATGAATAAAATTACAGTTAAAAAATAATTGATAAAAACAGAATTTCAGGAGCGCATCAGTTCAGGACTCTTCTACTACAGAGCCATGATGTTGTCAGAACGGGGTTTGGGATCATATGAAGAAGTCTTTGTCTGGATGGACGCAGATGTTGCTCCTAATCCTGGAGATATTGTTTAAAACTGAGGATGCAGCATCTATGATTTCTATTTCTTCGTTGAAAGGACATCTTGACTTACTTGTGACTCCAACTTCAGAGTCCTGACGCTCCTAAATTTGTTCATCAATAATCCTAATTTCCAAATTCTGTTTTTATCAACATTCGGATATTAAAGTTCTCATCACAGAGGAGACATCGTGTAGATTTCCTCACGTTGTTGCGAGGGGATTCAGGCCACACGGGGTCTTCGGCGGCGAGGGCGATGCTGCTCATGGCGATGACCAGCAGGATGCACATCTCAAAGTAGCGCAGCGTGCAGACGTAGTGACACGCCCGCCGAAACCTGCCGGCAGAGTTTGTTTTTTTTCTGTTAGATCTGCGTGTCGAGAGTTTGAACTGTATCATAGATGTTTTTGTGGTTCTGGTTCGGTCTCTTACGGGTTTGTGGTGGACAGGATGAACATGGAGCTGAAAGGAGGCATGGGTCTGGGTCCTCCTTCTCCTCCTTTCTCATCATCATCGTCGTCCTTATCCTCCTTCGCTGGCAGAGGCTCCGTGTTCGCGTTTTTATTGACTGAAAAAGAAACAATATTTTACATTCAGGGTTTATCAAACCAACAGCTCAAACCTGACCGGACCACCTTTACAAAACCGGATCGGACTTTCTTCAGACGTCAGAGTCCAGGCGAGTCCTCACCCTGCAGTTTGGCGTTCGTAGACGGGAAGATCGGCATGTCGACGGCGGTGTAGTCGGGGTGGGGCAGCCGGATGACGCTGTTGGCACGGTGATGGGCGATGCTCCCGTAACTATCCAGAGTGACCATACTCCCGTGAGTGCTGCTGTTAGCCAGATGGAGGGCGGAGCCAAAGGGGGCCACAGTGTGGTTGGGGGCCGGAAAAGGGTGGCCCTTACCAGGGGGGGTGGAGCCAGAGACCAGCTTGGTGTTCATGAGGTTGTCCATGTCCTCGCTGTACTGACTGTCCTGACGGGTGAGGGTCTTCTGGATGGGACGGGTGGTGGAGAGGTTAGGAACGCTGCAGTCCCTGAGGAGGAGGAGAAGAGGGAGGAAGAGGAGGAAGAGGAGAAGGAGGAGGAGGAGGAGGAGGAGGAGGAGGAGGAAGAGAAGAAGGAGAAAGAGAAGGAGGAGAAAGAGGAGAAGGAGGCAGAAAGGAGAACAAACATCAGACATCATCAACATTGAACTCTTTGGTTTCCATCTAAAGGTCAAAGGTCAGCTGATCTGTGGTCATGTGATGAACTCACTTCCTCCTGTGGGAGCACATCCTCTTCCCCTCGCCGTCTGTTTGGTTGCCATGGCGGCTCCTCCTGGTCCTCCTCTCACCACCATCTCCAGCTCCTTCCTGCTCTCCTCCCTCTCCACCTCCCTCCACCCCTCTGCTCTTCTGTCTCCCCGTCTTCCCGGCTCCTCCCCCTCCATCCTCCCCCTCCTCCGCGCTCTTTCGATGTGACCTCGGCCGTCTGTGTTCTGACTGCCCTCCCCCTCTGGCGCCGCTCCGGGTGTGGTGATGGCGCCTGGACGGCCTCTCCTCCGAGCCCGGTCCAGGAATCACTGTGGCGTCCAACCGGACGTGGGAGGAATGATGGTGGTGCTCGCTCTTGCGGCTCCGCCTGCTCTCGGAGGACTCCCCGCGCTCGAGGGGAGGCCTGACCGGACCTGAGCCTCCTCCGCCGCCGCCTCCTCCGACTTGGCCGCCGTGTTCGTGGAGGCGTGTTTGTCTGTGGAGCTCGTCGGCGGGATGGTGCTGGCTGAAGCAGAGGTCTGAATTGTTCGCGGTGGTCTTGTTGGTGTTGTTGTTCCGGTTCTCGTGGGGATCGACCACCAGAGGGCGATCCAGGTGGGTCTTCATGTCCGGGCGGACGTGACGGGCGAAGTTCACCTGCAGAGAGAGGAGGCGGAGACAAGGAGGGAGGGAGGGACAGACGAAGGAGTCGTGAAATCATGATCCAAGACAGACGAGAACATTTAGATTAAATTTTTTAAAGGGGACCTGCCACCAAAATTTCATACCCATTTTTATCATTTTTTCATAATCCTTGATGTCCTCTGATCATGTTTGCAACATAATTTTAGCTGAAAAGTTATTTGATGGTTTGTTTTAGTATGCCTAAAAAACCTTACAGGAAAACCAACTGGTTTTGGCTCATTAACATTTATGGTAATGAGCTTTGCTCTGATTGGATCGCTGCTGTGAAGCCTGCTGTGCTCTGATTGGCTCAGCAGTGGAGGTTCGGATTTCGGTTTATCCAGTTATTATGCTAATGCTAATAGCATATGCTAATGTGTGCTAAAGTAAGGTGCCCAGATGTCTGTAATGATATCCGGGGATATTCGGTGCGGCGGCGGCGGCGGTGCAGGGGCTGCAGGGGCTGTGTGATCACAGACAAAGTCTCGGTACTATTTAGTAGCAGCGCATGCCCCTTGTAATAACCCCGTAAGAACTGTTGTTCAGGACTGCTAACTAAATTCGGCTACTGTAATAACCGTTGTTCGAGCCCACACGCAACATTTTTGCTCTCATTGATGAAACGCTTAAATCGGGGACATTTTCGGGGGCAGCTTTTGCCGGGGACAGGTCATCCAATACGGGGACTGTCCCCGGAAATCGGGGACGTCTGGTCACCTTATGCTAAAGGCTAAAAACGGCAGGTATTAAACCATATATTTTAGACCCCGAGTCCGAAGAGGAGGTGGAAGTTGAGGAAGAAGCCGGAGATCTCCAGCGGTGTTTTCTCATTCATTCTGTCTGTCCAGCTTTAAGTTCATTTTCCCGGCAGTGAACCGAAGGAAACACCGATCATTTGGAAGAGACCCATAGCGGATACAGCGGTAGCTGGGTCTCGCTCTGGCTGTGACTGAGGACGAGAACGAGAGAGTGGGCGCGGCTCACCGAGGACGCGCTCATGAATAATAATGAGCAACGTCAACGCAACGTAACACCGACGGGCTTTTTCAATTGGCCTGGTTTACTCGTTCCTTGATTTTAAACCTTTACAGAATGAAAACGACGTAACGGTTTGTTTTCACATTTACAACATAAGACGAACACAATATGGACCTTATCTGACACAAAAAACACACAAAATTACATTTTTATGGCAGGTCCCCTTTAAGATTTTACAGACAAACCCAAATCAGAAAAGTGCTGAGTCTGCAGAATCTGCTGGTCTGTGAGTCACTCAGAGTCTGTTCCTAATAAAACGACCTTCAGCTAAAACCACTCCTGAAGATCAGGACCACGGAAGCTCTGCTGAGGAGTCCGGCGATCCACAGAGGAACGGAAAGAAGTCGGTGTAAATCGACACGTTAACTTGAATGGTTACGATCAGCTACGATCGGAGGATACGACCTTTTAGGAGACGATCAGGATGAAGGTGGAAATCGGGGGTCAGAGAGTCTCTCAGACCTTCACAGTTTTTCATCTGACTGATTTACAAACCATCAGAATCTGCTCTAATCAACGTTTTTATCACGACCCGACTTTTTGGACTTGGGTTTATAAGTTTTATAAAAATGTGAGCAACAGTTTTCAAAGGTCATCATCATCATCATCATCATCATCATCATGGCCGCCGTCACTTGTGTACACTGATAGCACAAGTCTAAAGGCCGTGGTTGCCTTGTCCTTTACATTGTTGTGCTCCTCCCTCCCTGTCCTTGCCTTCCAGCGGTCGTCGGGGTCCAGCTCGTTGTAAAGCGCCTCTCGGCTCGACACCAGAGTCTGCCTCCTCAGCTCCTTGGTGCGTTGCTCCCACACCGACTTGTTGCTGCCCCTGTGGTTCTTCTGCTGCTCTTTACTGCGAAGAAGAAAGAGGGCGGAGAGAGAGAGAGACGGGAGGGGGCTTAACCAGAGCTCCGCAGGCCGGGATGGGTGTGCAGATGATCACAGAAAAAGCCATGAGGATGAAAACAAACACCAAATGTACGAGGACGTAAAATAGCCAGGACACAGAGACACACTGGGGGCCACAGACATGGAAGAACGAGGGGCCAATTTGGAGGGAGCAAGACAACAAGACTGGGTGTCGACACGGCTTGTCAAAGCGTTGGGCAGAGAGGCCCTACTTTGGTAAACCATGTGGGGACACGGAGTGAGGGGTCACTACGGGGCAAGGTCAGGATTCGTTTACCTACCCAGACTGAGCTCTGAGAAATTTCAACAAGAAACGGGACTAAGAGTCTAAAGAGTCCCTGAAATCTAAGATTGAAGGCAAAGCTGCCATGATCCCAAACATCTGCAGAAACCCTCCAGAACTTCTCCAGGTCTTCTCCTATCTCTCTCTCCTAACTCGGGGCCAATATTCCACCACAGCGGAGCAACAGTCGAACTGCGAGGTGCAGGCAACAGAAAACGATTTATTGAAAAAAGAAGCTGACACAAAATAAAAAGAGCCAAAGAAAGAAGCTGGGAGTGTGTTCAGAAAAGGAGGAGAGGAGGAGGAGGAGGAGAGGAGGAGGAGGAGGCTGCTCTAAAACACAGAAGAAAGCGAGGAATGGTCGAGTCAACAGAAGGGAATCAGAAATGAAGAAACAAATAAATAAATACCAGTCCAGAAAGGGGTCGGTAGCGTTGTGACACTCACTGTGAACTTTGTTGCTGAGGAGGGAAACAGCTGGTGAGTGAGATGGTACGAGAAAACAGAAGGAGGGTTTCATTCCAAAACGAGATTTTCTCACACTGACACTCAGAGTGGGCTCAGGGTTCGAATAATTCAGGAGGACGTTCGTTTAAAACGACCTCAACGAGTCGAGAAATCAACCAAGAGGAAAGGTGTGTGTTCAGCATTTTGGAATGTAACCCTTAACACACAGAAACAACCTCACACACACACACACACTTACACACACACTTACACAGGTAGATCTGAAACAGTCGTGGACAGCTCTCACACTCCTCTCACAGATTTCATCGTCTCATATTGTCGTTTTTTCTTTCGTTTTAAACTTCATTTCTTTAATTTCTTCGTCCTCCTTCAGCACGTTCATGATTTTTCTCCTCATCTCTGTTTTCTAACTTCACATGCGACGATGTAAAGTTAGAAACGAGCGCTGATTTAAATTACAAGAAACCTCAGAGAGGTTTGAGTCTGCTGTATCAGCTGTTTTATAAAATAGGCACACACACACACACACACACACACACACAATCAACAACACACAGTATGATCCACACAAACTGGACTGTTCTGAGCACTGACTCTGGAGTGTGTGTGTGTGTGTGTGTGTGTGTGTGTGTGTGTGTGTGTGTGTGTGTGTGTGTGTGTGATAGAGAGAGGTAAAGTGAACAGAAGCTGAGATATCAAAGCGTAAAGGTCAGACCTGTGTGTCGGGGGTGTTGTGAGTGTGTGTGTGTGGTATTTCTGAAAAGACTGTGGGCCCCCTGCTGAGCTCTTTCAGGGGGACAGACAGACCAAACTGAGGAGTGTGTGTGTGTGTGTGTGTGTGTGTGTGTGTGAACAGAGAGGATCAGAGACTGTGACTCTCCTGACCAGAGGAGGGCTCGCCGACTTCAATCCAAACCTGACCGTGTGTGTGTGTGTGTGTGTGAGTGTGTTAAATACAGTAGGAAAGAACACAATCAGAAGAGTAAGAACCTTCTCTTTATCTCTGGATGATGTCTCTCTGTAAAAACATGCGTTTAAAGAGGCTGCAGTTCGGTCGTAATGTATTTTATTGCATTTTACGTTATTTTACTGTATTTTATAGTATTTTAACTGTATTTTAGTGTATTTTCACTGTATTTTACTGTATTTTAACAGTATTTTAATGTATTTTACAGTATTTTTACTGTATTTTACAGTATTTTAACAGTATCTCAATGTATTTTACAGTATTTTTACTGTATTTTCACTGTATTTTAACAGTATTTTAACGTATTTTACTGTATTTTCACTGTATTTTACTGTATTTTTAAAGTATTTTTACTGTATTTTACAGTATTTTAACAGTATTTTAATGTATTTTACTGTATTTTTACTGTATTTTACTGTAATTTACTGTATAAATGAATCATATGAAAAGAGCTGCTGAGAAAAATCTGTGCAGATAAAAAAAAGTAAAAAAAACAGATGTTAAATATGTGCTTACACTAGTTATGGTGGGACTTCTTAAATCAGGTTGAAGGACAGACACAAAAATATCTTTTTACTAATTTTTTACATTTTTGGAGGGATGTAAAATATCAACATATAATTTTTGTCACTCTTATTTCAATCTGAAGAAGTCCATAAACTGTGGTGTACGAAGCTCTTCACTGTTGTTTAACTTAATATCATTAGGGTCTGTATTTAAAGAGGGAACATTTGTTTACAAATTTCCCCGTTTCCGCTGCAGCCTCTTTATGTAAATGTGTAATTTTCCTCCTAAATGTTCAACCTGGAGGGAAAACGATCTGAGATGGACATGAAAATCAAAGTCCAGGAGGAATAAATTAAAATAAAAAAACTCACGCAGCGATGGAGAGGTTGGCGGCAGACAGCGGGCTGACTTCAGCCACCTCTTTGGCCTTCTGCAGGGCGATCTTCTGACTGGCGGCCTCTTCTTCCTCCTGCTCATCCTGCAGGAAAACGTCAAAATGAAACTCAAATTACAGAAGAAGAAACTCAACAGGTCGAGGTTTGTTGTTTTTAGTGTCCATGAAAGAGACTGAGGACGGTACCTTGGTCAGCTCCTGTGCATTCGCCAAATTGTCCACGGCGATGGCCAAGAACACATTCAGCAGAGTGTCTGAACACGCCGTTAAAGGAAATCCAGCATGTAGGAGCTCTTACTAACAGTACAGGACTAATTAATTGGCCAAAGCGCCTGGTACACTGTAATTCTTGGCAGGAGGAAATGTTGGACGGTTGACAGCAACCAAGGTCGTTTAGGCGAATCATTCATTCAGCAATAACAGATTTAGTGGGAGAAAAACACTCACATTTCAGACTCGACATACATTAGGAGTTAAATAAGATCTGTGGTCATAAATCTGTCCTGATGACGATAAACGCCTTTTAGGAACGTGAAATACGGTCGGTACAATCAGCTAATGGTTAAACTGTAAGAGGTCCAGTCTCATATAAGGGCGGGACGCAGGATTCATCGGATGGTAGGGGAAGGTCCCGCCCTCCTTCGCCTCTGATTGGCTAGAAAAACTGGAAACATCATCACACACTCAGGCCAAACGTGGGCTGTCGGCTCTGAACATCGACCAGAACATCATCGCAATTCTGAACCTCCTAACCCGACAGACGATGACGTTTCACAGCCATTAGGAATAACCAATCAGAGGCCAGCACTTCTAGCCAATCAGAGGTGAAGGAGGCGGGACCTTCCCCTATCATTACATGAAAAAAAATATCGCCAACGACAGGACAGATGCTAGCTAACAAGCTAGCTTTGTTAGTTTACTTAATTTCGTGATTTCAGAAACAACATTAAAGCTTCGGCCTCTTCAAATTACAGATGAAATCTAACATGTTTCCTAACTTAACGATCTTTTAACAGTTTTTAAATCATTCATTAACTCAAAGTCGAACAGGAAGCAGGTTTAAATAGAGCAGAAAGAAAACTATCAAAATAAAAGCACGTCAAACGATCGTTCTAAAGAGAAGTGTTATTAGTTAAAGTTTGGGCTTGAGTTTGGATAAATCACAAATCCTAACATTTATCCTTTTTAATTGATTTTATTTATGTTATTATTCTGTATATTTTTGTATTTATTCCTGTTAGTTAATTTCCACACTAACTTTTCTTTCTGGGGTCCAAACTGAACATTTAGGATCAATTTATAACCTTAAAAAGAAAAAAAGACAAAATAAATCCAAGTACAAACAAAATCTGAACGATTTTCACTCACAGGACTGAGATAGAGGTACATATTAAAGATTTACACCTTCATCCAAATGTTATATATCTTTTTAGGATATTAAATTTCTATTTTTAAACTAATTTTATTTGTTATTTTAATATAGCAGCAGTTTATTCCACTTTAACATCACCCTGTACATTAACGGTCTCTTTAAAGTCACTTCTGGTGTTTTAATGAAGTTTGTCATTTAAGTTTATCAGCTTGGAGCAGAAATAAGTAGATTTTCTAAAGATATGAAGAATGTTTCTCTCATTAGAAATAGATAATGACTGTAAATTAACTGTGTTCAATATTAAAGTCTATGAAGTCGTCTGTTTCTTCACCACTTATAGAACATTTATATTATTACTACATTATGAACCCCTGATGTCGTGGAAACCCTCATTTAAATAAATCAAAAACTGAATTCATCTCTTAAATCTGTATTTAAGTCTAACTGAACTCAGACAGGGATACAGTTGCCGAAGAGTGTGAGCACGATGAAGAAGACGGAGAACGCCATGCCCTTGTTGACTCCACCCTGAGATTTGATGCCGTCGTACATCACCATGTTCCAGTCCTCGCCTGTCAGGATCTAACGCGCAAACAAACATTAGAGTATTCAGACGGATTTACCCTGTTTTCACACACACCTCAGACACACACACGCACACACACACACCTCAAACACATCGATTATAAATATGACTCATGGTATTTAAAGATTCAAAAGGATCTCTCCGTGTTTTATCACTTCTTTGCATGAAAATCCTCTTACAACTTTTAATCAGTTGGTCTTAATCCAGCACTCTTCCTCTCCCTCCCTCCCTTCCTCCCTCCCTTCCTCCCTTCCTCCCTCTGTGTCCTCTGCTCACCTGGAACACTGTCATTATTGCTGCCGGGAAGGTATCAAAGTTGGTCGATGGCGTGCCAGTTTCAAAATTAAACCTGGCAGGGGGAAACAAATCGAACGAGAGAGGCAGAAAGAGAAAAAAAAAGAGAGAAGTGAGAAAATGTATTTTCCTAAAAATGACTCAAAAAATGACCAAGCCAAGTTTGCAATTAGCAGGAAGCCATCTTTCTGCTGAAGATGAAATGAAGACGATTAGAAAGGAAGGAGAAAGGGGGAGTGAAGGAAACTCTGGAAGCACTGACTGTCCTCCGAAGAGCTGCATGCCCAGCAGAGCGAAGACCACGATGAAGAGGAAGAGCAGGAAGAGCAAGCTGATGATGGACTTCATGGAGTTCAGCAGAGAGACCACAAGGTTACGCAAAGACGCCCAGTACCTAAAAATAAAAGAGCAGAGAGAGACAGAGGGTTGAGTTCAGGATGTTTTTATGAATGAGGATAATACACACGATAAGACCGGAGACTCACTTTGTCACTTTGAAGATCCTCAATAACCTGAGAGCTCGGAGCACGCTGATGCCGAAGGACGTGCCCGGCTGGATGATGGACCACAGCACTTCGAAAATACTCCCACAGATCACCTGAGACAGAGACAAGCAGGCGGAGAGATGACGTCGAAATGTGAAGAAGCTTCCACTACATTAAGATGTCCTGTTGTAGAGGATTCGAACCCGTCGCAACGCATCATATCATATTATAGAAAGTATTATAACATATCATATTATATCATATCATATTGTTTTATACAGTATCAAAGTGTTTGTATCATTTCATATCATAAAATTTCATAACATATTGTTTTGATTGTATCATAAGCATTTTTATCATTATGAATCATATCATATCACATCATATCATTTTATATATCATAAAGTAACGTATATCATATATTATATCATATTGTTTTATGTTGTATCAAACGTTTTTATCATTTTGTATCATATCATATAATTCAAGTCATTTCATATCATATCATTTCATTTATCATAACATATCATATTATATCATATCATATTGTTTTATACCGTTTCAAAAATGTTTGTATCATTTTATATCATATTATTTTTTTTATTGCATCATAATCGTTTTTATCATTTTATATCATATCATATTTTTTTATTGTATCATAAACATTTTTATCATTTTGTATCCTATCATTTCATATATCATAACATATATCATATATTATATCATGTTGTTTTATATTGTATCATATCATATCTCATTACATATCATATTTTATCATATTATATCATATATATTCTCGCAAATGATATCATTTGATATCAAAGTATTTCATATCATATTGGTTTTTATTGTATCATAAAATTTTTTATCATTTTGTATCATATATCATATTATTTCACATCCTTTCTTATCATATCAAATCATATCATTTTATATATCATAACATTTATCATATTATATCATACTGTTTTATATTGTATCATCAATGTTTGTATCATATCATGTCATATAATTTCATATATTGTATTGTATATTTTGTATAATATTCTATGTTATTCTCTCATATTTTACTGTATTAAATCCATTTGTTTACTATAATGTAATACCCTGTTCTTCTGTATTGTATCACCTCTTAGTATGGTCCTGTATTGAATCATATTTAAAAAAATTTATACCATATCTTATCCTACTCCATTGAATTTATAATATTGTACTGTGTCCTATCCTATCTCATTATCTTGAATTTGTGTCATATGTAGTATAAAGTTCTGTGGTCCTGTCGTCTCTTGGCTCGCCCTCGTCTGGGTTTTACTCGCCCTGTCGTTCCCTTGGCTGAGACTCTGAGCGC